TCTTCTTGGGATTGATACCGATCAAATTATTTGTGATTTCATTTGAAATTCAGATGAGACTTATTAACTAATACAAATGGAGAAAGAAAATTTTTCATCTCTGAGCTACTTATTGTCGCTGAATTTATATTTATGAACTTTTTTTTATCACCTTGAAAAGTATTACATGAAATTGCGGATTAAATTCTGAAAGTTAATTCTGATCATGATGATGATGATGGTAACTTGAATAACCAAGATAATAATAAGAAAGAAAGAAGCAAAGGAAAAAAAAAGCAAAACGAACAAAAAATAAGCAGAAAAAAAGTTCTCAGAACTTTTCGAAAAGCTTGCTGAATACATGGAGAGACTTTAAGATTATCGTTTCCACAGAAAATAACAATCTCAGCGTAATTTGAGATTCCATGAGAGGTGAATGAATACTCGTAACGATAATAATCACTTGTGAATCAATGATATTCAACAAACAGGATATTTGGTAAACAAATTCAATCCATTGAAATGATCACCATGAAATTTATTTGTCTTTTCACATTATCATGTTAATCTCATAATCTTTATCATCAATTCAAATTCAATATTTACTTTCACATTCCAAATAATAATCATGGTGAATGAATATAAGTTTCAACATGAATCGATCAGATTTTTTTTCTGCCCATTCAGCATCGTGGTCTTTTCTTACCTTTACCATGATGATTGTAAATAATATTTTTCTGATTCTAATTTAACCATGGAAATTATTATTATTCCTTATCAACTTCTCCTTCCCTGAACAGGGAGTTGAGGGAAGTAAACTTGAAATTATTGTTGTTGTAACGAAGTAAGAAAAAAGTTCAATATGAAAAAGTTCAGCAAAAAAAATGATTACCTGAATTCATGAATGTATGAGATATTTTTACCTTGAGATTAGTTTAATATCCTTACATGGGTGTAGTTTATGTTTACTCTGAGTTCAGGTAAGATTAAGTTTCAAGGTTTAGGTGAAGATTATTGTTGGTCACTCAAGTTGCATGAGATAAAGGAAAACTATTAAAACCGAGTGACCCTGATTCATGATAAATTAACTGAATGGAAATTGAATGGGAAAGTAATCAAGGTGAAAGTTAATAAGCTCTAATTTGACATTGAACATAACCTTTTCAAAATGAATTTCAGATCAACATGATGTCCGGAAATCTTTCAGAATCTCTTCAGAATGTTGATAAAAATAATAACCAGAGATACTTTTCCTAATCAATTTGTTATTTTAACTGAATAAGTGTCATCATATTTTATCAGAATCATTTTCTACTAATATTATGATTCCAAGATAAAAACATGAATCAGTCAATCAGATCTCAGGCATTTACCATGAATGATATATATAAAAATATACTTTGTTTTGGTAAATGCTAGAGATAAAAATATGATATGAACAATTATAAAAAAAAATATTTATTTACAGAATTCAATATTATAATATTATTGGAGCTAAAAAAAGTAAATCAGACGAATTAGCATTCACCATGAAATAACATGATATCCAAAACCACCAATGCTTGAAAATACTTTGCTGTCTACTGGCAAGAGGTTAATACTATTACCTTGAAATACCATGAGCTCATGTAATACCTGAATTGGAACTGAATACCGAAGCTTTGTATTCTTTGTTCAATTCTGGAGACAATATTATTCCATACGGAATTTTATTCTGTAACAACAAAAGATAATATATATTACAACAACTACCTTTTCTTACCCAATTTTTGATGCTTTTGTTGAACATGATAAAGTTGATGATATGAGAAACAAATTCTGAACTGAAACATTGAAACGGATTCAGTTTGTGTTTATACAAGAAATGGTCTGATGATGATGATGATGATGTAATAGATTTGCTGGTCAACCTTGTTCCTTATTGTTACCATGCTAATAGTTGTGATTAGTTGAGATTGACTAAATTCAGTTTTTATCATGATTCATCTTGATACGATTACAATTATATCGTTATGATAATAAATATTATCTTACAGATTGTTAGCTTGAAACGTATCGAGTATTATTTATTATAATACATCTCAACATTTTACTTAATCGATAGCAAATCAAATTGACTTGATATTATTTACTTGAAGGTCATTTCATGGTTATTAGGATATGATGTTGATGAACAATAAACTTACATGGGAATAAGAGTAAGTTGATCAGGAAAAGTATCTTTCAGTGATATTATCATTTTCAATTCTCAATTGATCTCAAGTGTTACTATTATTATTATAATGTAATATGAAAGTAAATAACTAAATCGGTTTTTTTTCCTCCCTCCAATGGATTATTGTGTCCAACAGAATTCAGGATATGGTCTGTTTTTGACTTGAATCATGATAATTCAGAGTTTCAATCATGGAGAAGATAAGTTTCTCTATTCTCTTCTTATTTTGGACCCTTGAGAAACCCAATTTACTCCAACTGACCAGTAAAACATTTCAAGGTCCATGGTAATTGTATTACCTGTGATATCAATTTGAAATGTTCATACCATGAGAGAGAGAGAGAGAGAGAGAAAGTAATTTGAATTCGGATAAATTGTTGCGAAAGAAATTTATAAATATATAAATTCATGTACTTATGATACTTCAGAGGTTCAAGATATTCAGTATCTAGTTGCTGACCAATCACCATTGGTCACCTTGTATTTTGTTCAATCAGTTTTCATGATAATTGAAATCTGATTTGACCTTTTTCATGATCATTACCATTTCAATAACTGTCTGAACTTTTATCCCTTTTTATCAATTCTGAAATAAAAGGTGGTGAAAGTGACAGTTTCTCATTATAATCATGATAATCTTCAAAAATCAGTTTTAGAATTTGATTTTTGATTAAAGTTTTCGTACTTTCATTTTCTGGTTTTAAACAAAAAAGATGCTGAAAATTTGATGATAACTTATTGAACTTTAATAAATAATCAAATTAGTTTGATATTCTTCATCCAATTAATTGTGATGGTTAATGAAAATCTAATCAATTATTTGTAGTGTTAGCATTTTAATTAGAAAATGATGTCTCCTCAATTTAATTGACTTAACTTGAGATCTTAATCACTAAATCGGATTAAGTGTTTTTCTTTTAAATTTTGTTATTATTATTATTTTAGAAGTTCAATATTGATTGAACTTTTCGAAAAGTTCAAGTTCCAACTGAAAAGTTGTTGAAAAGATTCTCGAACCATATGGAGAGAATTATATTATATTATATTTATTCCCAATGGATAATTGATGATGAATCTCAATAATAAACATAAAGTTTCAAATTTGTTCAGTTATCCAGTTGAATAATTTTCTCCAAGTATCATCATGTATGTAAATATAACTGAAAATCTAAACTTTAATTCACCAGAATTTTTATTTACACCACCAATCTCAGGATTTTCTGGTTAATCACGTTCTCATCATAGTGATTAAGGTGTAAAAATAAATCACAAGTTAAACTTTTCAAATCAATTGCCATCAAAATGATTAGTCAAATGTGTCGTCAAAATTTGATAAAAAAAAAAGTTCAACAAAAGTCTACATGAAATTCATCATAACACTGAGTAAAAGTTTCTTGATAATGAACTTGATGATGATAAAATATTTACTCAGTCACTTTTTATCATAATTTCATCATGATAATCAGCATCATGGTGAAGGCAAAAGAAAAACAAGTTGATTCAATTCGTTGATTGGACAGATTTTATCATGAACATTATTCATTGTTAATCAGTCACTCGAAAGGATTAATACTCGAGAAGAAAAAAACTTTCTCTCAACATTTTCGAGTCTTCGAGAAACCTTAACCTTACGAATCTTAGAACTGTTCTGACCTTCTTATTATGCTATTGATACTTAAACAATTAACCTTCCAATTGTGTAATCTAAATTGTAACCTTGATAATCTCAAAGGATTTGTAGACAATTTAATTGTAATTAAAGTCAAACAAATACAATCAAGTTAATTAGCTCATTGTAAAAGGATATTTATCTGTAATTAGGAAGCGGAAATAAATATTATCAGAAATCCTGGTAAAAAAAAAGGATAACCAGACAGAATTAATATTAATAACTTAATCTGATTTGATTAATTATCTTAAACACTTCCGATTACAATTAATTATCTTCTTATAAGTAATTGTAATACAAAGACACATGATTGCATAATTATCTTTTCCATTGATTAATAAGTTAATCAGTTAACTTTATTAACGTATTTTCTTTACCTTAATTAAGTAATAGATTAATTCATTTTCATTTGATATTTTTTTCTTCCTCTTCTCATATTTTTCTCAACTGAATCCTTTTTATCAATGAATTCTGTATAGTAACCATGGTAACCGATTCTTTGTTTCCCTCTATTATTAATATGAGTAAATTATATTTTCCTTTTTCCTTTTCCCAAGTATCTTCAATACCACTGAACAATAAATGTTGATATGATTAATTGTTAATAGTAAACTTAATTTATATCAACATTTTCCAATAATGTTGATAAATTGTTTACAATTATCTGTTGATTGTTGATTATTGAGTAATTTACAACAACAATTTCAATTTGAATGCTAATCATGAATAAGTATTGATAATAACAATTAAAATGTTTCATCATGAGTGTCCTTGATTTTGAAACAGAGTTTTAATCAATATATTAGTTGATTAAATAATTAGTATAATCAAAATTTGGGCTTTTTAATTTGATTAAATTGTCAACAGAAAAGTAAACACATTTGTTAATCATAATGGAAAACAATTGTCAATGATATTATTTAATCATCCTGACAATTAGCTATTGTCAAGTGTTGAGATTTAGGGTTGGAAATTTGATCAATGAAATCAAATTAACTTAATTGTAGTTTCCTTGTTTACTTTGAATATTGTGAGTTCAATGAATGTAAACTAATCTCAATCAATTTGAAATGTTTTACATTTGAATATTTATTTTTTCCTTACGATTTACTAATTGTCTCTTATTTTCCCCTCAAGGTATATTGCTATTGTGCGACCATTAAGCTCACGAATGTCCAGAAGAGCGACATTAATCATTCTTAATCTAATCTGGATTATCGGTGCGATAATCTCATTGCCTAATTTATTATTCTCATTGACGGTAACGTACATTTATCCTGATGGTTCACTACGAACTGTTTGCCTACTAAAGTGGCCTGATGGGTTTGCTGGTTACTCTTCAACTGATTATGTGTAAGTTTTAACCTTCTCATGAAAATCACCATGAAACTGAATCAAATTACAGTTCTATTTATAACTACATCTCTCTTTTTCTTGTTGGTAATTTAATAGTAAATTTGATTGTTTATATTATTTTTATTTCTTTCTCAGGTATAATATTGTTTTCCTCTTGATAACCTACATTGTGCCTGTCATGACAATGGCAGCTACTTATCCTCAGATGATCTCTGTCCTTTGGGGAGGTCAAAGTATCGGTGAGATAACTGACCGTCTTAAGAGTGCAATTAAAGCCAAAAGAAAGGTATGAAACATTAACTTGTAACAATTAACGAGGAGAAAATCAATTAACCAATATAACCAAATTGATAGCAACAACAAGTTACGAAACATTGAATTGATTCATCAAATTTGATTGAATATCTTAATCATTTCCATCATGAGATTGCATGTTTATTATAATCTCATTAAGCTAATTGCAATCACAGACTATTCATACGATAAATGTAAGGAAACAAAATCAAGATTTCCATCAGAATTTACATTCCAATTGACTGATTAAACTGAAACATGATGAAATAATATCGACATGATTAGATGAAACATTTTATCAATAATCTAATATTTAAACGTTGTAATAACACAATAAACAATCAATTAATTGCTTTTCAACAATTAATCAGCAAACCAGCTAATTGAGTAATCGAAGAGTAGAAAAAAAAAGTTAATGAAAATTGAACTTATCACAATGAGGAAAAAAAATTCGTGACTTCGAAACTTAGAAAGTAAAATAAAAAGTTTTTTCTGAAAAAAAAAGATAAACAACAAAATCGAGTAACAATTTATTTATAACAAGAACGATTAATTCAAGTTAATTGATTGTTATCAAATCTAATAGAAAACTCGTTAATTGTTCAATCAAGTTGATCATCGAAGTGAAAACTTAATTTACAAGTAATTTTTTTCTTCTTCTTCTATTTTCCAACAATTTAATCAGATCGTTCGCATGTTAATTGCTGTTGTATTTATTTTCGTCATCTGCTGGTTACCTTATCATATCTATTTTCTGATTATATTTCATTTTCCAAAAATATCACATTATAAGAATATACAAAACATTTACCTGGCGATCTATTGGTTAGCAATGTCCAATTCAATCTACAATCCTGTGATATATTACAAAATGAATGGAAGGTAATTAAGATGATAAACAATATTGTTAAAGAGAAGACATTTAATTAGCTTTGTTTTGTTGTTTACTTTTGATTAGATTTCGTCGATATTTCCAAAGTATATTGTGTTTCTGTTGTTCTAATCATAAAGATCAATATGATTCAAAGTGGAATAATTTGTCAATGAGACGTCGAGTTGCTGGAAAAAGATTCTATCCCAATAATTATAATGCCGGTGGAACCAATAACACCGCCAATACAAGTCCCACCGGCCTTGGTGGGGTCGTTATTGGTAATGGTTATCGTTCAAATTATCGTAATAAAAAGCAACAATCAAATTATGCCAACAATTCAACTCGATCAACCCATTCAAATAATACTAAATCAATTACCAATGGTTCAATTGATATGGTTCCGAGGTGTACAGAGATAAATTCAAATTGTTCAACACCCTGAACATGATCAATTTTATTATTGTGCTAACGATTAACATGAAACATGATTTAATTGTAAAAACAACAACAACAACAACAAACTAAATCAAATCATATTGTACAAAAATAAATCATTATGTTTATTATTATATTAATAGTTGACTATTTTATAATTGTTATATATGATTAAGTTGATTATCTGTAATGTGATTATCATGATTAAATTGTCAGGTTAATTTTAGTTCCAATGGTTGATTGTTATATTGAATATGAATAAAGCATCAATTGTGATGATAACAATCATGATAATCAATATTTACACAAATGATAAAGGTAAACAATTAATACCATTGGATTTGATTTTCCATCAATATTAATTGTAACAGTGACACTGATTAATCCAATTAAACGATGATATTCAATTGTCATTGATAAATATGATTTTTATAGTACATAACAATTAAATCAATTGGCAATACAGTTATTATTTGCTATTGATTTGGACAGATTCAAGTGAAATTTAAATTATTGATACAATCGAAATGATTGATATCAACATTTTTACACTTAAAGTGATCAGATTAAATTGTTGCCTGAAAATAATATACTAACAATCAATGATCAATAATGGCTTTTGTTACTGTTAATGGTTTACAAGTGTATCTATTATGTATCATGATAATTCAATGAGAATCAATAAAATCGCAGGTAATCAAATCAATGGAAGGAAAAACAATTCCTACAGTTTTAGGAAAAAGTTCTCAACAAAATGATTGGTTGATCAGAATTTTTCATTTCGAACCAAAAAACGTAAATGTTCAAATTACGATTACATCAATTACCATTTTCATTTGATTCTTTTCCAGCCAGAAATCGGGATAATCATCATGGTTGTTGATACAACTTTTCAAATTCTCCATCATTATCATGTATTAGCCTTTTACAATTTTCTCTCTCTCTCTCTCTTCATGATGATTTTTTCTTCCATTTATCAAAATTCTCATTCATTGCTATTATCATCTTCCACCATGAAGCCAGAACTCCAGAGTTCAACCAGCATGAGAGATTCTGATCTGCTATCAAGTATTAAAATCACTTCAACATCTTATTCTGGTTCCTGGTTTCCTATGTGATCCACATGATAATGTTTACCTTATATCATGTTCCTGTTTCCTTATATCAATATTTTCATGTGATGGTAACAATTAAGTTAATGATGATTAAATAACGAACCTCAATTCTGTTCCCAGATAAACAATTTATTTTCATTGTTCTCACAAATTTGTACAGTTGTTCAAATGATTAAATGTTTTCCCGTTGTGTGTTTGATTAAAGATTATTGTAATTCCTTCATTAACAATTAACCATAAATCAGATGATTAAATTAACCTAAATGGAAACTTAATCGTTTTTTTTTTGTTAATAGAATTAAACTTTTATATTTAAATGTTTTCCAGCACATTTGATTTGCGAGCTAATTGTTTTGGTTAATTTTTCATCTTCAAAACTTTAACATTTTAAATTATGAAAAAAAAATCAGAGTCTTTTGATTTAGATTTTTCATCTTAATTGTTATTAGTGATGTTTTTTTTTCTTGTTTTGTTTATTATGTAGAGATGGACTTGTGTTTTGTTTGTTGCTGATGATAACTGATTAATTGTTTTTGTTTACAAAATATTATCTTTTTTCACTAATGCAACAATTTTTTGTGTCGCTTGAATTGATGAGTTTACAAATGAATTTTATATATATTTATAGAGAGAGAGAGGGAATCGGGTAAAAGAAGGAGAGAAACAATTTACTGGGAGTGAGGTAGAAAAAGAGGGAGCGTTTGTGTGTGTGTGTGTGTTTATGTGAATGAGTGTGTGAGTGGAGAGAGTCTGAAGAGAGAAGAGGATAATTTTTAAAGTACAAAGTGAGGAAGAAGGAGAAAAGAGAGAGAGAGTGAGATGTACTTTTGTTGTGATTGAGAAGATGTAAAAGGAAGATGGATTAAGAGAAATCAGTTTAGGAAACCTCGACATTGCGGTGTCGAGCATAAACAGGGTATCTTCTCATCTTCTATAGGGAATTTATAATCGTAGGTTATTTCTTCATCCACTTCTATGGGTTGTTTAGAATATATCACAATTTTCTTATGACTTTCAACGGTGATAACTTTAGCATAGCAGTTTGGCTGTAAGGAAAAAGAGAAGAGAAAAAAAAACAAAATTGAATTAGATAAAGAAACGTTACTATTATTATAAGTAAATTGATAAGCCATGATTATCAATATGATCAAATGATATAATTAACACTGAGAAAAGTAAAAAATGAATTCCCTAATAACATAAATTTAAACACAATTACAGTTTTTTAGAATACAATTATCGCGCTAAAATTAAATAAGGCTCCATCTTTTGACTAAATGATCAGCTTTATGATAAAATGAATGATTCATTGGCTGAATGATGAAAAAGCTCAGTCAGCTGATTAGATAACAGAAAAATGAAAAATAATTTCAGACAAATTGTTAGGGTTTAATGTTTCCTTATGTTAATCACTTATGACTCTTCCCCTCCCTCGTGGATAAAAAAGATCAGTGTTGATTTTTTCAAGACTATCAATTAATGAGTAATAAATTGTACTTACAGTGCAACTATGATTTATAAAACGAGCCAGATTTCCAGATTTGGTGGCATCTATAATAGTTTCTAAATCGACCCTGAATAGATACGAACTTCCAATGCCCATTTCGTTGTATTTCTTTTCTCTTAGATCCGCGACTATTGGCCTGATCGCCTGTCCCACGTATTCGATGACCATTTCATCAGCAGCGATCGGTTCCAGAGCAAAAAGTCCCCAATCGTGGATTCTACTTCTTGCAAATTTAAGTTGTTTTTTACGGAACTGGAATATAGGAAAGAAGAGAGGAGAGAGAGAGAGAGAGAGTTAGAAAGGCATTAAATCAATGTTGAAATTTAAATCGTAAGATTGATTGTGAGTTTCAAAGGTAAGATAAGGTAAGGAATATATTTAATACCTGTAGGTGATTAAATTTAACAAGATCTGACCAAGCAGCGTCCTGAACACTGGCCAATAGTCTTCGTTGATTTGAACGAGCTTCACGTGTTGACTGTTGAGTGGTTGGCATTCGCACCCTTAGTGCTTTTTGTTTCTCATCGTTAACAGAGGTTGAGGTGAGATACGAATACTTCATCTTTTCACTTTTGGTCATCTTATAATAACCTTCGGTTCGAGCACAACCCGTTGTATGAACTTTAGGATGATTATCATCTGTTTTACGTTTCTTTCTAGGCACTGAGTCTTTACAGGCAGTTGGTGGATGGTCAAACCAATGGATTTCATTTAACCACCAATATCTTGAATCTTCTTGAAGTAACATAAGATCATATGATCGTTTTAAATAGTTGATATCTTCAGCATCAATTCCGTTGGTTAAAAAGTCGTATAATATTTTCAACTCATCAATTGGTTCTCTAGGTTTAAAGACAGTTTTCACTTGTTCCATAAAATCATCGGCAACAATTTCATAATCAATAATCTCACTTGCATTATTACGCTTTGCCCGACGCCATTCAGAGGCAACACGAGGGAAGACGGAGAAATCACTTGGTATCACTGGTGTTGTAGTGGTTGATGATTTTTTCTTATTCCATTTTTTCCCTGCCTTTTCATGTGATTTACTATAAACATGATCATTAACCATATCAACATCATCTTCATCATCGTGACCTTTTACAACGGAGTCAATAACAGAGTCAATAACAGAATCAATACTTGGTTTTATCAACACCTCTTTAGAACCTTTTCGAATACAATAAGAGTGATCAAAAGCGACCGATTCAACGGGCATATCGACCTCTGAATTGTCAAACCTTTCAGATTCAGGAGCTGAATCGGTTTCACTTGCACTTTTTACTCTTCCATCTTTCTTTTCTAATTCACTTGATTTAACATCTGAATGAAGTAATTTATCTCCGGATGGTTTAAAACATGTAGATAAAGCAACTAGTGCTTCGGATGCTTCAAATTCAAGTCTACTAAGATCATTTTTAGGTTCAATTTTCACTTCGATGGTTGACTTTTGTTTATTACTAATTGTTGTTGTTGGTTTGGCAGTGTCTTTAAATTCCTTGTTTAAAATAGTCTCTTGGAAGGAAGTTTCATCATCTTCTGATGTGATCAATTTACGATTACTAGATTTGGATTTAATTTTCACTGGTCCCTCTTCATCTGTGGCTACAGTTGATTCATCATCACTGGAAACCTCAGAATCTGAACTTAAATCTGAACCAAAAGGTTCATCCTCATCACTTGAACTAGAACTTGAGCTGCTACTGGCGATCCCAGAAGTCATACTAGAACTGCTGATACTTGATAAACTGTGACTTCGGTGCCTTCGTGCTTTTGTTTGACTAGATTCAGATTCATCGGAGGACGAATCGTGCCTTTCATCTTCAATTACCGCAGCGGCTCGATTTTTCTTCCAATTACTGCTTACGGTAGCTCCATTTTTGTACATTTCCTCGTCAACAGATGATTTTTTACTATCTTCATCGTCAGAAGCAACTTTTGCATCTCGAGATTCTTCATCTTCTTGTGGTGGTGTTGGTGGTTTTCTCATTTTACGCCGGAAAGAAGGCATTTTGGGTATCACTGAACGTAGACCAAGGCCTAAACCAAAGCCTGCATTATTACTAATTTTAAAAGTATTAATTTCCTTGCTTTTGTCATAAAAAGTTGATATTGCAGCCCAAGAAGAGTTGATAGCACTAGATTCCTTTTTATCTTCTTGTTGATTATTGTTATTCTGAGGTTGGGTATTTGTTGTTACCGATGTAACTGTTGATGAGGTATCTTTGATTCGACTTTTTTGTTTCGATTTCTCGTGATCATCCCACCAACTGTCAAACATTCGGAAGGCAGTATTTTCAACCATTTTTTTCCTAATATCTCTATCAATTATTTCTTTCAGTTCTTGGACAATCTTCTCACAAACACGTTGGGTTAAAGGTCTTCTCTTGTCTTCTAATCTTCGTTGTTTCCAATTTCCTTCGTCCCTATTTGACTTTTGTTGATTCTGATGGTTATCATGGTTATTCAATCGCATCTTGTTGTTGACCAAGTTGTTACTTGAATTTGGCATTGCTAAAAAACCGGAGATCGGATAACTGGTAAAAAGTCCTGAAGATGTGAATGGAAAAGGAGTAAAAGGAGGTCTGGAAGGTGTTATGGCTAAATTGGTTAGTGGGTATGAGAGAGGTTGAAATGTTTGATGGAATGAACCAACAGAAGTAAAATAACTTTGCTGACCACCACCAGTAGGTGGCATTCCAATTACACCGGAACCCATTCCGGGTTTCCAAATACCCATTCGGGCCATCATTTGGACTTGTTCACTTGGGAACATTGGGTGATGAACAATACCTGAAGTCATGGAAGGCTCATTAGCTGTCACTTGAAGTTTCTCACCGCTACTTAAAGATGATAAAGACATTCTATCATCATCTCCACCACCATGGTTTTTTACAGCTTGAAGTTTTTTAATCTTTGAACGCTTTTTACTAGAGGTTATACTTTTCATCTTTAAGTGGGGTTGCATTACCATCCTGATCATCAATGTTAAAATCGTCTTCCTCGTCGCCTTCATCACTATTTAAACAAGGTTCTCTTCCCGCATCAATTTCTTTGGTCATTTTGTAACATTCAATGAAAGCCGTTCCCGTTTCAAAAGGTGATGGTGGTGTTTCACAAACAGAATCCGCTTTGTCTAATAACATATCGGGTTCTGATGTATTTGAGTCTTCTTGATGTAATGACAATTTGGTCCCAAATGATTGGGTAAATTCTTGTGTGAATCCAGTTTGATCGAAAGGAGGACTACCCAAACCAGACATACCTCCAATTTCACCGAGAAAAGTTGGCGCTGAACCGATATGCCTTTGTTGAAGAAGCAATTCTATTCTTGAGTCTAAACTTTCTCTCATTGGACTTCCTTTAGGGATAGTTGGTGTATTGTTAACATTTGATGTTGCATCCCATAAACTTGCCTGAGCCCAGCTTGGCATACCGGTTGAATTATTAATAAAAGACATACTACCACCGCCGAATGGATAATTACTATCCGGCGGTCTCATTGATCCAGCTTGATCAGGATAAGGGATTGTTGCGCCATTATTTTTACAATTATAACCATAATGAGATGATTGTACACTAGGAAGAGATGAATTTTCTGATGGTTTTGAGTTGAGATGGCTAACATCAATGTCGGTCCCACTAGATGTATAATGTTTATTAGAAGTTGGAGGTTGAGTTGGTTTTGGTGGTGGTGGTGGATTGATATGCTGTTCCTTAAGTTGATTAATCTTTTTACCTGAGAGATGAAAATATGTAAAAGAAGAGAGAAAAATATAAAAAAACATATTACATGGAAAGTTGAAAAAAAAAAAAGTCATACTGACCATGTGGATCATAAAAAACAATGAGAATATTTCCCATGACAGTTTCATTATTCATTTTCTCAACACAAGCTTTGGCTGCATTTGTGCTGGCAAATGTTACCCGAGCTAATCCCAAGTGTTTATTATTTTTGGGATGATAATAGATTTCAAGTTCTTCAACTTCACCATATGGCTCCAATAGTCCTTTTAAAAAATTTTCCTTTACGTTATCATTTAAATTTGAAATTGAAACTTCTACAGGTGGAGGAGGACCAACATAATTACTATCAATCTAAAATAAAGGAGAGAAAGAAGAAAAATAAACAAGAGAGAGAGAGAGAAAGAGAAAGTGAGAGTGAGAGTGAGAGCCAGAGAAAATAAATATTAGACATGAGATAATTTCTCTTTGCGATTCAATTCTTACTTTGAACTTTGTTAATTTGTATTCAAATGTCTCTGAGCTTTTTAATCGAATGTTCAATTTGGATCGAGGATCTTTGGGTACAACTGGTGGATATAAACATTCCTTCTGTTAATGAAAAAAAAGAACAAGAAGACAAGGATAAAAGACATGATAACAAATGAAGAAGATTAATGTAAGTATGACCATCAATAGCCATTTGTTTGGTCGAGGAGAAAATTGAAAGAAACCTAACGAAGAAAAAAGGCTAAAAATTGGAAGAACATTTAAAATAAAAATTCATCTCATGTGAGAGAGATTAAGAGAAAAAAGTGATAGAGAAGAAGAGAAAAAGAGAGAAAAAGAGAGAAAGTAGAATGAGAAAAGAAGAAAATAAAAAAAAAGAAAGAGAAAAAAAGAGAAAAGAAAACATCAGTAAAGAGAAAACCACTTACCCCAGCTACTACACCTTCATATCGGTAAACTTTAGTAGATCCCTTTTTAAATGCTGGGTCCACAATTAATTTCCAATTTTCTGTTTTATGATTAGCCATTGATGAAGGCTTTTCCATAATAAAAGCACCATCAATGGTAAGGAAATAATTAGAAGAGGTAATTAATTAAATTGGCTAAAAATTCACACAACAAATCGACACAAGAAAAAAAAATACAAGAAATTCACATTCAGTGTGCAATTGATGAGCCGATCAAAGAATATCCGATACTCGAAACGAATCCGATAAAATATCTCCTAACACTAAGGCGGTTTTTTCGAAAAAGAGAAGAACAAAAAAAAGCGAAACCAAAGAGAAAGAGAATAGAATTGAAAAGACAGAGACACAGACAGAGAATTAATTTCTACGTTTCGTTTTCACTTTCTTTCTCTTTCTTTCTCTGTTTCTTTTATTCTCTTTCACATCGTTTTCTTTTCTCTCTCTCTCTCTTGGTTGTTTTTTATTCTTTTTTTATTCTTTATTCTTTTCCATTTGTAGTTTAATAACCATACGAGTTGTTGGAAATTTGATCAAATTGTTTCATCTTTAATTGAATTGATTTTTGTTTCATTCTATTCTCACCTTAAGTAAATTATGTCTTCACCTGAAGAAACTAGTAACCTTAAAGCTGGACATCCTCCTGCAGGTAATTTATTGTTGATCACAATTATTTACTCTAATTAGTTTCTATTTCCTTTCTGATTGTCTCTTTGTTTTAACTTACCATTATCTCTCTCACTTACCTTATCATTAAACTTCTCTTCCAATCATCTTCTGCTTCCTCTTTGTGTTTATCTTCCTGCAAAATTTTTCTTTTTTTCTCTCTCTCTCTCTCTCTTACCTGTTAACCCACCTCTCACCTCCATTTCACCAGGTTAATGGTGTTTCGATTTGATTTGATCTGTCATCTTCAAGGTTAATTAACGTTATTGTTTAATCTTTTAAAATGAGTCTTCTTCTTAATGTCTTCTTACCTGATTTGTAAGAGGAAATGAAGAAAATAGCAAATCAGCGGAAAAAAAAGAAAAAATCAAATTTTAATCGGTTAATTTTTTCTTTTTCACCCAAATTCTATTCTCTTTTTGTTTTCTATATTCTTTTTGTTTTCTATCCTCTTATGATTCTCTTCTCATCGTCGTCACCATTAGCTTCGTCATCATCTTTTCTATGTTTGTTATTAACACAATTGTGATAATTCAATGGTATTGATGAGGTGTAAACATTTCTACTTACCTGTAATCACATAGCTTTACCTTATTGGTTAAGTAACACACTTATTTTTTTTCTGTTCGTATTTCTTGTGTGTCACCTATTTGGTAATTCCTATCAATGAATATTTGTAGAAATGTTTACCGGTGAAAACAATATCCATCAATATCAATTTTTACCTTTTTTTATATACATTTATATGTATTATTAAGTTATTATGGGTGCTTTCGATAAATCGGTTCGGTAATGATGCATAAAAATAATTCCTCATTGATTAGCAAGTGAGAAATTAACAGTTCAACTAACCATCATTTTCTATTAACCAGTTAACCATGAAAATGATTCCAATAAACATTCAAACACCAGTAACAACATTACCAAGGTAAATCTTGTTACTCTCCAAGTTAGTAAAGCCCTAATTTTAATGTAATATAACAATCATAATGATTATAATCATAGTAATCAAGTAACATGAGGCTGGTTGATTGGCCCTGATTACCTGCTACTTTTTTTATATCATTAATCTGTTCATCTCTCTCTCTCTCTCTCTCTTAAATCATCAACCCTGTACGTTGATGATTATTTTGTTCACTTACCTTTACCTTAATCACATTCATCTTCACCCTAATTTTCTTGATATAATCATTATAATCAGTATAGATACTCACAAGCTTGAGTTTACTGATCGCAATTCATTTTTCGTTAAACAATTAATACACAATTTTTATATGCGTTCACCTTAACAATTCAAATTAACTTGACTTTCTAATATTATTATTATTAAATGGTTATATGAATTTTAAATTGACTGAAGAGAAAAACATCATTAACAGGTTAATCAAATAAGATCATCAGTTAATTGTTTACAATTCTTTTTATATATTTTACTACATATGAGGATTTAGAACAATTAACAAACTTATTTTTTCAGTTTCTATGCTCATCAAGTTGATATAATTTGTTTATTTGATGACGATGATAATGTTTCAACTTGAGAGCTTAATTAACTTCCTATTATTATTATTAAATGGTTATATGAATTTTAAATTGACTGAAGAGAAAAACATCATTAACAGGTTAATCAAATAAGATCATCAGTTAATTGTTTACAATTCTTTTTATATATTTTACTACATATGAGGATTTAGAACAATTAACAAACTTATTTTTTCAGTTTCTATGCTCATCAAGTTGATATAATTTGTTTATTTGATGACGATGATAATGTTTCAACTTGAGAGCTTAATTAACTTCCTATATTATTATTATTATTATTGTATATTCATCAACAACAACAATATACATCATATGGAATAATTAACAAACTTGATTTTGATCTAATCAATTTTTTATTTACAATTTACTGTAAATACCAAACCAGTTGTAAAATCAGAAACAAACTCTTTTAATTGTAAGAGGGTTTTCCCATTTCTTGTGAATATAAAAAAAAAAGTTATCGAACAAAAAAAAGTTAATTAACTGATCAAGATATCAAATCTTGTCATTGTTATAATTGAATGATGATGATGAAGGTGAAATTTGTGTGATGTTTGTGGTAATGATGTATGTGTGTGTGTGTGTTTATGTGTCGTTGATCATAGGCCTTAGGGCTATATGTATCGGTGGCCATTTTGAATTCTCGGAGGCTGATCGCTTAAAAAAAACAATGTTAATTTGTTGGGGTGACAGAAAATGTTGATCCAATTTGATTACGATTCCAAGGATCTACCTTGCGTCTCAAATTGAGATCGTGTTTATATTTTTAGTTGTTGACTGAAAATGTGTGGAAAAAAAAGTTAATTGTGTTGGAATTACAAATTATAAGATAGAGAGAGAGAGAGAGAAAGAAAGAAAAAAAAATAATATTAAAAATACAAGAGAAATTAATTACTATTTCTAATTAGATGATTGTTGTATTTGAGATGAAATTAAAATGATCGTCTACATGTATTGATGCATTGGCCCATAACCTTGATGATGATGATGATGTGGACCACCGTGTCCATGGTGAGCTTGTTGTTGTCCACCATATGGATGAGGTACATAGGCAACAGCGGGATTGGCACCGGCCATTTCCATGTGATGAGGTGCGTAGGGCATGTCCATTCTTTGTGGGTCAAAGGGGAATGGGATCATCATTCCTCTGTCTCCTTTATCAGCTACTGTTGCTGTGGGAACTGGTGAACTGCTTGAGGTCATTGAGCCAACTGGCATTGATCCAGCAGCCATTTGACTTTCTCGTCTCTCAGAACCACCATGACCCCAACCACCATGATGATGAACATGTTCATAGTGAGGAACAGGCATTGGGAAGGGAATATGAGTAATTTTCTGTTCCCCTGGACATTTACCACCTCCAGATGATAAGATGATTTTGTGACCTTTACCTATTATATTAGATTGCGATCATTTTATAATAATCAATTTATATATTGACAATATAAATTGAAGAAAGAAACATAAAAAAGAAAACAAATATAAATCAAATCTAAATAAAACTAATTATCTACATTGAGAATTATTGAAAATTCAATTCTGTAAATTGAATTTTCCATGATAGCAAACTAATAATCTCTAATCCCTATCGATGAATTATATTGATAATATGGTGATGGGTAGATTCAGCAAATCAATTTCAGCAAATTCACTTTCAGCAAAATCTTTTTGAGCAAATTGTTTTTGAGCAAAAACAGAATAGAAGATTTTTACCTTTAGATTAAAATAGTTTAATCAACAATGAATTTACCTTAAATTTTGGGTCCGAAGTTGCGATTAATCAAACAAATATTAGTATTTTGACTATTAGAATCAAGTTAAATCCATCGGTTTCCGTTGTTAGAGTCAAATTTTTCACAAAATTGAGTCACAACTAAGTTTTTGTCTTAATTGTTAATATTATTTTCATTTGATTAGCAATTGCTTGTTTTGCTCAAACACAATTTGCTCAAAAAGATTTTGCTGAAAGTGAATTTGCTGAAATTGATTTGCTGAATCTACCCCAAATCGATAATATTGGTCAACTTACCTTTCTTGCCTTTTCCCTTTTTACCTTGTCCAGCGGTTTTGACAATTGTCCTTGTGTGTCCACCACATTTACCACCTCCATTGTTGTTGATTACAATTACTTCATCTTGATTCATCTTCTTACCTGCCTCAACAAGGCTCAGGTTAACATAGAGAAGAGCGATGAGAAGTATACTCCAAATTGGACTCATTGTTGATTTGCGTTAATTGGAAGTGACAAAAAAAGAGTTGATTAATATTTGGCTTTAAATGGATTGAGAATTAGTTAAGTGTCTCTCTCTACACACTCACAAACGTTTAAATGAAAACTTTTGTTAAATTATCACAAGGAAAAGTATTAATTGTTTGTTTACTCCTGTTTGTTGATGATCACAAATCACAATATGATTTAATTGTCAACACTATTTTCCTTTTATATCTTACTGTTCACTTGTTGATACTCCATGAAACTGAATCATTTTCCGTCAACCCACCGATGTTTTAAACCCATTCGCAAGCCTATTCGCTTGGACGATTCCATGAATACCCTCCTCTCATCATCTTAATCTTCATCTTCTTCTCGATAACTGTAATTCAAATATTCAATTGACACTATTGTTTGACTACAAGATTTTAATCAATCATCTTCTCTCATATTGAAAATACTAATTTTCATCCCTCCCCCGAATCTAATCATCAGCTGGTTAACTCCTTCCCAATGAATTTCCTCACAATAATCTATCATCCTGATGAAGAAAACATAAACTCCTCCCTTGATGATATATTTCAAATTGAATAGTTTATCATGACATGAGATAGAACATGATAGCGATGATATTGTTAGGTTTAAACTCACCTAAAAATGTATTGAACGATGACATGAATCGAAGAGAAAATGTCTCTCTACCTTTCTATTTCTCTGTCGACATGTTGTTCACATTTATCATGATGATTATCGTCATGAATAACTTAAGGTTGACAAAAGTACCGATAATATCAGAACTTTTTTTTTAAGGAAGGTGACAATTTACCCTTTGACTGAGTAACTTTCAAGGTTTAACAATCCATTTGATTACCTGGAAGATGCTGAGTTGTTCATATTAACATGATCATATCATTGTAACAATATCATGATCAGATTTTGAGAGAGAGAGAGAGAAAGAAATATTATCTCTCTCTCTCTCTCTCTCTCTCTTACATTTTCACCCCTTGAATCTACTCCCTTTCGGCACGTACTTGTTATAAACGCACTCGCAACGTGTTTCTGTCACCGTACGTTGGCCTAATTATTTACTCTTCTCAATGATTGTTGATATTTTGATTGTGCTGCTGATATATTACAACTAATTTACTTTAACTACTAATATAACCATTTATACATCGATGTTAATCATAATAAAACATTACGATGATTCCGAAAAAGGCCAACAACGAAAGTGATACTTTCCCTTCTCTATCAGACCGTTACCTCGGCGAATAACCTTTTTTTTTCTCATTTATAATTAGTTAATCAAACAACATTAATCGCGAATCAACATTATTTCATTTATTCAAAATTATCATCAAATCTTCAGTTATATTTGTCCACCATTTAAACGCATTGTCAACAAATTAAACGCCTCGCATGTTATTGTTTCTTAATTGAGATATTGTAGCTTAATTAACTACCTGATAATCATCTGATTGTTTGAATGTTTCAACTCTGAACCTTTAACACTTTGAATGAATAATTTGTTTTTTTGTTTCTTCTTGTAATTCAATTAATTTGCCTTCGTTTTAATTTGGTAATTTTTTTGCATTAATTTTGAATAATTAAGCAAAAATTGAGCAAAATCTAATTTCAATTGATAGTTTTTTCATTTCATCTTCATTTGAATTGCAATTAGTGATTAATTTTCAATTCTGATCATCAATTTATTTCAATCAACTAATTCATCTTGCCAGTTGATTTGCTTTCATTATCATGTTTTCATATTGATATTCAATTTTCATGGTTCCGGTTGGTTTACCTGAGACATGAATCAACTGATGATGATTGACAATTAAACAAATGATGAACACGTTATTGATTTGTAATTATGTTTGTAATCATTTCAAGAAAAAAAAATTGAGAAACTAAATCAATCCAATCAGTTAATTGTTTATATTTAAATATAAATAATATATTACTTTTTTTTTCTTTAAATGGTAAATTTGATATTTGATTGTTAACATTAATTTACTGTTATTGATTAACAGTTAACTTTAATTACCAACAATTAAGTTTACTTTTGCCTTTTTGTTTTGTTTTAACGTGATATTATAATGATGATCTTAAAAATTGATCATTCGGACCTGTGAACAAGTTAATCACTGTTTTTAAATTGATTGTTGTGTTTTCTGTACTCAGCATTGATTAATCACAATCTGTATAAATAAATCAGGGTTATTGTGATCATGATCATGTTAATCATTACAATCATGATCATTATTATATTGGATATCAATTGTTAATGATAATGGGTGATAATAGTTACTATTATTATCCTCGACATTGATTAGAGAAAGTAAAATAATTATATAATAATATATTCATCACTTGACTAAGCAAAGTGTTTAGTTAATTAATGTTGATTAAAATTGTTTCATTTTCTTTTATAATTGTCATTCTTAATTGTTGCCACTATTGTAATTAAAGATTACACCCATTTGGACATTGACAATTAACTAAATTGATCAACTGATTAATCACCTTTCTCTCTCTCTCTCTCTCTTAGATTATTTATTTTTATGATTACTATCAATTCCTAACGATTAGTTTTATTAATTGTTTAATCGTTAACTTTTTGTTAATGTTATTACAATTAGCAATTAGTAAATTGTTTAGTACATAGAGACTTAAGGTCAACTTGACAATCGCTCTCATCAGTTAATCAGTTAATCATTTACAAGTTTACGAAATTGTATCATTTTAATTGTTGTTAATGATTAACATTTTCATGGTCATTAGTTAAGGTAGATAACCTTTTTCAATGATTCTTGATTGATCAATTGTTGAATTACAATTAACCCTTTAAGCTTAATTATTATCCTGAGTGTACAGGAAAAGCAAACACAATGATTAAAATCAATATCTTGTTGATTACAATCAACTCATACATATGATTAGCTTTGTTTACAATTATCATGATGATTGTTATCATTATTTTCACCTTTGATTTTTAGTGATAAACAATCAAGTTAATGAATAATTAACCTTTCTCTTAATTATTGCCAATGAAATTATCCTGAGAAAATATGATTTATTAATGATTAACATTGTTTCAAATTGTCATCAATGTAAAGTAATTGTTATTTAATCACTTTATAAGCAATCAAATTATATCGCAATGATATTAAATTGAATTAAATATCGTTAGTTAATGTTATTGATTTGAATTTGTCACTTTTGATGATATTTATTTAAATGAAAACAATTTTTTGATTGTTTGTTAATATTACGCACGAGTAACAATTAGCCTGATTGTTGAATAATATTTACAGTTATTTTTTATTCATATCACTTTTTTTATCTGGATCATTCAATGAAACTTATTTCAATCTTTTCCGCTGAACAATTATATTAGTTCAATTTATTAATCACCGATTCGCAGTTAACTATTTGATGATTCAATTATCATGATATCTTTTCATGTGCCCCTCAAAATTTAGCTCAAATTGAATACTCTAATTATCACTCTACCCTTTTAAATATATATAAATATATATAAGTAATTGCATAATAATCAATCAATTGCTTTCACTTTTGCTGAACGATCAAACAATTTTGAATGCGCTGTTGTCAACTTACCAACAATTAACTGTCCAATATGATTAATTGTTTTCTTGAAACTTATTATTTAATACTCTCAATGTATTATAATATTAACATTGGGATGAAATTAATTGTCCATTTTGTAAAATATGAAAGTTGATCTCGAATCAACAACATAATTGATTGTTCAATGATAACTAATCGATATTTTCGTTCAATTGTTTAACAGTTAAAGTTGGTGGGATGAGAATCACTCAACATAAACCGGAAAAACCTAAAGAGGAAAAGGAAACTCGACCAGTTGATGAAGAGGCCGAAGAAGAAACTGGAATCCCGATATCTGAAAGTCCACCAAAGACCCAGAATATTGTTATTTCGGGTGCAGTTGCACGAGTATGTTTCCATTAAATTGTCAATGGAATTGTATAAATTGCTAATAATCGTTTCTCTTATTTTCTCCGTTTATTTATTATTCATGAAACAGGGTGACGCTGATTTCCCTCCCGAAGCAATCAAGGCATTCCATGAGAAGCCAACGGCCGCTCACGATTATCGTCCATCCCACCCAAAGAACCACACCATCCAACAACCAAGGAAATAGATTAGTGGGCAATCAACCACACCTCAACCCGCATAAATGTGATGAACCTCAATGACCACAACTAATCAACTGCCCAGTGAAAAAATTATAATTGTGTTCATAGAAAAGCAAATGCGATAAAATTTAAAAGCATCAAAACAAAATCAACAAAAAAAAAGTTAAAGGGCAGATATTTTGGGAACAATTAAGATATTTTTTGGCGTTCGAATTGAACAATTTAATTAACTAATCCATAATTAACAAAAGGGCAAAAATGAGAATCAATCAAGTACATTGGTTACTTGATTACTTATATACTCCATGTATTACAAAGCTAATTGTTGTACAATCCTGATGATAATCAATGATTTGTGGTTAAACTTTGTTTTGATTTTCAGACAAGACAATCAGTTAATTGTCTACAATTAGATTGTAAAACAAATGATTGTTTTCTTGATGATCTGATGACCTCTCTCTCTCTCTCTTCAGGTCATCAGTCCTTTATTTTCATCTCATTCATAAATTAAATTGGTTAAATGTTTACGATAATAGTAATTATATTGATTGATTGTGATGATGATTAACTTTGATTATCAATTTCATTGATAACTTCAGCTACTGATGTGGTTGTTATCATGAATGTTGATCCATCTCGAGGAGATTTAATCTCAATCGGATTAGTTATTGTTGTCGATCCACATGAAAGTATTTGATCAACATAATTTGTAATCAACGTCTTTAAATTGTCGCAATCAGTTGACATTTCGAGAATACCATTGGTAAATTGAGAATCAGTCGAAAGTTGATCTTTACCTGGACGATTAGAACTGTTCGTTAGCTCTGAACTAAGAGCAAGTTCGACCCGTTCTTCCCATCCCTGGAACAATTAAAAACGAGAATCAAGAATTAATGAAAAAATTAAATTTCTCTCTTCGATAAAATGAATTTGAATCAATAATTAATCAGTCAGCATTTAGATTGATTTAGTATAACAACTTTAAATTGGATTGAAATCTTCTTAATGATCAAAATTTGCGATAATTTATTTTAATTTTGTAAACAAACTTGAAGCTCACGCTGATTAATTCACACTGATCACAATTTGATTAAATCGTAGCTAAATTTATTATAATTAAATCTGCGTGATCGTAACTATTTAAAAAAAATGGTACAAATAAGATTAACTTTGTTGATTGGTAGAAAATTAAAAATTAATTTGCTTCATAATCGCGGTTGATTTAACAGTATGATTAAAATTATAATTAAGTTAATCATCGCTGCATCAGTTTGATTGTGAGCGATAAATCAAATCACTTTGATCACCAAATAATTTATACGATATTGAAAATTAGTCAGTTAATCATTTACACTTAATTTCTGACTCTTTGTGGTTTTAAATATAATCAAATCAATTTGATTAATGACTTAATTGTTGATTATTAACTTACCTCATCAGAATCAGGTCTAATTGATGTTGACCAAATGCTTTTCATCAATTTAACTTCATCAGGTTTCATTTTACCAACAATTTCAAGTAAATTGTGAATTAATTGAGTTGCAGAGGCCAATTGATTAGTTGATCGTTCAAATTCAGCTTGACTAGTGACAAGTTGATTAGTTAATGAAAGTATCTGAAACAATTGAGAATGAAACAATTAAATATCAACACTAATGAACATTTGAAAACTTCAACATCGAAGCAAAAAAAAAATGACAATTAAGTTAATCAAATACAAGAAAACAATCAAATCTTATTGGTGATACAAAATCCAAGGTTAAAACTATGAAGATGATGAATTGAAACTACAATTTGAAAGAGATGAGCTTAAGATAAATATGAGATCTTCCAAAATGATATCACTAATTAGGACAATGAAGGTTCCTAATCAAGATGGACAATCAAGTGGACATTTAGAGCCATTGATAGAATTGGTAAAATGTTAATGATCATAATTGTTTGGACCACAGGTAAGTTTCAAAGTAATCACGATGATGTTAAATATCATTTAAATACCATTGATTTCAAGATAATACAAAGATAACCAAGTGGACTGACCACTGGTCAGTTTTGACTGTCACTTGAAAATCAAAATTGATCGAGTATTCAAATCTTGTTGCTATTGGATTAATACTTAATTACTTACAATTGATAAGCAATTGGGTCACAATTAAGAGTCTCTTTCCTCTTTATCAATTATAATTAACTTGTTTCTTTAATTTGATTGTGAAAGTTAATCAGGTTTGATTAGTATTTCCATTATTTGATTAATGCTCTTGAAAATTTTTACTTTTACTTTTTTCTTACTTGATGATTTAGTTAATTTTTATTTTATCGTTGTAATTAACTTCAATTGAATTGAAAATAAATCAACAATCTATTAAGCCTCTTGTTGATTAACATTATCAGACTAATAAATTTAATTAATTTGATAATAATAATACTTAACTAATGGGCTAAAGTTTTAATGGTGATAATAAATTATTTGATTGTAACGTTTTCAGGTTCAATACCTTTAAATGAAAACATTGATTACAACAATTAACAATAATGTAATTGAACAATTAACGGCACAATCATGTTACTCTGTTGTTAATTAATTGTTAATACAATTTTGGATACACTAAATGGTAATGATGGTTGATCAAAATTCATTTTAATTGTTTAGTTAATGAAACAATTAAAATTCAATTTTTCAACACGAAAAACTAATTAAATAACAAAGACAATTGATTATCAATAGATTTCATTGTGAAACTTTTCCTAATCAAATGATAATCATAATCAACAAGCCAATTTTAATCAGTTAACCTGGAGGGTAATTGTATTGGATTATTTTCATCAATTGGAAATGATTTAAATTGATTGTTATTGTTGAGAAAATGTAATTTAACAAAATCAACATTAAGCCAAACAATCAATCATGATTAAAATTGGTTGATTGTTGAAGCTCACACCCTGTTGAGTTTAATATCTCATTGAGATTCAATATTCTTAATCATCTAAACCATAAATTGTTTCTGTATAATTAACTTAATTGTTAATTTCTCCTGATGAAATATTCATTTAAATGTAATAATCAATCATCAGCTGAAAAAAAAGGTTTCTCTCATCATTTAAATCAAATGATTTCAAGACAATTAAAGATTGATAATCAATTGGAATCACCTTTTAATAAGTTGATTATCAATTGATTGGGAGGATAAATTATATTACAGAAATAATCAAAAGTGAACAATTTAAATCTTATATATCATGTATATTTGATATTATATTCATTTGGTATTAGCAATTAACCAAAATTGATTCAATCAACTAATCACCAGTTAATCTTAATCAACATCAGAATCAAATTTATCCCAACTTGATACATTTACTTTGATCAAGAATCAAAGTAAATATAAAAAACAAACAAACTATTAAATCAACTAATCAAGTTAATTATCGTCTCTCTTTTTTTTTACTTATTTCTCAACGTTGATTGTATTTAATTACGATTAAAGTTAATCATTTTTCTCATTGAAACTATTACTTTAAAGTTAGTTAATTAATGATATTAACGTTTTTCTTAATGATTGTTGATTGATGTTTCTTCCTGTGTTGACAAACAACACTCACTGTCAACAAGAGTAATCAACTGATCAAGTTGTTTAAACTTGATTGTCAAGGTAAATTGTGAATCAATAAATTAAATTACCATCTCTCTAAATCATTAAAAATCATCTAATTTGATTAGATTTGTTTTTCTACTTTCCAATCAATCTTAACCTTACCTGTTTTCTAATAAATATTTTTCCCTATTCCAATTAACTAATTGCAATTTACTTGGATATTTATTTATTAATAACAACACCCAGTAGTTAATAATTAGTGAACAACTTTCATTCAGATTAATCAAATCAACAATTTTTGATAATCAATCATTAATTTGGATTAAATTTTTCTTGTTGTTGTTGTTGATACAATAAGATAATCACAATTTAAAACAAAAATGTAACTTGATCCAGAATTTAAATCAATGATTAGTTAAAACTGGGTTGAAGTTTATAATGTTTACTAATCTTAATCATCATGAGCAATTTAGTAATCAGCTTGTCGCAATTTACTGATTGTATTGAGAGATAAAGAAAAACTCAAATTGGATTAACTAATGATGATCTCGTTTCCTCTTGATCTCTTGATATTATTAATCACAATCAGAATCATGATAATGTTAATCAATCTGAGAATCTAAACTCTTGATGAAAAACAAATTAGGTAACAAGTTTCAACGATTATCATTTCTATTAAATATTTTGCTGATTTAATTGAGAAAAAAGTTAATTGTTAATTGTTAATCCAAAATCTTTTACCTTGGAGTAAATTTCATCCAAAAGTATATCGAGATTAGATAATGGAGTTGGATTACGATCTTTAAATTTGATCAGTAATCGCTTTTGAACCGCTCGAAAGTAACTCGTCTTAATTGCCAGGGTTAATGAGAGACTTTTAATCCTATTACGAAGATTAAATCGTCTCTCTAAACAATTAAGATACAATTCAAGGGGAAGAGATGAACGATCATAATAAACTGTTTCCAAATGTATTCCTGATGATTTACATCGGTAGATTAGCTCATTAGCGATTAACGAGATACCATGAAGATTATCTGATCGTAATTTAATCTTATTCAATGAGCCTTTCATTTTGATTCCACTGGTGATTGTTACAATTGACATTGTATCGATATAGAAACTGATTGATAAATTGTTTGATTCAATTGAATCACTTGCAGAGATTGATGGTTGTATTGGTGGAGATGAAGGTTGACCTGAAGATGAACATGATGTTGGATTAATGGTGAGATCACTGAAAATGGTTCTTAGGTTAATCGAACCTTGAACAGTTAAATTCACTTCGATAGGTTGAGGTGGAGATGAAGGTGAAGTTGTTGTTGTTGTTGTTGTCAATGATGATGAAGATGATGAGTGAAAACGACAAATCAAGGATAGAGGAAGATGAAATGGTTTACGATAAACTCGAGGACTACCTGAGGCGTTTGTATAAGTAATCAGGATGGATGATGATAGATTAACAGGTAAAATTAGATTGGATAATGTTGCAATTAAGGTGGTCAGTTGGGTTTCATTGCCCATCGTTAATGAAGGATAAGTTAAAAGAGGTGGTTCAAAGACGATCGGTGAGGATGATTCAATTGAAATTCTTACATTGGAAACTGAATTTTTACAATTTAACGAGATTGTCAATGAAACCATGGGTAGTAAATCATCAATAACATGTCCAGTTGATGATCTGACCAGTGATGTTACCACATTTCCCAAAGTTACTTTGATATCACAACAATCATCATCTGATTCTGATCCATATTTAGATGATGATCTAAGTCCAGTTGTATTATCGCCCGATGGTATTGATGAGGGATTAGAGTTAAATGTTGCGATAATCCGACGTAATTCAGAAAGTTCAGCTTCAGTATCTGCATAATTCACATTGACACTTGACCCTTGGTCATCTGTGCGATTTGCTGTCGATGATAAAGAGGCTGATGGACATGTACCCAAGTAAGAAGCAGCCAATTCACCGGAAGGTGAAAGGGTAACAAAGCTCCATGAATATTGATAAATGAGCCTCTTCCCATGGCGATTGGAGTGAAAGGAAGTTGACTTGACCATCGTAAGCAATTTCCTGAATAGATTAGTAGATTACCATTCTCACTGGCAACCAGGATGATAACACCATCGGAAGATGAGTTGAGGTGTGAGGAGAGAGCGAAAGGAGTAAAGTTCAACTTTTTCATCCAACTGATTGTTCCTGAATCTCTGATTAGATATAAATTACGTTCACCAAGAGCCACAACCAGATTGACCTTTTGTCCAACGTGTGAGTCTGAATTTCGAGTAATGGTTCACCGATCATCAATGACCAATCGGGTGTAATACGACGGCCAGAGGAGCCCGATGAAGGGATAATACCTGTTGATGGTGATCCAGATAATCCTCTTAGATTATTATCATGATCATCAAATGATTTGGTCTCAGTTCCCCTGGAAATGGCCAGAACTTGATAGCGAAATGATTCAAGATACCAAGAACCATTGGAGATAATAAATGAATCGGTTGTCGGTAGATAAATAAATGGACCTGGTAACATGAAATTGGTCAAATGGCGACTGAAGGCGAAACTTTCCTGCTCATAGAAAGATAAAGTTCCATCCATTGACTGGACACACAGAAAATCACGACCTTTCACCTGACCGAAAGGTCCAATCGTGAAATTGTAGGCACTTTGAGGTAAATTGTGTTCGTAAATAAGTAACACGTTATAAGACGAACCATATTCTGTGACTCCAATTGTCGCTAATGTTTGGAAAAGAAAACCGATAATTAGTTAATCAATTGTTTCCCTTTTGTTTTATTCTGGCTTTTTGCTTGTCTAGCCGTTGATTGGCTTTGATAATCTCTTAGCATTTTCGAAAGGCAAAAGGAGATAGAGGATTATCCCTTCGGTGGTAATTGGGATGAGAAAGAGGATTAACTCATGGACAGAGATTGAGGTTTTTCATTGATTCTCATGGAAACTAATCTTCACTGATTTAGAAATCATTTCCAATCCTTTAATTATTTAAGATGTTCACAAAGAGTTAATTGTTTAACATTAACATTTAGATGACAATTCACTTTTTTTCCCATGAAAACTTCAATCCATCTGATTGTCGCTAATTATTTAATCACTAATCAGTTGTTTCGATAATTCAATTGGATATGTGATCATTTACAATTATTTTAATCTTTTAATCCGGACAATTGAAAAGCAAACGAAAACTGGATTAACTTTGTTTTCCTTTGATCAGCTTTGTTGTTTAAACAATTAAACTCATTCATCTTTAATTAGCAATTAAAGGTAAACAATCAAACATCACAAACAAAAGGTGAAAGTGATTAAAGTTACACTTTAGTTTAGACTAATTATCAAATCAACAATTAACAACATTATTGTTTTTTTTTGTTGTCCATCTAATTTAATCAATTTGGCTGATTGCCTTTTCCAATCATCAAAATGATTTAGATAAACAATCAACTCAGTAAATGATTATTTAAATTGCGGATTAAATTAACTATCAAAAGGTTCCGAGTGCGTTTTTTGTTAATTAACCTTCACAACCAGTTGAATAATAAACAAATTGATTGTTACCAATCATTAGTAATTAAATATATTAAATATCTCATTGATTATCTTCAACATAAGCGTGGATTGAAAGTGTTCACCATCAAATTAAACAACTGAATCAAATTACCATTAACAATTAACTTTGATTCATCTTTAGGTAAAGATTTAAATCTTACAACAACAATAACAATAATCATGATAATACCACACACATTAGGAGGTTAACTAAATTTAAATTGTTTTCCAATTGATTAATGACGATTAGTGGTGAAAACTATGATTAAAATGATTCTAATCATTAATAAATTACTTTTTACTCCTTAATTTTCTCGTTGAAAAGTTAATAACAATTAAAGAAACAAGTTTTTCGACTCTCAAAATAAACTTTTAACTGACTAACTTACAATTCCCTATGTAAGTTTATCCTTTAATTACTGACTTAAAATACTCAAAACCGTCTAATTACCTACTAAATGATCATCTTAATTGTTGTAAACAATTTGCATACCTAATGGCATAACTAATTCTGATAATCATAATCATCACATAATATCAATAGATGACAATTAACAATTGAATAGTTGACATTTACATTAGTTACACAGGTATTTGAATCCATAGTGTTTAATTGTTGACACAATGTATTAAATTGTTCAACAGTTTAATTTTTTTACTTTCTCTTTCTCAATAATATTATTATTTACCATTGTTAATGTTTAATTGTTCAATTGATTGTTGATTATTTATGTTTTCAGGTTAATACAATCACAGTTGTGCAAACGTCCAAGCAAACTGTTTATTTGATTATGGTAAACCTTTTCCAATAAGATGATGATACTAATTATTATTATTATTACAATACAATTGTAAATTGTTGCCCTAATTTGGGTTAAATTGTTAACTGTAAATATCTTTATACCTGTGTACCTGAATATATAAGTCCAGTGATCATCTGTGTCCACACAATAGATAAACAATCAAATCAATTTGAAAGGTTTGAAACAATTTAGGGAATGAGATTTGATAATTTTTTTTTGATTATAATGTTGATTGAATTAGGGAAACAATTTACCTGCCGCTGAGTAGATTGATATTTTCCTTGGGTGTAGAACAGCCAAATGAAGGGATTTACTTGCTGATAGAAGTTGCCCTGAGGCTAATTGTAGGATCGGTTGTCGCAGGTCAATTTCAAGAAGAAGATCATTGGCTTGAAATGGTTTCAGTGTTTTATCATCAATCGTATTGGCGGTTGAATAGATTCTCAATATTCCTTCATGACTTCCAGTTATTATTTTATCTTTTTTTTTTTGGAAAAAAAATAAAAATAAAAAGAAAAGACATCATCATATTATCATCATTATCTTTCTGATTGTCAATGAGATAAAAATTGAATCATCATGAAACTTTTTCCTCATCAATTGAAATCATAAATCATCCGAAAACTTGATAATCATCAATGAATTTATTTCTCTCGTAAAATCAAACCAAACGATTTCCTGTCTCTTTACCAATTAACTTAATTGTCTCCTAATTAGTTAACAAGTTGATCAACAGAATGACAACAATTATTATTATTCAGTAAAATCTAAGTTTGATCAATTCGTTTCAAGTCTATGGAATCGTCTATGGTGAATGTTGTATTATTTTGATGAATTTCCATTGAAGACAAACTGTTAGAATCTTTCATCATGGTTGATTGATTGATATGGAGAAAAAGAGATGAGGATGGAGAGAGAGAGAGAGAGAGAGAGAGAGAGAGAGATTGGGAAAAGCGTGAGAATTGAAAGTCGTAAATTGTTGGTCTAAATTGTTGTTAAATTGATGGGTTTCGAGAGTCGTTCTTATGATTAGTAGTTATTAAAGATTAAAATCAATTCATTCATTGACTAATAACAATAATCATTGACATTCCAGCATCATTATCATCATCCTGAGCATCGTCTTCAAGTATTATCTTCATCTTTTATCTTCTTTTTTATCTCGCTCTCTCTCTCTCTCTTTCTCTCTTCTCTGTGTAGGTCGGTAGATTGAACATTTTTCCTTCTTCGTATTTATCATGACGAGATAATCCTTTTTCTCTTGTTGTTTGTCTCTCTCCCTCTCCACCGCCTCTTCATCTCTCCATCATCATCATCTCTCTTTAGATACTATCAGTAGATAATAAAGGAATCACCACCCACCCTGTAAATTGTCCTGAGAAACTAAATTATCTTAAGATTTAAATCTGACTTGAAATATCAACCAATCGATAAGAGGTTTTTATGAGGCCATCATAAATTGACCAAAACCTTAACTACAATTGACAGTCACTTTTTGGTGGACACTCTCAAGATGAAGATGATGCTACTCTTGTTACTAGTGATGAGGATGAGGAGAACCCAAGTCTCATTTTAATCTCTGTCGCGACTCGAGTAACCAAAACAATCAACTAACTATGAAGAGTTGTTAGTTACGCTCAACAAGAATTCCGCTTCTCATCATTTCTCTTGCAAAAGACAAGGGAGACAGAGAAAGGGAGAAAGAGAGAGAGAAAACCCTCTCGGCGATATTTACCTGACTCTCTCTCTCTCTTTCATCATCTTCCTTTTCTATTTTTCCAAGTAATATTCAATTCCTATTAGTACATGAAAAGAAACACTCATTTCCATGCAAATCTATTGTGTGGTCAAGATGAGAAGAGCTGAGTGACCAATACGATGATATAAACAATTAGATACATAAGAAAAAAACTGTTCTTAGGATTAAGATATGATTAACTGAACGGCTTCTTTGTGCGGTGTAAGTTTATCAGTCAGATTAATCAGTTAATCCTCTTAATCAGGACAAGAGAGAGAGAGAGAGAGAGAGAGAGAGAGAGACTTTCCTCTTAATCTGTTCCTAAATTTGAGCCTTTGTTATTATTATACAAAAGGATGGAAAAAGCAATCAACATAATTGTTAATCAACAACAACAACAAATCATGATAATCATCTAATTACCATGGCTATTGATACTTTGATTATTACTATTAGAGTTTATTGCTTCTGCCAATCATTATTGTCTCTTCGAATGGTCAATATATTGGTTTTTAAATTTGCTTCACTGGTCATTCTGATCACTATGGTCACTTTGGTCAATTGTTATTGTTGCTGAACATCAATGATTTACACTAATTTACCTTTGGTAATGATTTGTGATCTTCAAAGTGATCACTTTCATTTTGATTAGTGTTTTTCCTTAGTTCGAGTAGTTAATTTAATTGTAATTGTAATTCTCTTACCTGAATTGTCTCGACTATTATCAATATTAGCGATTACTAAAGACGCTGGTCCGAAAGTTTCATCACTTCCTGCATTGGTTGTCCACCAATCTCGAGCACGAAATAGTGACATAATTGTGTCTTTTAATTGTGACAATTAAATGATTGAGATAAGTGTAGACAATGAATTAACAAGTAGACACCAGAATTGAATGATTTACACTGAGAAATTATCATTAGTTAGATAATCAAAACAATGAGTTGCCAAGGAGTTTTTTCTGGATTTGGGTTATCAGGGAAATAGAAAGAGGAAAAGAAAGACAATAAGTGGGTGGAAATGATGATAAATTTGGGTAGAGGAGAGAGAGAGAGAGAGAGAGAGTCGATGGAATGATAAATTGATGATTAAAGATGAGGAAGAACGTGCTGGTTAATTGATGATTAACGAGAACGAAGTTATCAAAGTGATAATAATAATAATGATTATCTTGATCTGATAAAATTCAGTAGCATGATAATAGTTTGAATAATAATCTGAGATGAAACAAATTAACTGCAAGGTTAAACTGAGTAAATTAATGAAATTTAATTGAAAAGTCTAAGTAAAAGGTATTCTAGTTAATAATCATTTAAATTGTTAAATGAAAGAGAAAAAGAAAGGGAAAGTTTTCTCTCTTTCGTAAAATTTGTAAAGAGATGATGTCACGAGTATGTTGATGATGAGGATGAAGAAAGATGAAGATGATTGGGAGAGTCAATGGAAAGATGAAAAGAAAGAGAGATAGACAGACAGAGAAAGAGAGAGAGAGAGAGAGAAAAGTTTGAACGGAAGATTATTGGGAGCGAACGAGCTAGTTTGTTATAAGAAAGAAAGAAAAAAAGAAAGAGAGAAAGAGAGATTGAGAGAGAGAAGAAGATGATGATGATGATGACCAAGGCGAGAGAGAGAGAGAGATTTCTCTTCTTCATCTCGACCAGTTTTCATTTCGTTTGAAACAAGAGAAAGTACAAGTTACTTTGGAAGGAGAAAAACTTGGAACATATCAAAATACCTCATCATCCTTCATCATCCTCATCCATAAACCTCATCATCTTTCATCTTTCATCTTGTCATCTAATATCTACAATATGATAACATTAATTACCAATGAAACAATTAAAAGATCAGTATTTTCATCGTCAACGTTCATAGTAGATTGTATTCTATCAACTTTAATCCTTTTTATCATAATTAATCAAAAATTTATCCAAGTTTCATGTTCCAAGAATTTAAGTTTCATCCAAGGTACAAAATCTTTAATCATTTACTTAATCATAATGTTCATCAATTTTTTATTGTGATTGAATTGTTGTAATTTAATCATTGATTCAATTGTTTCCAAGGAAATTTGCTTTTAGTTATTATTTTTTAATTCGTTTTACTCAATTCATTTCCACCATTGGTTACATCAGATCACAACGATCACCAATCAATTATTATCAATCAAATTATTGATTAATTCTTGGATTAAATCACTCAACTAATTAAATGATTCTTTTTCTCGTTCAATCACCATTTCTCCAGGTTCACCAATTAAGTGCGCAAACGAAGGTCAGTTGATTAAAGTTCCGTTCCTGCCCAAGGATCCATGTAACATATCATGTAAATGTGTCGCTGGTGAGGTTACATGTCAAAGGGAATCGTGTTTCGGTTTTGAAGGCGGAGGTCGAAGTGGACTAAGTGGTAGTGGGCTTTTCAATTCCGGAGGGTTCGGTAGTGCCAAGGCAAGTGTATATCAAAATGGTGTCGGTAGTGGCAGTGTCTCTGCGATTGGAATCAATAACAACAATCGTAATAAAGTTAATTCTAATCATCAGCAACAGTTAAACAACAAAAACGGTTTCGGTGTTTGTAAAATTGATTCAAATCCGTCACGATTATTGACCTTTGATGGTTTTTCCTACAAGTATATTGGTCGTTTTAATTATGTTGCAACTCGAGATTGTTCAAAGAAAATTTTCTCAGTTCATTTAGTGAATACTGATTCAGGTAATGAATCAACTCCATCATCATCCTCATCCTCATCTTCATCTTCATCTTCTTCATCATTTTTACCTGCAACTTCCGCTGCTTGGACTAGTAATACAATTAAAGATCATCATCCCCTCATGAACACTAATTCCAATCATCACCAATTAAATTATTCAATTATAACAAGTAATCATCTAGACCAATCATCTAAATTAACACCACCAATTAGACCTTCATTTAATACAATTGTCGTTAAAATTAAAGGAATTAAAGTTCGAATAAGTCAATCGAGTGTTAAAATTGGACGAAAAGAGATCAATTTACCTTATGTCAAACTCGGTGTCCTTTCGGTCATTCGAGATGGACCTAAGATTATAGTTCGATCAAATATTGGTAAGTTAATTGTTCCAAATTTTACTTTTCAATCAATTGAATTTTATTATTTTTCTCTTGATTTTGTTTTTCGTCTATTTTAATTGATTTTGTGTTCATTTTCCAATTGGTTCATTTTTGTTGGAAATTTGATTTTATTTATCTTAATAGGAATTCGTGTAACATGGAATCGTCATGATACAACTCAGATTTTCATTCCTCGTAGTTATAAAGGTCAAGTTTGTGGACTTTGTGGGAACTTCAATGGTAATCCAAAGGACGATTTAAAGACTAAACGTGGATTAAGATCAACCGATCTGACGAAGTTCTTTAATTCTTGGAAAGTTGGTGGACATCGAAGTACAAAAGATGTAATTGTTCTCAAATTGTATCAATATACTCGATTACGGACTAAGAAGAAGAAAATTTTCAACATGAGTTGACCAAGAAGGAGATAGAGAGAGAAGACGAACAATAATAAGAATAAGGAAGTAAGATGATGAAGGAAGATGAAAAAGGAAACAGTGATAAAGGTGATGAGGATGAACGAGAAGAGGCGAGAAAGTGAAAGAGAGAGAGAGAGAGAGAGAGAGAGAGTATATTATTAATAAAAAATATAAGCTTTACATCAATTTTTTTCGCTCATAAGATTCGTGCAGATAATATAGAGACAAAGAAGCTAATGGGTGAAGAGAGACCAAGATATTAATTAACACAATTACATCGCGTATCGTTTAGTCCAAAGTCTTGCAATTCGATCATGTTCTTCCCTATGTTGTAAATATTGTGTGGCTATGTTTCCAACAAGAGGATCAGCTAAATGAAGAAAATAAAACGTAAATTAGTTGAAATTTTCATCATAACAAATAATTAAATTGATGTAAAGTTTATATTACCAGGATTGGAATCTGTTAATAGTGAACAAATTGACAACAGAACCTTGGCAATAGTTAAAGCGGGACTCCAATTGTCTTTCAATATATCCAAACATATAACGCCTTGACTATTTATATTACAATGATAGATTCGAGTTCGGAAAGTGACCTTTAGGAATGAGAGAGAAAAATTATCAACAAAAATTTCTCATATTTGAGTAAAATTCAACAAGGATAACATTTCATTCAATAACATATCATGTTAACATTATCAGTCCTTGATAATATTGTAAATTGTATAAAAAAAATCAACTATTCATTCAAATTGATCTGTATGAAAATGTATATATTGTACAATAATGGCTCCTAATTTTGTATTAAATGATTAATATTTTTCTTATCTTAAAATTTCATTTCTTTTAACTTGAATAACATTGAACAAACTAATTGGTCTTCTAGTGTAATTAATCAAGATTAAATTACATTCATTGGTTAGTATAAACAAATTGAATTGTAATTTAACTTGGAGAAAGGAAGAAAACTAATAACTAAAACTTTCAATTAGTAGAGAGGAATATCAATCAAATCAGTGATGAATTTGAATGATTATCATTGAAATAGATACAAAAAGTTGTAATTTATCACTTGATAAGACAAGTTGTTAGACTTTTGAGAAGATTTAATTGATTTTTCCAATTAAATTGTTTGGGTGATTTAATTTTCCGAAAGGATTGCCAATCAACTGGGAAGATGATGATGTAAAGGAAGACGAAGGCAAAAAGGAAACTATTACTACGACAGCAAGTAAGGAGTAACCAACTCCCTCTGGAGACAACAGTTAGTACAATGATGAAAAGGTCTTTCTTTCTTTCTGTCTTCTTTTTCTATTATTTTTGTGATCACAATTAAAGTTCCAACCTTTGGAGGTTTGAATGGATATTCTGGTGAGAAATGAATATCCAAGAAGAAAACTCCTCCTTCATAAACTGATCCTGGAGGTCCTAATATGGTTGATACCCATTCGTATAGATTATCGCCTTTTGGACCAGCACTAAATGAGGAAGAAAACGAAATAAAAACATTAGAGCAAAAATAATAACAAACAGGTCGAAATTAGAGTGATAACATTTTCATTTTTTTATCAGAACAAAACCGAACCCAAATACAGAAAGAGAAACTTGAATAGTATCAAAAAGACATTTCCAAGAGGAGGAGATGAGAAATAGACAGAGAGAGAGATTAAGTTGTTTGTGGAAATCGAGAAAAAGGTCAACCTTATTTCTCACAAAGTTGATTTCTCTTTTCTACCAAGAGAAATAGAGGAAAATAAAGTAGAAAGAAAGAAAGAAAGAAAGAAAGAAAGAAAGAAAGAAAGAAAGAGAGAGAGAGAGAGAGAGAGAGAGAGAGAGAGAGAGAGAGAGAGAGAGAGAGAGAGAGAGAGATGTATTTCGATTAAGGAAGGAGAAAGATGAGAAGAAGAAAACTAGAAGAAAGGTAAAAATGCTTTTTTCTTCTCAATATATGAAAAGAAAATGGGAAGTTACGAAGGTAGAGAAACAGAGAGATGAATAGAGCTCATGTCTTCCAATGATGGTCATCGTCACCACCATCATCAAATTGACCCTTGTTAAACTGTTCTGGTAGTTATCAAGTGAAACCATTTGATATCATCAACTGAAATTACTTCGTGATCCATTTAAATTAACTTGTTATATCAAAATCTCTAACCAATTGGTTGTATATGAACACTTCCAATTTCAATTCCAATACAAACACATAAAATATTATACATTGCAATTTGATTTGATAAAATACAAAATCAATCGTAAAAGCAAAAACTTATATTAAGATAAATATTAAGATTGAGATAAACACAGGTAGATAATCAGGTTATTTTCATCGGTTAATAAACTGTTACTATTTAGCTAATTACTGAAATAAATTTATATCAATTTTCATGGGTTATAAACCATAAACTATGATAGATGAGCTTCTTTTGCAAACTAATCGTTGATATGAAATAAGTTTGGAAAAGGTAAAAATATAATAATATCATTGAAACAAAATCCAGCAAAAGTAAATCAATTCATGTTGAGTGAATTTCTGTTGATAAGCTTTATATTCAAACCAGAATCAATAATCTGTGTTGAGGAAAAATGATCAAAGTTGATGTTCTGTATGAGAATAGACCAGAATAGATAATAGAAAACCATGTGAATTCTGATCCTCTCTTTTTCTGAATAAAATGATATTCATCATTATTTTCACTTTAAATTCTATGGAAAATTTTTATGCAGGAAAATGATCGATTTTATTTCTTCTTTACTTGATTTTTTTTATACAGATTCATTATTACTCTCTCATTGACCTCAGGGCTTTTCAAGTTCCAATAACTTGTCTGTTATCTTGTCTGATAATTATGATAATAAAAAAAAGGGATAAAGGAAAATAACAAATAGTTGTTTTTTTCTGATCATATGAAATTCAGATTCAGTTGGAAGAGTTGGAGAAGTGTAAGTGATGACACAATTAGATGTATAAGCTTTCATAAGTTGACAGTAAATGATTGAGGGGAACATTGTTTTAATCACTAAGAGGATAATTTCATTAAGAGATTTAGATTAACTTAATTACAATAATAATCATAATATATTAGTTATTGTAAAAGTTATGAGACTATTATGTCAACATGAACAGTAAATTCATCAAAGTTTAAACAAATGAATGAAATTTTCATCAAAATTCATCCAAAGTATCAAAAGTAATTCTTAAAATGAGAAATATAAATAAAAAGTAACAATTAAATCACAAGTTCTGTAATATCTTTATTACGCCTGATCTTCATGGTAACATGAATAGTATTTACATGAGAGGAAAGATTAGAGATTAAGTTCAATGATGTAATTTTAATTTCAAATTGAATATTCAATTATTAACCATGTTAACCTAATAGACTTGGCTGAGTTTTGTTGACCTTTTTTTTCATTATCTGTAGCAATCAAATAAGATCAACTAATTGCTGGTGGGTGAATCGTTTCAAATCAGAATCAGTAGTAATAGTTTACTATCATGAAATTATACAGACTATCATTGATTCAACATTTCAATGGATTCAAGAAAATATCAATTCAAGTGTTGAAATTTCTCATGAAAAGTATAATAACTAATGTATCATAGTTAATATCAGTTTCGTGATTTTCTTGCAATAGAAAAAATTTTTTTTACCTAACAATGATAGAGATTTACAGAAATCAATGAGAATTTCAATTCTGTGTTATCTTCATGGTTAAATATCATCATGATAAGGAAAGTTTCCTTCAATTGAGTCTGTGTCTAAATGAATCAACTGTATCATATGAAGTAATACATTAAAAGACATTTTAATTGAAATTTGTTGATAATATGAAAAGCTAACAAACTTAATCAATGAATTAATCTGAATGGACAAAATCAGAGTGAAAACTAATCACTAATGGTGATTAGCGGTGAAATTAATTAACCAATTGATTGATAATAACAATGTTTACGGGCACATACACTTTAACTTTTACTTGTTAAGATAATTGATAGTATTAATACAATATGTATTCATAGAGATGTTGATAAAAATCAATAGACAGAATAAAAGTTCATTAACAATCCATTAGTCCAGAAAAACTAATCAATGATTAACATGAGGGTAAAAATGAAGAAGAGGAAATGAGATGAGATGATAAGGTGATGATTGAATGAGAAGGAAGAGAAAAACATTAATAAGATGAAAGATCAAAGTATAATTAATAAATAAATATCATGATAATTTGGTTAATAATAATCATCATCATAAATTGATTAATAAGATTATTATTATTTATAAGAAAACACCAAATGAAAACTGTCAATAAATTGTTTACATAATAATAGTAAGATAGATGTATAATAAATGGATTGATTATATTGGGAATTTGGTGGAGATGAATTAAAGAAATTAAATTAATTGTAAAAGTGGAAATAGCAATCAAACAATACAGAGAAATGAAACAAAGATCATTTCTAATTGAAATCTATTTATATTCACAATTACCATGATAGAAGATTTTTATTTCATGGAATCAGTTTGTTTCCTTTAATCTAATCCAATTCACTTTCTGGCTAATACAATAATATAACAAGAGAAGACGCATAAAAAGCTGACAGACTCAAAAAATACATCAAGATGAGGATGATGATCAAGGAGAGAATAAGATGAAAAGAAGACGAATAATAAAGTGAGTGAGAGAGAGAGAGAGAGAGAGTAGAATGATAAGTAAACGAGATGAATAAGAATAGAAAATAGATATGGGTGGAAATGGAGAGAACTTCATTTCGAATCGTATTTGTATGTACTTTAAAAGGTGAATGGTGAAAATAATGATCAGGGTGATGGAACATAATGAACAGGAATTGAAAAAAAGTGCATGAACTTTTTTTTTGATATCGGAATAGAGTTTGAATTGAGTGAGAGAGAAAAAAAATACAGATTATCTTCTATCAAGTTTGATATAAGTTTTTATAATATGTGAGTTTCTCTCTCACTTTATTTGAATGGATAAACACGCAAGTGAAGGCTTATCGATTGATACGAGATGTGTGTGTGTGTGTTGTCAACAACAACATTAATATGAAAATAATTTGAAATTTGATAATTTGAGATAATTTGGTGTTGATAAGTTGACTAGACGATCGATACTTTATGAGTTTATCAACGTTTTCTAATATTGGGTCACTGTCACAACAATCAAATTAGCTGACGATTATGTTAGAGAATTAATTTGATTGCATTTACCAAATTGGTTAGTTGTTTGCTATTAAAAAAATGTGATTTACTATTGATTAAGAAATCTTGTTTGAGAATTAGTAATAGAAAAGGTGGAAAAGTCTATGACAAAATGAGAAAATAGTGTAATAATCAAATGTGTATTGCGAGTGAGTTAGAGAGAGAGAGAGCAGATTTGTTCCAATTTTACTGATTAGTTTGAGTCGTTTACTTTTTTTCTCAACTGATTTGTTCAATGTAATGTCACATTGCTCTTTGCTATTCTGTCGTAAAAATAGTAAAGATTAACAAAGTTATTGAATCAATATCAATAAGAACAAATCTGATTACATAGATATTGTTTTTTTACTTAGCTTCTTTCTGAGATCCGATCAGAGTACTTTACCTTTGACAGTTTGATATAACTTGAAACGAACAAATTTTTTTCTTTCTCTACTTTTCATCTCATGTCAACATTGACCAAGTAAATAAAAAGAGCGTTCATAATAAATGTTAACCTTACCTACAGTTTGGCGGAGGATCCAGGGTAATCTCTGCAAGCTCTTTCTGAATCCTATAGAGAAAGAGAGAGAGAGAGAGAGAGAAAAGGAGCAAAAAGAGAGGTAAGTTAATGATGAAATAGATGAAGAGGGAGAGAAGACAAGGGATGAAAGAGGGAAGAAGGAGAGAGGGAGAAATGATGAGGATATAAGTCAGATTTGAGGGAAAACAAGCGTTATAGAAATACAGGGCTAAGGTTGAAAGAGAAAAGGCAAGATGATGATGATGATGGTTAACGCTAAACTAAATCGATCATGTTGTAGAAGAGAAGATAGACAGAAATGGGGAGGGAGGGAGAAAGAAAGAGAGATAGAGAAACACTTTGAAGAAAAGAGGAGTTGGACAACTTGTAAGCTGAGAAAGAGACATAACAACAAAGTCATGAGCACTTTTTTTCTCTCTCTCTTGAAAAAGAGAAACAAAGAAACAGATTGAGAAATAAGCAATTCAAACCTTTTAGCACTGGTTGATAATGATTTGTGCATTCGAGGATTATCATGAAATCGATGAGTGAGAGAGGTTTCTCTTGATTTAACTCGTTCGGTGGAAGTTGGAGTTGCTGCGTTTCGGGCAGATTCCGATTCACCTGATTCAATGTGACCATTGGATCCATTGGTTATCGATCCACGACTTGCAGAATTACTGGAGTCTGAAGATGAAGATGAAGAGGTGGAGGTGGATGAGGAGGTTGTAGAAGTTGATAGAGAAGAAGAAGCAGAAGCCGACGATACACTATGGGTACCATTAGAAGAACTTGGCATCGAAAGGGAGACACTGTTATTAAAATTCGATGTCGAAGGTAAATTGTTGTTTGGTCCAGCTGATGATGAAGATGATGAGGCATCGGTTGTTGGAGTGGTAGATGAGTTGCTACCTGAGATACGACCACCACTAACCTTCATTCTTTTGTTTCTTTCTCTATCTAATCTTTCTTCATTCATCTTTGATAGTTTTCTTTAGATGTAAGAACAGGTAGAGAGTTACAACTATATATAAGGTCCAAAAAGAATAAGGTAACTATTGTAACTGTAGAATATTGAAAAGGAAGAGAGAAAATAAAAACAATCTAAGAAAATTAAACGAGGAAAAAAAAGATTTCACCGATTGATTTGCACAGAGAAAAAATGAAATTTTAAGAATAAAAAGGAGAGAAAAAACAGTAAGTAAAGATATGGAAAAATTGGGAAAATGAGGCAAGGAAAAAGAGAAAAAAAGAAGAGAAAGACGAAGAGAAAATGATGAGGATTGAATAAAGAGGAAGAGGAGAAAAAGCGAGAGAGAGAAGAGAAAAAGATCCTTCAAGGAGTATAGAGAAAAGCTAAGAGGCATAAGCATATAAAATACAAAATAACAAAAGCAAAGAGAGAAAGAGAGAGAGAGAGAGACAGAGAGGGAAAGAGAGACAGAGAGAGCGAAAGATGAGATATAATAATCAAATCAGGCCTGAGCTTCTTGTTAATATTAAACAGAATTTGACCAGAAATGAAGGGCCATGTTGATGGTGGAAATATTCAAGTTTGAATAGAAAGCGATGGAATCAACATTCATTGAGCAAATTAATTAAACGCTCAAGACAGGAAATGGCTTGGAAACAAGGGAGGAAGGAGAGAGAGAGAGAGAGAGAGATAAATTTTAAAGAAACATTTTATATTCTCTAAAGAATTATCAAGATGAGGTCACTTGTTTATTCTTAATCTTGTTGTTTCTCTGTTTTTTTCTTCTTCTTCTTCTTGTCTCGGTAGAAGAGAACATGAAAGAAGTAAAAAATAAGGAGAAACTAAAAAAGATTTAGAAATAGCATTAAAAGCTATTCTCAGAGCTAATTCGTTAAACAATGGACCATAATTTACTTACTTGATTTAGAATTTGAAATAAAAAACAAAGGTAAAATCTATTAAAAGAATATGATAAATTCTAAAAAAGATGTCGATGAAAGAACAAAGATTTTTCTCTTACCGGTATAAGTGTTTACACTCTCATAGGGTTTGTTTTGTTTGTTATGAATTCGGTGTCGCTGTGGTTTTGTCAAATGCTTTTTGCTTTCTAAAGAGAAAGAGAAAAAATGATCATTAAAGAGAAATTATGGAACAATATTAATAACATTGGGATAGGCAAGAAGATGTAAAGAGATGAAAATGTCACAAAAGATGAAACTGCAGACAGAAAGGAAAAGAAAAATGACCATAAAGAAAAAAAAGAGAAAAGAAGCAAAAAAAGCAAATGTAGAAGAAGAAAAAGAGAAAACAAAAAATTGAAATGGAAAAATTTTCGAAAAACAGAGTTGATTGAATAAGAAACTTACCCCAAATAAGAATAGTGATTACAAATAATTGTAATTGGTAATTAATCTCATTGAGAGAGATTCAATTCTCCAAACTAATTAAAGTGACACAATTGATTAAACTGTTTCTCATCAGTGATGATTAAAAGTGCGACCAAGATTAACTCTTTTTACCACCAGGTGGCGATTCCATAGCGAATCATATGTTCAATTAGTTTGTCGATTTGTCAATGAAACTTTTTCCTCGATTACTATTTATTGTAAATGTCTATTTGTTTCAAATACTGAGTGAAAATTGATTTAATTTTTGGAGGGTGTGTTGCTAATTATGGATGGATTTTACTTCCAGGATATTACGAGGCTCGTAAAGATTTGATGACCATTAGGATCTTTGTGTTGATGGACAGAAATTTAAATTATCAATTTAAGTTCATTTGTGTTCATCGTGACCGAAATATTGAATTAATGAGTTATTATTATGAGTATGATGATCGTTAGGATGAAGAAGACAATTAGAGGGGGAAAAGTTTTTCACTGGACATTATTGATTATCGCAATTTTGTATAATATTAATGTTATCATTTGATTGACAGAAATGAAAGTCAAAGAAAAAGTTTTATTGACATTCAACTGATTTTGATCATTTGAAAAGATTCAAGTGAAATTAATATCAACTAACACCCTTGTAAATTATTATTATAAATTGATTAATTTATATTATATTAGTTATAACTGTTAATTGTGATTGTGAGAAAAACAAATTGTCAATCGATTTTGTTTTTCTCTTCTTGTTTTCAATGGTATTATGATTAATCTTCGTCTTCATCAAGATCTAAATCTTCCAACATCTCTTGTAAAGTGATCTGGGGTATTCCTTCATGATCCAAATCGTCCGTGTCAACCGCCATTTCTGAATTAATCTTTTTCTTATCAAGGTAAACATTAACACGCTCACGAAGCATGGGATCTTCTTCTAAATCATCCATAAATTCAGCGATATCATCACCTTCCGAAGATGCTGTGTCATCGATAACCTCAATTCGTTTCAGTTTCCATCTTCGAAGACGTTTACGAGTTGACCGATCTCCATAGAATTTTTTAACCAAAATAACATCCGGAATGTTACCTCGATTTTCAATCTCATATTTCTCAAAATTTGGTTCATTCCAATTTGAATTTGCCATATCATAGCCCATAACCCGATCGAAAGCATTTATTAGATGACCCAAGTGAGTTCGAGTGTGCATTTCTGATTCAGCCGATCCCAGGTCACTACTTCGTTGGACATAAGCGTCGGCTAATGCGTGCTACAAAATTTAAGAGAAGATTATTAGTTACAATTAGAATATGAAAAAGATTCTTCTGAAATTTGAATCAATATGAAAACAAACCTTTGTGGACATGTGAGCTTTTGATTGACCAGGAATTTGTTTCCTATTAATTATGTCAACAGCAATTGCTGTATATTCAACTAATTGTTTAGAATTGGCTAAAGCTTTGAAAGGATGTCTCCAGTAGTTTTGATTAGTCAGTTCAGCATCTAAATTAATTTGGATAAATTTGAAGAAAATGGTTAACGATTTGATTGGGAAAACAAATTAATATGAAAATACTTACATCTTAGGGTGAAAGGGTCAAGTAGATAAATATTATTGGTGACCCTTAGAACTAAGCAAAGTGGCCCGATGTTACCAAGTGAGGCTGCGAGCGGAGGTGGAAGGCAAACTAAATCATCTTTACAGATTGGAATAATTTCAACTGAAAATGAGTGTTTGTAGACGAAAGTGTTGTTGTGAACATCGTGAGTGATCAATTGTTGGGATGGAACATATCGACAAGGTACAACGTTTTGAAGAAAATCGACAAATTTTCGAGCATCATCTTTCTTGTCAAAGAAAAAGTCAACACCTTCCGTTGTCGCTTTTACTGAGGTACAATTGGTGTGGGCTTTATGTTTAAGAATTGATTGTTCAAGGAAGAAAAAGGTTTTCTTATGGTTAACCTTTTGTCGTACTTGGACCAATGCTCTCCAGAAATCTTTGGCCTCTCGTCGATGACAAGCCTCACAGAATTGATTGTTAACAACATACTCGACAATGAAGACTTGTTGTAAAACGGTTCCACCATGGACCTCTTGTTGAACGGTCAGTTTAACCTTAACCCGTTTCGAGTGAGGTTCAGTCCAAACGAATGAAGCATCTGTTAAGTGAACCTAGAGAAGAGTCAATTTTGTTTGAGAGGAAAATCAAATGATAAAAAAATGATCAAGAGAAACAAATTAATAACAATACAAAATATACGAACCTTGTTAAGATTTTTCAATTTTTTAAGACACAAAGACAGCAATTCACGTGATTCTAATTCACAGTTAATCCAATTTCCTTGAGAATGCTGATATCTAGGAGATTAATTGTTTGATAAGGAAAAAATCAATCAAAGGAAAATGATTCTTTGTGGTTTTATCAAAGTTAATCAACTTACCTTTCACAGCCTCGGCAAAAGTAAAGATTACTTGATTTAGGAATATCTTGGGTTATATCGAAATTTGTTTTCAAACAAGATGCACACATATTAGATGGATTAGGGTCAATTAAAACACCACAAACACAACATAATCTAAATGATGAAAGAATAAACAAAAAACGAATGAGCCTTAAAGAACAAAAAAATTGATGGACAATTAATTGAAATTAACTTACATTTTACCCTGTGTTTGAGTGATTTGATCAGCTTCCAAGTACTCCATGACTTTGAATTAATCTTATTCAATAAGAATCGAAAATTAATTGTAAATAAAATTAATTAATTACAAAGAAATTGATCAACGTGGATCAACAATTAAACAAGAATGAAAATTTTCCAAATGCAAACATGTGTTTATCTTTATACTTCGTAAATAGAACACTAGATGGCAGCAAAAGAAGAAAAAAAGTTCGATTATTTTTTAATTGAAGTTAATCAGTTTTTTTCAATTTCTAAGAATCAATTTTTATTTGATTTCTATTTGAATAAATTGTAGAATTATTGTTGTATCCAATTGCTGTATTCTATTCACTTTATTCTGGTTTTTGTTTTATTCTAATGAAAGAAATTCGTTTTATTCACTAATTGGAAAAAAGAGTTGAAATTTTTGAGAAAAAAAACATTGGATTTTTTTAATTCTCTCTATGAGAAATTGATTGTTACATTACCATGACCTTGAAACGCGTTGATTTCTCGTTCATATGGTGGCCTTTATAAGGAGATGATAAGGTTAAGGGTAAAAAGGTTAGAGTTTATGTTTACATTAAAGTGAACATATTTGATTAGATTGCTGGGAAAATCATCATGAGAAAGAAAAAGTTACAGTTTTTGTTTTCTTTTCTTTTCTTTTCTCCTTCCATTACAATTGAGTCAATTAAATTGACAAATCGAATCTAACCTTGGACTTTCTATTACTATTCTAGTTAACCTACAACCCTTTTCGTTGTTTAGCTTAACCCTAAACCCGATACAAGGTCTTAGGTCACAACCTTTTCAAAACGGTAAACAACAGACGATTTTCATTCTATTGACATTGAGATTAACCATTTTAAAAGTAAAAGTGTTAACCCTTTCGACAATTTGTCCTTCGATTGTAACAATTTAACCCGACGGGAACCTTTAGTGGCCTTGGAACATCAAAATCCAACCTGAACACTAGGTTAACGGAACCAAAGGGTTACAAATAAAAATACAAAAAACAGAAAATCAATAAGAAAACCATGGAAATAGAAAAGAAAAGAAATTAAAACTCTTACGATTTAAAAGAGAAAAATATTCCGAAAAGATGGTAAAGGGTTTAAACAGCTAAACTTAAAGGGCTAAGGTCTTAAGAGCTAAGGTCTAAAAGGCTAAACTCAAAATCGCTAAATACAGGGCAATTGAATATAATTGGATTTAATTGAATAACTGCTGAAAATCTTCTATGCAATAAATTCATCATAACGTGCATTGCAAAGCTCATAGAAACCTCAAAACTTGTCAGTAGTGTCTCTGAATATTCTTCTTTGTAGAATTACCTTCAGATGACCTCGAAACGTGTTATTTTACCGATGACCTGAATGACCTTGATCTTTTGATATGACAAACAAGTATTGCTCAAACTCATACCACTCAAGTCTCGTGTCTTTACGACTTTTAGTTGCTGAGAAAATCGCAAAAAACATCGGTAAAAATAGCTGAATTGCCCTGTAGATTAAATTGCAATTGAAGATTCGAAATTAAAATGTTTAAACTAAATTGTTTTTCTCATGAATAAATAGATTTACTTATTATTTATTGAATTTTTGGAGAATATATTTTCTGAATCATTTTTCCTTCGCCATTCATCGTGATAGTTTTAACTCTACGAATAATTGATGAAATGGAAAATAATTTTTTCTTCGTGAAATCCAATAAAGGTGCAAATTTACTAGTTTTTGACAATTATATACATAGTAAAAAACGAACGATTGGTGATCGAAGTCATTCACGTAAATGAATCTAAATCGTACAATTTGTGATTCAATTGAGTATCATCTTCGAAACGGTTGTTTCAGACGAAATTACTTTCAGGTAAAAGTTAAGTTGAAATGGAATAAACTGATCACCATTGTATTAATTATCGACAATTGACAATCAAAGGTCCAATGCGAGTTTTTTCTTTATGGACAAAAGATCAGTCTATCAAAAGTTCATTGTTACGATCATTCATTCACGCAAATGAATCTAAATCGTACAATTTGTGATTCAATTGAGTATCATCTTCGAAACAGTTGTTTCAATCATGTGAATTGAAATGTTGTCTTTTTCACTTTGGCCAAAGTTTGTGGCGGAATGTAGGTAAACATGGATTAATCGAAAGATACAAATCAGAATTGGACGGAGTGAAAGACACAGTGAGAAGGCTATCGGCTCTACCTTTTCTACAGTTACCTGATATTGTACCTTGTTTTCATAGAATCCGTTCCTTAGCTCCCAATGATGCAATGATGATGAATTTTATTGAATATTTCGAAAGAACATATTTACTTTGTGAATCGCGATTTCCCATGGAAATTCGGAATCATCATAATGACTCTGACTTGATGACCAATAATCACGTAGAAGGCTGGCACTCAGGATTCAACAAATCAGTTGGTCGAAATCATGCAAATTTATGGATGTTCATCGAAAGTTTGATAAAACAACAAAATAATCATGAAGTTCTGCTTCTCATGGCCGCTCATGGATCCCGCTCAGGAATTGGAACCCGAAAATATAGAGATATCAATGAAAGAATCCTGAATCTGACTTCTGATTACGATAATCTACTAATTGACTCCTTTGAATTTCTTGAAAAGGTCAAATACTACACTAAATTAGCAGAATTTAATTAATTCGAATAATTAAACTTTTTTTCCTCAAAACTATGCGCAGTAGATAACGCTTCATCTGATCTATGCGCACTACAATACTTCATTAATTAAAATGACCATTATTAATTCATTGATAACAATAATTTGTATTTATCCCTCGGCTGAATCAGAATAATGAATTCAAAAAAAAAGTTTTTTAATTGCGCCATCTATTGAGAAAAAGAACTTTCAAGTCATGCACATTGTAAAAATTAGCTCTTATGATTTTGCTCTTTAGAGTTGGCTTTTTAGACCTTAGCTGGGCTTAGCTATTTACAACCAAAACCGAAAAGATAACTAAACCTTTTAAACCAAAACAATCAGCTAATTGTAAAACCAAAATAACAGTTCCAATAGATGTGAAAACAAATTCAAACGATTAATCACAATGATAACAAGAAAAAAATTAAAAAGATTAAATAAAAACCCAAACATGATTTCAAATCGGTAAATTTTTTACTCAATAATTACAGTGATTACATTTAATTTATATATACAATTATGTAAATTTCGAAATCGGTTAATCAAGTTGGTGTCGATACTTGTGCTCGTAAAAGACCACGAGCACAAGTATCGACAAGATTAACAATGTTACTGTAGATTATGTTGAAATCGTGTTGACAATCTCGAAGTCGTCCACAAGTTACTGGTAAATTGTCGATGAGAATATCAATATCATCGATAATTTGAACGGAAGCAAATCGAACCTTTCGAACTGAAACTTAGGCACATCGAACCGATAGAGCACGAACAGAGTCTTGTTCTAGAGCGACTGATTTAGCCTGAAGAGCACTCAGACTTTCCATTTCAGTTCGACGACGAATTTCAACCAACCATTGGCCGACACAAGTCGAGAGAGAGAGAGAGAGAGAGAGAGAGATAATTATCATAATGGTTATTATGATGATGGTTGTTATTTTCTTGATAACGATGATGATTAAATGAATTGATTAAATTATCTCGAGGGCAACCAGATTTGTTATTATCTCTCATCTTATTGTTTATATTTGAACTGGTATCTATTGTTGAATTAGTTGATTGTTGAAGTAATCGTTGACCAAGAATAAAATGATTTGCTAATGATGAACTGCTATTTGAGGTGTTATTTTGTTGATTGTGACCATTTAAATGATGATGATGGTGATGATGATAATTAGAGTTTGTATAATGATTAGTACTATTGTTATTATTATTAGAGTTATTATTTAATCCGTTGGCACTTTTAGTTGATTTGGTAATTAAAATGTGATCTGATGAGGTTACACTGTTCCTATCATATGATCCTGGTGATGATGATGATAAACTTTCATCTTCATTTAAACCATAAGATGAGCTATTGGTGTTAATGTTATTTGAATTATTGATGTTATTGGTCGTTCGCGATAATAATGATGAATTAGATGAAGATGAGGATGAAGATGAAGATGATGAAGTAGGTCCATCGTTATTGTCCCGAATCGTGAAATTTTGCCATTGAACGGGTAATAATGAGGCATATGAACAGGTAGATGTTGTATTCATATTTCCAGGTGAGTTACAATTTCTGTCTCCGTCTGAGCTACTATTGCTGTTACCATTGTGATGATTTAATGATGAAAGTGATGATGATGAAATTGGTGATACAGGTGATGAGGATGCTGATAAATTATGATAACCATTTGATTGTTGTTGATGTTGTTGTTGTGATTGTTGTGATTGTTGTGATTGTTGACCATTTTTAGGACCCATTTTGAATGCTAAAAGTTTCTCTGAATGAAGTGTATTTAGAGTTCGAAGGTCGGGAATTTTTTTCTTAAGTTCACTGAATAGACCAGGATTATCGGAATGGTTTGAAATGATTGCTTTCTGAAGGAGATCATCCAATTTACGGTGAATCTTTTGAACTAGATCAGTATTACGAAGACCAGGTCGATCGGGTGAGATGACAACAACCGCACAGAAAAGGGCAATCTCATGATCGGTTAATCCAAGTGCATTGAGCATCTCAGAGAACCAAACATTGAATCAAGTAAAAATCTAGCACTTGATTGTGAATGAAGGGAATCACGTTTAAGAACCATTCCGTTTAAACAGATCATTGAATTGGTCGATTTATCAAACATACAAGCCAAACGTACTAAAAGCACCTCGAAAACACCCGCTTTGAGTAAAGTTATCTGATCGTCTTGGGATAACATTGCAAAACCGGGGATTCGTTTATCAAATTCAACGACACCTCTGATGGCGGGTGAAAATCTTTCACTAAAATCTTCCATTACACCATCAGGTGGACCAACACCACCACCATTTTCAATTGAGGGTGGAAGTGGATTCAATGGACAGGCCATTGTTGATGGACATCGAGCGTAAACTGGATTAGCTCGAGCTTTCTCAATTAACGGGATAACCTTTTCTTTGGTATAATCACAGTTTTCCTCGTGAGCTTGTAAAATATTTAATAACAATCGACTTTCATCTTCCAATTGTTCAGTTAATTGTTTCTCTTGACAATTAGCGTTTACCTTTTGCATGGCTGCGAGTATTTTAGCCTTTTCACGTTTTGGTACACGTCCAAATCTAACAGCGTTTAACAGACATTCCAACAGCGATACACTTTTTTAAACGACAATATTGACATCTATTCCGATTTATTCTGAGGATTGAGCATTGTTGATTTTTAGTACAGAGTTGATATTGAATTTTCTGTTGAATTGAACGACGAAAGAAACCCTTACAACCCTCACATGAATGAACACCATAATGAAACCCTGAGGCTCGATCACCACACACGACATAGAACTGTGGTTCCATCAAATTCAATTTTTAATTCACTGTCTTTAAAACTTGAATCAGCTTCCGAAGTGATATTCGTATTTGACATGGATGATAATAACTGTAGATCTTTTTCACTCAGAATCATCATTGTGTCTAAGATGATAATTGTTAGTACATTTAAATTGTTAGAATATTAAATAATATATTGAGAGTGAGATGAGATTTACACAGAATATTGGTGTCACGACCTTGTAACCCGTTGATTTCTCGTTCATATGGTGGCCTTTATAAGGAGGTGATAAGGTTAAGGGTAAAAAGGTTAGAGTTTATGTTTACATTAAAGTGAACATATGTGATTAGATTGAAGGAAAATCATCATGAGAAAGAAAAAGTTACAGTTTTTGTTTTGTTTTCTTTTCTTTTCTCCTTCCATTACAATTGACAAATCGAATCTGACCTTGGACTTTCTATTACTATTCTAGTTAACCTACAACCCTTTTCGTTGTTTAGCTTAACCCTAAACCCGATACAAGGTCTTAGGTCACAACCTTTTCAAAACGGTAAACAACAGACGATTTTCATTCTATTGACATTGAGATTAACCATTTTAAAAGTAAAAGTGTTAACCCTTTCGACAATTTGTCCTTCGATTGTAACAATTTAACCCGACGGGAACCTTTAGTTGCCTTGAAACATCAAAATCCAACCTGAACACTAGGTTAACGGAACCAAAGGGTTACAAATAAAAATACAAAAAAACAGAAAATCAATAAGAAAACCATGGAAAATAGAAAAGAAAAGAAATTAAATTTCTTACGATTTAAAAGAGAAAAATATTCCGAAAAGATACTTAACCTTTTAAACCACAACAATCAGCTAATTGTAAAACCAAAATACTAATAATAATTAAAAAATTAATCACTAAGACAAGCAATTAGATCCAGTCAAGAACGAGAAACATCAACATTGATTTCTGCTTGAATAATTTATCTAATTGCTTGAAAATCGCAAAATTCGTTCGATGAAAAAAAACTCACACATTGAATCTTAATTAATTGCAATTGGAACTTAATTGTTAATTAAACTCACCGCTTTGGTTGAAATTCTTTTCCACCAGGTGGCGACAATGGAAAATGTCCTATTTGGCCTCTGTGTTTATCTTTGGTTTTGAAGCCTAAAATTTGTAATTTATTTTAATCATCGGTGATTAATTAATTAATCGGTAAATTTTTGACTCAATAATTTGCATTTTTTAGAAGAAAATTGTGTTATTAATCTGTGTTCATTTTCTTTTCTTTCCCCAGTGTTTGTACATTTAGTCTTTAAAATCCGAAGATGAGAATTACCAGTTTGTTGAGAGCTGCAGGAAAACCTCGTTTGGCTTTAATTGATTTGGATTATACTTTATGGCCATGGGGAATTGACCAATTTAAAATGGTTCCACCATACATGAAGAAAGATAATAGTGTTTACGATGCTAAAGGTGTTAAAATGGAACCTTTCCCTGAAGCTGAGAAGGCTCTTAATTTGATTAAAGATCATGGAATTGAATTGGCTGCTGTTTCAAGATCTTACTATTACCATGGAGGACCGATTCTCCTTTTCTATTATGGTTGGGATAAATTGTTCTCACACCAAGAAGTTTTCCCTGCTCGAAAAACTCGCCATGCTACCAATCTTCATGAGACAACTGGTATTCCCTATTCAGAGATGATACTCTTTGATGACGAGAAAAGAAACATTGATGATTTGGCTCCTTTAGGTGTTAATTGTATCGAGGTTAATCCCAAACATGGATTAACTGTTGATTTGGTGAAAAAAGCTTTGGAAAATCTTTCAATGGGAGAAAAACAAAAACTCAAAGCATCTAATTAACCAACTAAACATCTCTTTAACTACAAAAATCACCTGATTATCAACAGAAAAGTAAATTAAAGGAAACAAATGTTACAGTTCCAAAGTGTTTCCTCAATACTAGGAAGACCTTTTAAAGGTGGTCGAAAGATAAACACCATTAATATGTTAACTAGATTTAACTCTATTTAGGATTGATCAATAATTTTGTGAATAAATTTGTTCGACTTTCAATGGTCAACTTATCTATTCTCCAAATCGATTAACATATGATCGGTCATTAAATCCTCAGTTGATTACAAGAGAACGCGAAACAAAATTAACTTACAATGACGAGAATCAAATTAAATATATATTTATATATTTATTAGGAAATTACTTAATCAAAAGTAACCATTTAAACATTAAATTGCACAAGAAAAAAAGTGATATTTACATTTATAAGAAGTTATTACATAAGTACAAAGGTATGTACATATTGGATATAATTATTATGGTTTTTAAAGAAAGAGAGTTTATCTTTTTTTGTTTGATATTATTATTTAGGTGATTCCATTGATTTATCGTTTAAATTGATTCTTTTGTGTTTCCATCAGGTTGAGATGAGACATTGTCGGATTTTACGAACAGTGTTTCTATCTAATTGCATTAAGTCAAAGTCAAAGGCAGCATTGGTCATATTGAAAAGACCTGTTTCTTCAATTATATCTACAATTCGTTGGAGGACATCGCGGTCTCTCAGATCATTTATTTTACGATGTAATATTTTAAGTTGGCTGATATAATCATAGTCGTATGATGAAGGTTGTGATCGGGAATTATTATTGGCTTGTCTAGGAGATACTTGGTTTTCCATTGGGTCATCCATTGGATCCATTTGTTTGGCATGATGTGAAGAATCAATTTCTTTCCTCTTTTTATTACCACTATTATTGTTACCACTTGAAGGATTTTCTCGAATATTTTTATTCCTTTCCATTGAATGTATATTCCTCATTGGTGGCGGTGGTTCGTCTCTCACTGTGTTGTCTTGTTTTCTTTTATTATTATTACCATGAATAGATGAACATTTGTTTATATTAAGTGAATTATTATTATTATTGTTTATGCTATTGTTTTTACTGCCATTGGAGTCTCTTGAGTGATTGGTACTTCTATGGTCAATTGGTGGATTACTGTTCTCATCATCAGATGAGGTTATTTTATCTTTTGAACCAAATGTTAAAGGTGAATGAGGATCACAACTTGATGATAAAGGGGAAACAGGTAATGATTCCTGATCCATTTCAGCCATTAAAGTTGTTATTGGACCATTTAATGATGAAACAGATGAAGGTGCACCGATGAAGGCACCACCTCCGGGTGTTAAAGAGCCGGACACAATTGATGCTGGACTGCTACTTGTTTCTCGTAAACTGTTAACGTGACCACTTAGATGATTGTTACTGTTTACGTTTAAATTTGCACCAAGGTACTTTTCTTTAGGAATCTTTGCATATTTACTTATAACGGGTTCTTTTGAACTGAATAGATCGTCGTGAATGGCATCTTTTTCTTTGTTTCTTTTCTTTTCCTTTTCTTTGTCTTTTTGATCTCGATCTCGATCTTTATCACGATTTTTACTAGATTTCTCTTTACTTTTCTCTTTATCCTTCTTTTCGAGAACAGGTTGTTCTTTTTCCTTCTCTTTGAGCATCTCTTTATCACGAACTTGAACTTTGTTAACATCTTTGCTTACATTTTCTCTACTCGATTTTACTTCGTCACTTTTATGCTCTTTTGATCGAGACTTTTTCATCTCACTGTCCCAGGTTTTCTCCTTTTTCACCGATTTAATTTCCAATGTTGTTGTACCCGTGTTTTCATTGTTGGTTAAACTAATTGTTGTCGAGGTGGACAATTCTTTCTTTACATCTTTCACTTTATGATTACTATTGCTTCCAGTTGTTGCACTTGATGAGACTTGATCACGAGAAGAAACTTTCTGTTTCTTTGATTTCTCTTTATGACTTTTTTCCGAGAGACCATCTTTACTACTTGACTTGATTAGAGATTCGGTCTCCTTCTTGTCAGTGTTGTCAGTTGAAGGAGGAAAAGATGGCGGAGAGAGACTTCGTTTCCTTTTCTTGCTACTGTCTTTAATACCTCCACTTCCACCGACATTTAAATTATCGATGGTTTCCTTTTTTATACTAGTTGTATTATTCAGGCTGGAACTTTTTTTATTTGAAGAAGTGGCACTTAAATTTGGAGTTGTTGGCCTTCCATCAAACGAAGACTTACTAAGCTTATCTTTCTTTACTTTAGGACTTTCATCTCGTTTCTTGAATGACTTGTCTTTTATTGGCTTGGCATCTTTTTCAGTTTTGATTTCTTTCGAACTAATTATGGTTCCATTGATAGGTTTCAGTTTCTTTTCCTTTTCTGATGATTTAATTATCAGATCAGATGAAGATTTAATATTATCGGACGGTGAGATCTTCTTAGTACTTGATTTGTGGCTACTTAAGCTTGATTTGCTTGTTCCACTACCATTTCCACCGTTATCCTAAAATTGCAAAGTAAGTAAAAAAAGACACAAAAATGATGAGTTACCAAGAAAAATATAAATCGAGAACAGGAGAAAAGGAGAGAGGGAGAGAAAAGTAAACGTGTGAGTTGGTGGAACAGAAGAGATGATTGAATAAATGGAATAGAGAGAAAGACAGAAAGAGAGAGAAAGAGAAAGGAAAAAAAAGACAACGTATTCAAAAATGAACATTAAAGAGGTAGATAATTGGTGGAGAAAAAAGTAAATAATCATTTCGACTGAAAGAAAGAGGGAGATGGAAAGAGAGAGAGAAAGAGGATTTGGTGTGAGAGTTTTACCTTTGACTTAAAATTCAGGGAATCGGGCGATGGTCGGGTCTTTATGGGGGTACCAAAAAGATCGGTAAAAGGATCTTGTAATGACTGAGATGAAGATGAGGAAGGTTGAGGTAAAGTGGAGGAGTTGACACTTTTTTCGTGATAACTGCTGATCTGTGAGTGATGAGATGATAATGTAGTAGTTTGTCCTTGGGTTGAAGATAACGATGATTGTTGACTATGTAGAGATTTGTCTTTGGAAGGTATGACACTCGCCATTTTACTAGACTTTTTCTTCTCCCCAGAACCATCTCTGGAAAGCGATTTACTAGATTTGTGACTGTGTTTACTGTCATCTCCCAAAGCCAGGGCAGGAAGAGAGCGAGAGGGAGAATCAGAAATTTGCGATCTATCATGGAGAAGCTAAAAAATGAATACAAAATAGAAATCAAAGTTAATTAGAATCGTGAGTAAAGGTAAAATGGCGAGGAATAATAGAGAAATAATGCAATCAAAATCAGAGAGAACGAGAGCGAGTTAACAAAATCTCTCTCTCTCTCTCTCTCTCTCTCAAATGAAGAAAAAATGTTCATTCAATCAAACAATTGGCTACTCATTTACACGGGTAAATTTGTCCCAGTTTCGGGACGGAAACCAGGAAACAGGAGAGCGAGTTTTCAGGTAAAAAGCAAGCAGAAGAAAAGAAATTGGTGAAAGTATTGATCAAGTCAGGTAGAAAAAGACGGGAGAGAAAGAAAGAAAGAAAGAGAATGAAGAAAGAGAAATAGTAAAGTAGAAAGAGAAAAATAAAATTGGGGTAAAGTTGTTTGCCATCAATTCCTGTTTGCCACATGGCTATACACTTAAAACGTCGTACAGTTAAATCAACATTCATCAACATAACGGATCAAAAGCAACTACAGGGTAACATTTAAATGGGTGATGGACAAAATTTAAAAGGCAAGAAAACAAGAGGAAATAGGAAAAGTTTGTCCAACCTGTGCCCGGATCGAAACATGATTTTTCATCACCAGAAAACAAGAACAAAAACAAAAATAAGATTAAAACGTATCAGAATTGCGTTAAATCTGTTGGGTTCACAATGTTGATATATAAAAATATTGATGATGTTGTTGATGAACAAGTATTAAGGTAAAGATGAATGTTATAATGAGAAGTGAAGAAGAAAAACAAGTGAAGAGGATTTGGAGAAAAAATAGAGAGAGAAAGAGAGAGAGAGATAGGTAAGTGAAACAGATGAAAGAAACTGAATGAATGAAGGCAAAAGAAGATGAGAAAAGCTATTTCTCTAAGAGAAACAGTTTTTAAATAGAAGAAAAGAAACTAGAAAACAGATATCACGACATTGATTGATGAATTATAACCTATCGATTAGAGAGGAGAATCAACACTATAGCAAACGGGGTTAATTAGAATAACTTGTGGATGAATTAACATTTAACGTTGACACTTATTGTGATGGAAAAAACAGTGGAGAAGAAAAAGAATAACATATAAAAAACAGGAGAGGAGAAGAGAATATTTTCTTTGGGTATTTTTCTCCAAACAAGATGTAACTTTCTCTCTCCCCTCACTCTCTAGAAATAAGATCAACATCAAATTAATGTAATAAGGACTGGTTTAAGCACTTTAGAGAGGCAAGGAGAGAGAGAGAGAGAGAGAGAGAAAATGGTGGATGGGGGAAAAGATAATTTTAAGGTGTGAATGAGTTGAAGAGGGAGAGAAATTATAAGATAGCAGAATTTTTTGGGAGAACAGGTGAGTAAGCTGGTGGGAGGAATGACGGGAGATAGAACAATAAGCCTTTACACTCATTAGAAAGTCATCAATTCATGTTGCTCACAATCGCCATCTCTAATTTACCTAAAGTAATAACGTACTACAACCGCTTTCATCAAAATCATTTGAATTAGCTAATTGTCGCAATGGAGTTAAGCTTTATAGCTATTACAGGGTCGTTGGTTTAAAAGCAGAAACATATTGACAAAAATGAGCAACATGAAAGGTGTAAACATGAGCACACAGATAAAGGGGGTTAAGATAATTACGTATCACATATGTGTCATAATGTATTAACATATAAATAATCTAGAAATTTATAAATTTTGATTGATATTTGGTAAGATGGTCAGTGGATTGAGCGAGCGAGAGAGAGAGATATATATGACACATACCCCTCCGCCTTTTAGAAGTTTCTTCCTAAAATCATCACTGGGATTTTTGAATGTGAGCTTCTGGAGTTTTGAATTGTTACAAGGCCCATGGAGTTGGAGGAAAAGGTCGTAAGTATATTCAACCTTCTTTGGCTCATCTTTGTTACGAAAATATATCTCTATGGGTAGCAGAAATCCAGCATAACCACTTTCTGATATTTGATATGGAGGTTCCTTTAAAACTGTTGAGAGAGAGAGAAAAAAAAAGAAAAAGAGAAGAACGTTAATAAAAAAATATATTCATTATAAGAGAAAATAATTTCATCATCATAAAAATGATATCCATCATGGCGCCGTTAATGGCGGTTGACAGGTAACTATCATATATAAAGTGAAGGTAAAAGAAAGAGAACAAGAAAGAAACATATAGTGTTTTCTCTTTAAAACTACAGTAAGAACAACAAATATCGATGTTGAAGCTAAAAGTGACTATATATGTTTGTTTACCAAAGAAAAATAAATTTAAGATACAAGTTAATAGAATAAAATAGATATAAACAAGTCAACAAGGCCTTGGGAGATATGAAATTAGAGAGAAAAAGAGAGATAGTGAGAGTGAAAGATGGCGAGAACGAGAGAGGAAGAAAAAAAGAAAAATAATATAAATATAAGTGGCAAAAGAAGAAGAGAAAAATAGAAGAAGCTAAAAAATTCCCTCTCTTTCTCTTCCTTGACCAAGCTTTAAAATGAATTTCTCATGATATATCAATTGATTACTCACCTCTTCTCGGTTTAGGGAAACTTTCATGTAGTAAAAAGATCACCTTTTCCACATAATATTTAATATTACCTCCATCAATACCCTGAACGTATACGGTCCAATCATGTGTATAGCCTTCTGCCGTAGGCTTTTCTCTGAGGCTTGCACTATGGCCCAACTCTATCTGGACTTCAACATCAACCTTCATTTCTTGGTAGAAATACACTTGTGATAATAAAACACCGATACAATAAGATTCACCCAATACTTATAGACAATATATAATAACTCGAATACTAATTAAAAAACATTTAATTAACTAATAGTTAATTAACAAACAAAAACAAAAAATTAAGAGACATCAGAGGCTCTATTGGTAACATAATAAAAAAGATAAACACAATTAAAAGGCTCGGATCGGAATTCTTCGCCCTCTGGTGTTGCTTTTGAGAAGAAAAAAATCAAAATCATTGCAGAATTTTGAGCGCGCGATTTGAAATCATCTTTGCGATTTTTTTTAATCTTTTTAATTTTAATTATCTTTTTAATTTTTTCTTGTTATCATTGTGATTAATTGTTTTAATTTGTTTTCATCTATTGGAACTGTTATTAATCACGATAAGTTGTTTTTCTTATCTTTATCGTTTAAACTCTGATCATTAATCTGTTTTTAAATGTTTGTTTATGTTTTCGTTTAATTGTTTTGGTGATTCATTTTTTTAATTGTTATTAGTATTTTGGTTTTACAATTAGCTGATTGTTTTGGTTTAAAAGGTTTAGTTATCTTTTCAGAATATTTTTCTCTTTTTAAATGGTAAGAGTTTTAATTTCTTTTCTTTTCTATTTTCCATGGTTTTCTTATTGATTTTCTGTTTTTTTTTGTATTTTATTTGTAACCCTTTGGTTCCGTTAACCTAGAGTTCAGGTTGGATTTTGATGTTTCAAGGCCACTAAAGGTTCCCTTCGGGTTAAATTGTTACAATCGAAGGACAAATTGTCGAAAGGGTTAACACTTTTACTTTTAAAATGGTTAATCTCAATGTCAATAGAATGAAAATCGTCTGTTGTTTACCGTTTTGAAAAGGTTGTGACCTAAGACCTTGTATCGTGTTTAGGGTTAAGCTAAACAACGAAAAGGGTTGTAGGTTAACTAGAATAGTAATAGAAAGTCCAAGGTCAGATTCGATTTGTCAATTGTAATGGAAGGAGAAAAGAAAACAAAACAAAAACTGTAACTTTTTCTTTCTCATGATGATTTTCCCTTCAATCTAATCACATATGTTCACTTTAATGTAAACATAAACTCTAACCTTTTTACCCTTAACCTTATCATCTCCTTATAAAGGCCACCATATGAACGAGAAATGCCAACAAGGTACAAGGTCGTGACACCAATATTACAATCAATTCCCAATAAAGAGAATACAAGAAAAAAAGTTCCATTGGAATGAAAATGGGAAAAAAAAGAAAATGAAAAGGTTTGTTTACATTTTTAGCTCTCCTCTTTTCTCAACCAATTAACCTGAAGAATCAAATTTCTTTTTCTCTTAATTATCTAGAAAATTGTTCAATTCTCTGTGACAATCAAACCAAATGATGGATGAATTTAATTGTTCCAACAAATTGAAATGAAACGAACAAAAAAGTTAACCATAAGAGCGCATCTTCCACCAAGTATGTAACCTCCCTTGTCTTTTACATCATTTGTGTTCTTGCTTCTGGTTAACCGATTGCCCTTGCAAATTGTGTTTCTCTTGATTCTTATTTAAGGTAAGTCAATTTAATCTATTATTCTATTAACACTTTGACTATTAAAAATGATATGTTGTCCATTAATCCAAAATTGTTAGTATCCCAAACACAACAATCAATCGGGTAAATGTTGATTAAGGTTAATTGTTGTTTCTCTTTTTTTTCTTTCTCTTCTTCTATTCTAACCCTTTGGAAAAGCTAAAGAGCTTCAATATCCAATGTTTTGCTTTTAATTTATTTTCTTTTTCTTATTATTTCATTAATTGCTCTTGATTCTAATTGTTCCCTGAGATTTAGAAGATTATCTATTATTCATCAAGATGGGAAGAATATCTCGATCATGTAAAAATTTTCTCAAATGACTTAATCAACATTCACCATTGAATCATTTTCTATTCTCTCTACATGATGAAAAGAATTGCTTATTGGTGATAACCTTGAAGATGACTTTTTTTCCCTGTTGATTCAATTCTCATCACTAATTATTATGTTTTAATTTCGATTCTTTTTATTTCCTTTTTTTTATTTCTCCATCAACATAATTATTATCACATTATTTGTTTCTCATTCTCATTTAATCTTATTTTCCATTTCTTATAAAGATGATTATCTTCTTGCTATCTGATTAACCTTCGCACCAAATAGTTAATAATGTTTTTGGATTTTTGTCATAAGAGAAAATAAGATAATTTAGATAGACAATTATAATCGAGTTAAACAGCAATTCAATAATCAACTTAATCATCTTCAACAATTTTCCACCAATAAGCAATTGATTTCTTTATGATTTCTTGGTGTTTCCCTTCATTTTATCACCTTAATCATTAACTGTTTTCTTTGCTAATTTTTTTTTTCTTCCTTTTCTATTCACAATTACAGTAACTCGTCTAAAGAAAAGATCTTCATCCACTTCATCTTTTTCTTCAAAAATGGCCTACTTTGAATATCTTCCTCTTGAATTACAAAAAGCTTTGAAAGCTACTGCTGATGCCATTGTTGCCCCTGGCAAGGGTATCCTGGCCGCCGATGAATCAACCGGTAAGGATAATTGTGGAAATGTTCATTTTCATTGTGAATTTTTTTCTAATTGTAAATTTTTACTCTTTTTTTCAGGTACCATGGGAAAGCGACTTCAAAACATTGGAGTGGAAAACAATGAGGAGAATCGTCGTACTTACCGTCAATTATTATTCACCAGTAATGATGATATGCCCAAATTCATTAGCGGTGTCATTTTATTTGATGAAACTGTTTACCAAAAAGCCGATGATGGTACACCATTTCCCGATCTATTGAAAAGCAGAGGAATCATTCCCGGAATTAAAGTAGACACTGGTGTTGTTGATCTTCAAGGTACCGAAGGTGAATCAACCACCCAAGGTTTAGATGATTTGTCCAAACGGTGTAAAAAATATTTCGATGCTGGTTGTCGATTTGCTAAATGGCGATGTGTCCTTAAAATCGGTAAACATACACCATCACCATTGGCCATTTTGGAAAATGCCAATGTTCTGGCTCGTTATGCTACCTGTTGTCAACAGGCTGGTTTGGTACCAATTGTTGAACCTGAAATCTTACCTGATGGTGATCACACCTTGGAAAGATGTCAAAAGGTCACCGAGAAAGTATTAGCCGCTGTTTACAAGGCTCTTAGTGATCATAATGTTTATCTTGAAGGTACTTTGCTCAAGCCAAATATGGTTACCTCTGGACAATCCGCTTCCGCCAAGGCTACACCCGAACAAGTTGCTCTGGCTACTGTTACTGCTCTTCAACGAACTGTACCACCCGCTATGCCTGGTGTTGTTTTCCTCTCAGGGGGACAATCGGAGGAAGAAGCTTCAGTTAATTTGAACGCAATCAACAAATTGGCCGCCAAGAAACCTTGGGCTCTTACCTTTAGCTATGGTCGCGCCTTACAGGCCAGCGCCCTTAAAGCTTGGTCTGGTAAGAAGGAAAATATTGGAGCTGGACAAGCTGAATTCCTTAAACGGGCTCAGGTCAGTAAAGATCAATTCAAGTACATGAATACTTGGATATCCTGTTTTCTTTTCCTACTTTCCTCTCTCTTTTTTTATTCTCCATTTTCTACCTTTATTGCATAATTTTACCTTTTAATTTCTAAATTTCTCCCATCAATTATCCTTAACTGCAACTATAATATTGAACAATTTAGGCTAATGGTTTAGCCTGCGTCGGCCAATATCAAGCTGGTTCCATTCCTAGTTTGGCTTCGGTTTCATCTAATTTTGTTGCTTCTCACAAATATTAGATTTAACTCAGTTAATTGCGCTCACGATAATTTACCATTTTCTAGGGTAAAACATAATAATAAGTCTTTAATTTATACTTATTTGTATTGTTTCAAATTCTATCTGTTAATTGATTATCTGGTGTTGGTTTTTTTTCTGGTTGATTAATTTTAATTCTTTGTCGGGATTAAAGCAACAATTGTTTCAAACTCTCTTCATGTTGCTTTGGGTTTTCACTCGTTTCCCTTTCGCTTTTGTTACTAATTCCGTTAATTTCTCAAACAATTTAACCCCTTAACCCAATTCTGTTCACTTTGGGTCAACTTTCACCTTGAACTTTCTCTCTCGTCTTGTTGATATTTGTACAAAATTGTGTCAACTAACATGTTAATTATTTCTGCTAATTCTTATTGACTAATATTGATTTTCAATCTCTTTTTTTCCCTGCTGACCAACAGGCTAACAGTTTGGCATCACTTGGTCAATATGATGGTGGTATCGCTGGAGCTGCTGCTGGTGAAGGACTTTTCATCAAAAATCATGCTTATTGATTTAATCATTTTCCTAACAATCAACTTAACAACAATAGTTAACACTGTTTCTAGTTTATACACTTATTATTATTCATGTTTGACCATTTGTTTTCTGTTTCTTTCCCACCGCTCACGAACCACAAGTTTAGCTTATTGTTTATTTCCTTTTCCTTTTCGATCGTTTCTTTTTTGTTAGTTTCTATTTAGATTTCGTTAATCATTTCAATCGTTGCCAATCTATTTTTAATCATAATCTTCACGCCTTTTTGCCCCTTTAATTGTTAACCATTTCAAGCAATATGTCATCTTATTTCTCTATTCTGTTATATCGATCTGAGTTATTAATCAAAAGTAAATGGTAAACCTGTAACTACAATTAACCAAAGGTAAACTTGACATGGAAAAATGGACAAATACCCTTGGTTGACTTCTTGTAATTGGGTCACTAATTAATCAATTGGTCTACATTTAATCATCATTATTAATCTATTGATTTCTTTTTTTTCTGATACTTTCCTTTATCGTCATCATCGATTAATTGAAATTTTACCTGCTAATTGTTTCTCCTAAATCATCTTTAAAATGATCAGTTTTGTTGGTGGAATCATCGAAAAGAAAACTAATTTAAACAAATCAAATTAACTTTGATTAGTTTCATATTTTTCTCTGTTTAAACATTGAGTGTATTAGATTTTTTCTGAAAATTAAATCTTAAATTATCAAATTAACTAATTGTATGTATATATTGTATTACCTTTCTAATCAAGATCTAATTACTCAATTGAGAAAATTTAGTGAAAAGTAATTTAAATTAACCGTTAAAAGTAATTTAATTGATTGAACAATTTAATTACTTGACCATAAGAGCTTGAGTTTTATAAGAATGATTAACTTTTGTTGCTAAGTATTAGGTAATTGTTGTTACATGTAATCAATTGATAACCTTGATTATTTTGATTATCCTTGAAACTATTTAACCCTAGAAACTGAATTGTTGATTAACAATAATGTTTAATCACGGACACAATGGTTTGTTTATTGTTTTAATCAACTTTCTGTTTCTGTGAATTTGTGATTCCATTGATTTCTAACAATTAATTTCACCAATTAAATCATAAACTCTCCTCAATTAATGAATATCCTTTGTAGTATTTAGTTAAACCAGTAATAAATTAACTCCTGATCATCAGTAAATCATTTACATCATTTAGTGACGTTAATTGTTGATGTAACATCTTATATTGATTATGATCAAATTTAATTGAATTATTTAATAACATATCCAGTTTAAGAAAATGGTAACAATTAAATTTCATTGATTAAACTTGTTATCAATTCAATTACTTGAATAGCAACTTTGTATAGTTTAAATAATGAATTGAAATGATTTAATTTCTTTAATTACTTGCAATTAAATCATTCTAATCAAAGCTAACTGGATTAGATTAAATTGAAACAATAAATTAGTTTATTATGCTAATAATGATAATCAAAGATTTGTGGATTAATTTGATTACAATCAACAAATAATTTTCGTATATGTATTGATAGTTGATCGGGATGAATTTCTAGATTCCCAACAATTAACCACTGTGAACTTAATAACAATCAAAAAAGTTGAATCGTGATTTGTTTGTCAAAACGTTGATCAACTAATCAGTTTGATTGTTATGAAAAAAAAACCTCTTTGAGTTGACAGACAATTAAAAATAGACTTGAATTTACAACAGGTAAGGATATTGATCAATTATGATTAATATTGATTGTAGGCTGTAAATCACTTAAATCACGAGCTCCTTTTATGTCCCATAGACATTGATTATCGTCTCACTTTGGTTTGCAATTTAAATTGTTGGAATGCAACATTTTGCTTATTTGATAATCACCATGACTATTTGTCCATAGATGATAATCAACCTCAGTGGGGATCAAGTTAAGATGATGAGGTGAACAAGAAAAGAGGAGGAGGATAAGTGATGATGATGATGATGAAGATGAAGATGATGAGGATGATGTGGATAATCATGAAAGAAAATACCAAGAAATCAAGGAGAGAGATGATAAGATTTGGAAGATAAAAAGAGGAGTTAAATTGTAATGATTAATATTTGAATTCATCTTAAATTGAATGTTACTTTACCAGTTATCCAGGTTTGGTTAACATTGTTAATTGTGATCATAACTTTTTGCTTGTTCAAGGTAATTGTTAATTTTCATTGTGATTTGACAGTAAATTGTTTTGCAAACTTTAATCATTTGTTAATTTGCGTTAATTTCTTACAGAATTTGATTTGCTGAATTGTCAGAATGGCAGGTAAATTTGAATATCTTCCCGAAGATTTGAGAAATCAGTTGACTCAAACAGCCTTACAATTGGTAACCAAAGGTAAAGGTATTTTGGCCACTGATGATTTACCAGGTAAGAGAGTTTAATTTGGTATTGTTGTTGATTAGTGGGAAAATTTTAATGATTAAATTTGTGTTCGTGGTGATTTAGGTGATATTGATAAGAGATTTGTTGGATTTGGTATTCCAATTGGAGCGGAGAGTCGACGATTTTATCGGCAACTCTTGTACACATCACCGGGAATCGAGAAATATATTAGCGGTGCCATAATGTACGATGAGACCGTTTATCATAAAACGAATGACGGAGTCCCTTTTCCCGAATATCTGCTGTCCAAAGGTGTTTTATCTGGAGTTCAGGCTGATTTGGGTCTTGTCGATTTACAAGGTTTTCCAGGTGAGACCGCAACTCAAGGTCTCGATGATTTGAAAGCTCGTTGTCAAAACTACTACAATTTGGGAATACGTTTTGCTAAATGGCGAGCGGCTTTTTCAATAACCGACACCACACCCTCGTCATTGGCCATTCAAGAAAATGTCCACACACTTGCCAGATACGCTCTGTTGTCCCAACAGGCCGGTTTAGTGCCAATCGTTGAGCCTGATGTCTCAATTCAAGGTAATTTCACTTTGGATCGATGCCAAAAGGTAATGGAAGAGATTTGGTCAGCAACTTTTAAGGCTCTTGTTGACCATCACGTTCACTTGGAAGGTGTTATCCTTAAGACCAACATGGTACTTCCAGGTCGCTCATCTAACGAACAAGTCACCGCTGAACGAGCTGCTATCGCCACAGTTGAGGCTTTATCACGAACTGTTCCTCCCGCTGTTCCAGGAGTCGGCTTTCTATCAGGAGGTCAATCTGAGGAGGAATCGTCGATAAACTTGAACGCCATCAATCAAGCGCCAGGACCTAAACCATGGGCTCTAACTTTCTGCTATGGACGCGCTCTTCAGGCCAGTGCTCAGAATGTCTGGTCCACTAATCATTCAGAGATTGTTGCAGCTCAGGAAATCTTCATCAAACGATGTGAAGTAAGTTCGATAATCACTTTAAGTCCATTTTCTCACCAATTAATCCAATCAAATTTTATTTTAATTCCACAGGCAAACAGTTTGGCTTCTTTGGGTAAATATATTCCAGGGTCAATTCCAACATTTGCTTAAAACTAATCAAGCTAATTGTTATCACGAGAATGAGATGAAACCATGAAATCGCTGTAACCATGGGAATAAATTCATTCCAATGACCATTTAAAACTAAACAACGAAATCGAATCGTTTGATGATCATTTCGATTTCAATCTAAATGAAAAAAAAACTAAAATAACAAAAGTTTTCGAATTGCAAATAAAAAATTAACACTAATTGTGAGTTAATTTTTATTCTTAAATTTAATTTCCTGGTCAAATGAGAATATCATTATTCTGGAGATACTTTTCTCTCAGGTAAACAATGTAAATATTGCAAATGATTTTTGGACTATTTAGTTAAAACATAATCACAAAGTTGCGAGAGAAAAACAAGAAACAATTTGCTCGAAATTTCAATTTAAATTACAATAATTAACGAAAAAAAAAATTCTTTTCTCTTTCACAATGAACACAGAACATGATTCTTTCTGTATCATGAGAAGTGTATATATATATATAATATATGGTACAGAGAATACAATTTAAGTATCATAACTATTAATTATCGGTCAATAATAGCGCACATAAGTGGGTCCATAGGATTTATGTCCGTTCATCATTAAACCATTATTGAGTAAAGCGTTTCCATTAACCGTTGAACCATTGATGGAACCGTTAATTGAACCGTTAACTGAACCATTGATTGAGCCATTCATCTTTGAGTAAACAGGTAAACTGTGTTTTATGACATTCTGCTCATGTTTGGCTCTATTATACAATAGGACACCCGTTACAGCAGTACACATACCGAATAGATTAGTAAAGGTTATCGGATTTTTCATCGTAATTAGACTAACAATTATAACTGCAATTCTCTTGGAGCTATTGGCAACACTGTAGGTTAAAGGTGAAACCAGGGAGAGAACAGTGAAAGCAATTATATTCTGAAGAGAGGTGAGAAAACCATCCAGAATTAGATAACCATATAAATGGGGTGGACTTTCATTTGATGTTTTAATTATCGTGAATACATCCATGTAAATCCAGGTTGGTATTGAGATTATGAATGCGTATTTAGAGATGATTGAGAGAAGAGCTAAATGATGGAGACCTGGTTTCTCCTTCATCACGTTCTTGGAAAATATATTCAACAGGGAGACGATAAATGCTGATAGAAGTGCAAATGTTAATCCGATTGCATTGAAGTTTAATTCAGTTACGGTTGCAATGGAAACACCGACGACAATTGGGATGATTGATAGATAGACCTAAAAGAAATGGTAAGAAAAACAGATAAATTGTTATCATTAGTTTTCTGTGATTAAGTTAAAGATGAAGGGAGAAGAAAAAATTTAGTAGAATCAATTGATTGACTATTGAGATTGTTATTGCTTGTTGATTGTGATTAAGAAATTGTGAGACAATCAAGATGCTGTTTGTCATCATCGTCAATGAAGGAGAGAAAATTTTTTTTTTCCTTCTCAAGTTCAATCAACTCTTTTCGCCACAATAATCCAATGGAAAATGATACAAAATTTAAGATGATCATCAGAACTTATTGATGTCATGAGAAGAGATAATTAAAAATGGCTCATTCCAAATATAATAATGAATGAAACAGTTTCACTCATAACAATCAGTGATTTTTGATTAAGTTAAAAGGAGAAACAGAAGGAGAGTTGAATAGGAAGAGAACAATTTGAAACCAGTTTGATGATTTAACGGGAATTATTTGAGCAAACGACTACAGTTGAAGTTGATTTAGTTGATTCAGTTGATTCAAATGGATTCACATCGTAACAATTTAACCCAAACACGTTCTTGAGGTGCTGATTGAGCTGATTTTTTAAAGAAAATCTCTCTACTATATAAGCATTTTTTTAAAAAAAGATATTGTTGCTCGAAGCACAAATAATTGTATTAACACAGTTAATTATCAATTAGATGATATCAGTATTAAAAAAAGTAAAAGTAAACTGAAAAATATAATTGCTTGTTGGTTAATTGGTTAACTCGGGACATCTTGGACTGATTGTTGTTAGATGAATACTAAATTGAATACAATATCTGCCATTAGAAATGATAAAGAGCAACTTGAAACATGATTAATTTTGTTATAAATCAAGCAAACTGGAAATTGATTAAGCCTTTACAATAGATCCTTGGACTAGCTGAATTTAAGGTGAACGATAATAATATAATAGTAATTGAATCCAGTTGAAAAATGGCAGGACAGGATTTGAATTGTCATAAGCAAATACACAGGAAGTTAATTGCTTACTTTGGTTGACTGTTTTTCTCCATTGATTAACCGAGACAAAAATATTACAAACAATGGCATTGTTGATTTGACTGTATGAGAGAATGAAAGAAAATAGATGATTAGTTAAATTGTTCCGTGGGCAATTATGATGAAAATGATAAATTTGATTACCTGTATGTGAATAGCTAATTGGAACCTTCCAAATTGAGATGTGTGATGAGAGAGCAGCAGCAAATTTACCCAATGCCAGAGGAATTATCATTCTCCAAAAATATCGCCTCTCAAATGTTACTTGTTTCTCACTTGCTTTGAGATACATGAGAATTGGTTTAAGGAAGAAATAGATTGACGATAATTGTACAATGGAAACTGTCATCGGGAATGGAAAATGAGATAAAATGGTTTTACTGACGATCGCATTGCTCGAGGAAACGGTGTACCACAATATACATAATATCACAATGATGAGCTCATTTTTTGGCAACATTCTCATCTTATTTAGAATTGTGTAAATAAGAGATTGTAGAATAGAATTAACAACGAAAAATAACAAAGTAGAATATTCCTTTAGGTTGGTGATGATGGTGATTATGTTGAGATGAGAATAGAATTTTCTTATTCTGTTTGTATAGAGAAAACCAATTGCCAATTGTTTACACTGATGGTTAAGAATTTTTTATGAGATGAAATTATTTCTTCTGGTTGGATATTCACAAGGTAAACCATTTAAATTGGATTCACTTTTGATTGGAAGAAATTAAGTTAGTTAAGTAATTAGTAAAGAATAAGATTTAACCAGTAATTGATTATTTAAAAGTGTTGACATGATTTCTTTGTAAATGGTTGAAACAATCAATTGGAAAACAATTGGAATTAATTGCCACGGGAGATGGAAAGTGTTACATTCTCTTGGTTGATTTGATAGAATTTAGAAAATCTAATCACAATTAGAAATTGAAACATTTAAGTGACAACAAAATTGGGACAATCAACTGAACATCACAATGAAAATGTTAACTTTAACCACGTAACCAACACATGAACCGATGCACAGGCGCAGACAAAATTCAGTTAAAAGGTTAAATTATTTAGTCTTTTAATTTGGATTTTGCTTTTAATTACAATCAATTGTAATTATACTTCAGATTACAATAACCATTTTTTTTAGATTAACTACCATTGTGTACATGATGAAAGAAAATGTTAGAATGATCAATGGTTTGATTTCTATCATCGAACATTTTGTTTTTTCCAAAACCAATTTGGTTCTTTTTACTTCTTTAAAGGATCAGCTGGTTTGGGTGATAAATCTTCCCTCCATCTTGTTTGACTTTTGTAAGGTCTCTAGAAAGTGTATCAATGAATCAACGTAAGTGTGTAAATTGATAAGAAAAAAGAAATTCATTAGAAAAGGATATAAATTAACCGTAATTAAAGTGAAAAAAAATAGAAAAAAAAATCAACCTTTCCAAGGGCAAAGGAAGAAAATACTTACACCATAAAACCATTGTCGAAGCATTTGCAACAATGGGTGGACATCCCTTCGATCAATGACACGTGTAACCTTGGAAGAAGCAACCATGATGAAAATAATGACAATTAAACAATTAAAATTGTGAGAATAACAATTTTAATCAGAAACAAAAATGCAACCGAATTGTTTACATTCAATTGACAGAATATCTCAAGTATCCGATCCGAAAATATCTTTTCGAATATCGGCTACTATCGATTGTGTAATTCGATGTATCGAATCTCTGATGAGCTTTTTATTTTTTTGTTCACTTCAATTCTGATGTTTTTATCTCTCACTTGGATTTTTTTTGTTAGTTAATTTGTTTTTATTTTCTTTTTGGGTTTAATAATCTCTTGTGAAATTAAATTTTCTTATTTATTACTTTAATTGGTGTAATTTTCAATTTCAATCTATTTATGAGTACAATCAGATGAATGGATGAACACCGAATTGATCCCGATGAGGAACGTCGGACAATCGTTGAAAGATACACAAAAGGAAGAGAAAAGGTAAGAGAATTATCTTGATGGATTTTCTTGTTTATTTCAATTTTTTTTTCTTTTTATTCTTGAGTAATTTTTGTTCTATTCTCTTATTTATTATCACTATTATTCTATATCATCATCACTATGATTCATTATTCGTTACATCACCAAGAGAAAAATATGTAACTGATAAGAAAACAACCTCTTTTTTTTTCGGGTGTTGTGCTTATATCATTTGCATCCTTTTTGCTTGTCACTTGGGGTTAATCTTTACATCTCTTGTTTCTCCTTTTTTTCCATCTTGATTAGGCTTTATTTTAATTTTTTTCCTTTCCATCAACCTATGGTTTCTCACCTTTGTCTCTCTATCCTGTTTGGATATGTGAAAATAAGAAATTACCTTTTACCTTGGACTTGATTCTCTCACATTGTAGATTTTCTCCTATTCTCTTTCATCAACTTCCTTGTTTGTTTTCATCAAAATCACCACTTAACTCGTTTTTTAATTTGTTCTGTTTTATGTTAACAGTCAACAACTGTATTTCTGGAACATTATAATGTTCCCCAAATCTCATTTCAACATTATCCAGGATGAGAGATGATTAATCGCTATTTTTGCTTTTTCTCTTCCCATAGATTCGAGATCAGATTGGTGATTGGGAAGATCCACAAAACCTGGTCCTTTTCACGGACCGTTATGGATTCATCCAGTAAGTTCCGTTGAAGGCTCAACAGTTAACCAGGAATCGCCTTTGGCATATTTTGATCGTTCACGGATTTTAACTGTTGATTGATTCTTGTTCTCTCTCCCTCTCTTTCTTTCTACACTTGATCTCTTTCGCTGACTATTTCATTTTAACTCTTCTCTCTTTCTACCTTTTTTCTTGCTACAAATTAACAGTGATCAACAACTTCCACCTCGATTAAGTAAACATGAAGCTAAGGTAATTGATTGATTCTATTGATTTACTTTTTTGATAGAAAATGTCTTCATATTTCAATATATTGAACTTATTTTCTCATTTTCTTTTCCATGGTTGTATTTTAGGTTCGACAAAAAGAGATCTCTCGAACAAATAAATGGCTTAAAATGTTAGAACAATGGGACAAATATTTTCCGAATAATGAAAAATTAAGAAAAAGAGTCTACAAAGGTATACCCAATTCACTTCGTGGTGAAGTATGGACCAGATTAATGGAAGTACCTCAAGTGAAAAAGGAGCAAGAAGGTACAACTCATCGTTTCCCATTCATCTTTTTTTTCCCCAATTTGAAACATTAGAACCATTTCCATTTCGACATTCACACCGAATCGCTATTCCATTGATTATCTATTCCAAACCAGTGTACATACATAATCAGTGTTTTTCTCTCTCACTTTAAACTCTATGTTTACTGTGTATAGCAATTGAATATCAATTTGATGATTGAGGTGTTTTATTCAGGTGATATATGTCATGTTATCTGTTGATACAATTTTCTGATAATTAACGTTATCAACTATTTTATGTGTTGTTGTTGGAAATACTTTCGCCCCTGTTAACTTTTACTCTGCTTTCTATGGGACGGTTCACTTAACAATCTATACCAGTTAAAGTAATAAGGATTAGCTTTGAAGTAATAATAATAATTGTAAATATATATATATTAATAGCCTTGAATTCAGACCTTCCAAGTTTATATATTGTTAATGAAAAAAAAAACTACAGATTATCTCACCCTGATTACCGAGATGCATGTTAGTTTCTTCAGTCTCTCATATAATCTGTGAAAATAATCGCTGAAAAACAATTGAATCATAGGAAAATATCTTTAATCTCTAATCATCTTCTAATCCTTATAATTTTATTTCTTTCATCACCTACAGGTCGATACCAAGAGCTTCTTGAATATGGTCTTTATAACTCCAAAGATATCAGACAAATTGATTTAGATATAAACCGGACCTTTCGAAACAATGATATGTTTCGTGACAGATTTAATGCAAAACAACAAGAATTGTTCAGAATTCTTGTTGCTTACAGTGTGTACAATAAGGTAATGTGAAAATGATGGAAACAAAAAGTTCATTTCAACAATTAACTAATTTCATCTTCCATTCTGATTACAGGAAATCGGCTATACTCAAGGAATGTCTCAGATCGCTGCCCTCCTATTGATGTACACATCTAATGAGGAGGTAAGAGATTAGTAATTAACTCAAATACTATCATCAACATTTCTTAATTTCCTTGATATTGAAAATTTTTCTATCATCTATAATAATAATAATAATAATAATAACCCTATAATTAATTAATCTTTCTCTCCTTTTTGTTTTACCGTTTAATTTATCATTTTAATCCAAATATTATCAACCATTTATTATTTTATTTTCTCTAATGATGACAATCCATTGACAACCTTTAATCATTCACTCAATCTTTTACCTATTTAGATAAATTATCTTTCATCTTTCAAAAAAAAAATTTCCATTCAACAAAAATCATCATAATCCAATAGCATTGACATTAGATTTACGTTTAATTCATGGTTATTATTGAGACTAATCATGATTTCCTTTATTTATTTTCTTGTTCATCTTTTTGTATCTTCACGAATCAAACCCACACCATAACCAGGATGCATTCTGGTCATTAGATCGTCTCATGTCAGGAGAAAAGTATGCTATGCATGGTAAGTTAATTGTTACAATTTAATCACAATCTAAATCACACTTCAACTAAATCTTTACTTTTATGACAAACTATTTTCTCCTCATCTTGTTTAATTATCATCTCCATGTTGAACTTTACATTAAATCATCGCATGTTTATTCTGCCCATTTAACTCTAATTATTAATTTTCTCATTATTATTATTATTTAGGGTTTTTCATTGACGGTTTTCCTAAATTGTCGCGATTTGCTGATCATCATGATAAAATTCTTAAAAAATTCCTCCCACGAGTTTATAAGCATTTTAAGGTAAATTTAAATTATACTCTCTTTCTTTTCAATTTAACTCTTCAATTGAATCAAATTACTCATAATCATTATCATGATCATTACCACAATTTGCTACCATTACATTTATCATTTCTAATCAGAACTTTTTTCTTAATCATGTTCATCTTTTTTACTACCCTTTTGTACCAGAAATTTGACATCAATGCTACTTTATATACTCTTAAATGGTTTTTCCAATGTTTCCTCGACCGAGTCCCTTTCTCTTTAACATTAAGGTAAATCACCTATTTAATTACCTTTACCAGTCATATTTAATCAATTTAATTATTTTAATCTTTTATTTATATCATAGGATTTGGGATTGCTTCATGTTAGATGGCGAGATAATACTTACCTGTTTCAGTTATACTCTCCTTAAATTACACAAAAGTACGAATTGTTTTTCCATTAATTATCACCATTTTTCAATTTAAATATTAATTACCAATAGATTATTGATAATTTACACTTTATTCATTGATCAATTTAAAAAGTGAGACCTTGTTAATTGTTGATAAATGTTTAGGTTTACCAGTATTTCACTTTCGACTTTACCTCAGTTCATACTAATTTTCAATAGTTTTTTTCTGTCACATTATCGATCATGTTTATCTCAACACCGTAATTCAGTTTATCTCTAATTTTTTCCACCTTCACCTGATTCTATCAACTGTTTATACACTTTCTCCAAGTTCAGATTGGTTTAGTTTTCGATTTTTTCCCTTGCTAATTAGTTGAAAAAAAAGAACAGTTTTAGTTCAATAATTTTCTTTCGCAAGTTCTAGTGAGTGTGTAACTGGAACTTTGCCAAAATTTTATCAAGTTAATCGCTGAATTTTAACACTTAATCTGTTGCGAATTTGTTTTCATTCGGATTATTATTAATCTTTTATTTATTTTTCCATCATCTTTTATCACCTAGGATCCATTCTCGAAAAGAGTATGGAAGATCTAATAGCATTCCTACAAATCGATTTGGAAAAAGATTTCGGATATCTAGATGACCAGGCCATTCGTGAGCTTCAAATTGCTATAACCGAATTAAGGTAAACTTTAATTTCAATTTCCGTCTTTTATTGTTATTAACCCTTCTCTCATTCACTCTCTTGTATCATCTCAACCCTTAGAAAACAAAAGATGGAATCACCACCCAAAAACAACACCGATGCTGAGAAACCAACCAGACCATTCGGAATGTTATTACAGGCAGATAATGCATCAATAATGACGGGAAATGATGATCGTAGTATTGCCGGCAGTATTAATCTGAAAAACTCTGATTCCGTATCATTGGCTCAAACCTCTCGTACAAGTAGTGAAGTGGATCAAAATGAATTGGAAAACTCTGAGCTGGATGAGTATGTTTTCTTCCACCATGAACACAATGAACCATAAGAGAGAAAGATAATTACAGAAAGAAAGAAAAAAAGAATCAGACCCGATAAACAATCGTTCAAAGTGAAAAAAAGTCTTAATATACACATAATCCAATGGAAAATTTTAAAGCAAATGACAGGAAAATAGAAAAGGATATTAAAGTAACATCAAACAAGCAACGAGAAAAAAAAGATCATGAATTCATGTTAAATGTGAATGATGGAAAAGCAATCATGTGTCTCATCTTCAAGCTCAGTTTCTAACCTTATCTAGTTTTAGTCTATGATAATCGTTACAATCTAATTCAAAATAATTGCTCAGTAACATAAACTGTCTCATTTCTCTGTTATAAACATGTTAATCACATCTTTCAGTTTAGTGAAAGTTAAGTGAGAGATTTAAATAGAGTAATTAATATCCTGCCGATATCATTACGAAGATGATGATGGTTGGATTGAATGATGAAAACAGTTTTTTTTGTTGCTGTTATTTGAACTGTTAAAACCCAAAGATTCATGATAATTTAATTCATCTTCCACAATGATTTAGATCGATTGATTAATCAGTGTTTTTCTATCAAAAGAAAAGCGAAACTATGAAAACTTATCCTTCCTAATCTTCAATATCTTTCTTTCTCTTTCTTTTCAAACTTGTTCTTATTGCTGCTCCATTAGTCGCAAAGTTCATAATCCTGAAGAAAAGAGGAAAGATGATGGACCCTGAATCTCATCTATTCATCATGAAGCTACTGCTTCTCAAATAGTAATAAGAAGTTCATAATAACTTTAGTGTCTAGAAAACAAAAAGAATAGTTTTATATGTATTGATCGATGTTTGTCCAATTCTTATTTCAAATTTGCTTCTTGTTTATATTTTTTTCCCCTTTATTGTGACTGTGATTGTCTTCATTGTTATTTTCTACTTTTAATTTGATTTCAACTAATCAATGTTTTCCCTCTTTTCTTTTCTTTACAGTGTGGAAGTTAATGATTTCTGTAAAATTCAAAGATCCTGCTCCATTTACGATAATGTAGATATCAATGAAAGCATCGAAGCTGCCAAGAGACTGAGCGAGTTAACAACAAACTCTGATCAGCGAGGATATTTCAAATTACAAATCACCTTAAGCTAGCCAATCAACAACAGTAGAATGATTTCTCACCTCATCTAATAATTTGCTGATTTCTAATATCTGTTTGGTTGTTAATCATAATCACAATAAGAATATCAAAATGGGCTATAAAAGAAAACTTTTCCATCCTTGTCAGTCAATATCCTTTTTCAAAAACACTCTTCTCATCTCTCTCTCTTTCTCTCACCTTCTCATCTTAATCTCTACCAAACATCATACCAAAAAGTAACATCATCATTATCAAGAAAATAAGATCAACAACAAACAAGACAAGAAATAACTCGTTACCGGATCAGTTGAATTTCCCCCAATGAAATCCAACATTTACTCACAATCTCGGCCAACAAAACCTAATCTACAGTAAACTCATACTTACAATCGATTGATTGTCAACTCAATTAACTGATTGTCTAAAGCTCATCATCATCACTACCGCCATCATCATCATCTACAGCAATTAACAAACAAACAGTTGTGTACAATTTCAACGATCCCGATGAAATATTTGAAAGGAGAAAACAAAATCGATCACTTTTTGATTATTTGTTTTAATAGAAAGAATTTTTTTTCTCTCTCTCTCTCTTTCTCCCTTCCTTACAAAATACTTTCAGGATTCTCATCTCTTATCATCATCATTCTCATCAACATTTTCATCATCATCATCTTCACAATTCTAATGCTAATAATACTATTGATTTACAATAATATAAAATAACAATAATAATATGATATTAAAAAGAAAAACAATAATTCTAATACAAGAGATAATGAGAATTCACAACAAAAATCATATGTTACCTCTTATATTTATGTGCACGTTTAAAGAGACAATCAAAAAAGAAACAAAAACAATTAAATCAATATTCAGAATTGAATTAAAAAAAACACTCAAAATAAAGTCAAGATATCAAGTTGAACACGAAAAAAATTGATCTTTTAATTGACCGGGATGAAAAGTGATGGACAGAAAGTTATATGTTTATGGTCAGTTAATTGGTTTATAAGAAATTAAATGTTTAATTGTCAACAATTAACCGAATCCCAATCTCATCCCATTTAGTTAACTAAATAATGTTTCCATTATTATGGATCCACCGGAAACTTTATCATCCTCATCGTCAACAAATGATTCAACTCGAAGATGTGGAAATAACAACAACCGTGAAAGTTTAAGGTCAAGAAGACGTCGATTTATTAATTACAATGAATTACCCGATTGGTTGAAAGATAATGACCTGGTCACTTCTGGTTATCGTCCAGCGAATCAGTCTTTTTGGTCTTGTTTAGTTTCATTGGGTTATCTTCACAATGAAACCATTTCGATTTGGTCTCATCTTTTGGCCGCAATTTATTTCCTCACCTTGTATGTAGGTCAATATAACGGTACAAATAATTGTTCAGCGCTCAATAATGACGATCTTTTCCTGCGACTTTACCATTTATCGGCCATTTTTGCGTTCACATGTTCAGCTATTTATCATCTATTCTGTTGCTATTCACATTATGTTCGTGATCTACTTGTAAGGTAAACAATCAACTAATTGCGAAGATAATTTCTAATTGTTATTGAATTTTCTTCTTCCTCCTTTTTTTATTAGAATTGATTACATTGGAATTACCGTTTTCATCACCGAATCATTTATGACCTGGATCTATTATGCCTTCCACGAGGATACGGTGGACACTTCGATCTATGTTTATGCCATTTGTTTCGGTGGTTTTTTGGTCGCAGTTATCACACAACTTGATCGATTCAATGGACGCAACAATCGCGGCCAAAGAGCTGGTACGACACAATTATTGATTCTCTTAATTGTCTTCATTAAATTTAATATTCTCAATTATCTTTCTAAGGTCTTTACATGGTCTATGGTCTTTCATTAATCATTCCCGTCTTTCTATTGTTCAGTCAATCATCACAACCGCAAACGAGTAAAATAATTATCAGCATCACCTACACGGGAACAATTTACTTAATCGGTGGTATTATTTACTCATTCCGTTTACCTGAACGATTCCGACCAGGGTCAGTTGACCTTTTCGGACATTCACATCAACTTTTCCACGTGATCGTGGTCGTCGCAGCAATAATTCATGAACGGATGATTGTTCATATAGCAACAATCAACGAGAAATAATAGTCCAAACTATTTTAATCAATTCCAAGTGATTAAACTGGTGTATAAATTGTTCTCAATTAAAACAAAAATTCATCTTTTAATTGTACATTTAATCAACTAACATCCAACTAAATTCAACTCTAATAAACATTTTGTAAATTAATCTATCATCAAGAACTTCAAATGATCAAATGATTAAAGTTAATTTGTTTTTCTCCGTTCAAATTAACTAACCAATATAACTTAATTGTTCAGTAAATGAAAACAATTAAAATGATATGTTAATCTTACTCTTTAATAGATGGCGTTAATCACGTTGCTAATTAAATGATTAATTAGTATTTCAATTGAATTATTTTTACATTTGATTGTTAATTGTTTCTCGTTTGTTAATTTTAGTGTTTTTTTATTTTTCTCTGACCTCAATGTCTCTATACCTGTTGAGAGATGAATTGAATGTGATAATTGTAAGTCTCAAGTATCGAATCGTAAATTGAATATATTATTTCATGAACAGCGAAAAAGTTTACTGAGAATTGGAATCAACTTTAATTGTTTTGGTGTTTTCGCCGGTTATTGTTGTCGTATTATTGACAATTAAGAAGATGATGATAAGGGAAGATAATAGTAGGGAGATCAAGGAGAAGCTCTCAAGATGATATCTTGAGTTTCTCTCTACTTGATATGCGAATCAAGGGAAATCTTAATTCTCTTAAATTCTGATGTGTGTTTTTATTTCAATCGACTGAGCAAAATCTCCTCTTTCATTTGTCTTCCTTTTCCCTAATATTAAATTCATCCTCTCTCTCTCTCTCTCTCTCTCTCTCTCTCTCTCTCACTATCTGTGCTTTATCATCATCATGATTCGTGAGTCTCATTCTAAACCTGAATCCATAAAAACCACTTCAATACCTAAAGAAAGTATAAGATAGAAAATATTAAAACTCGATTGTTGATAAATCTTATTTTCTCTCTCAGTTAACTTTTTATTGTCAACATTTTATATCCACCTCATGATCTAAAGCAACAATCAATTCACAATTTAAGTTAATCAGTCATTAAAAGAGTAAAAACATAACCAACAATATTTGATATTCTTTGATTGTTCATCTGAAAGTTACTCCAACTAATATACTAAATGAATTTCTATCTATTCTAATTCAGTTTAATAACACTAATTGTTGTGATCGAAACGAGATTAACAGTTATAATAAGGAATAAATTTTTTCTCCTTTTTGTTTGGTTAACTGTTTTTTTCCAATCTAATCAATGAAAAAGTGATCACCTTTTCCCACCATCGGCCATTCAACGTTCTAACCCTTTTTGTCAACCCACCCGGAGGAGATTTACCCTCCTCGGTGTGATCATCTCTATTTCCCTCTTGACCGTTTGTCCAAAGGCCAATAATGTCTATCTGTAAGCCCAATGTTCATCAGTACCGTGTGACCTTAAGCAATTTATCGTGTATCGATGGGATGTCAATGACCAACAACGGAAGTCGTAAAGATGCCACTTTCTATCTTGGCGATGAAAACTGTCCACTAAATAAATCGGATGATATTGAGACGACCATTCAAATGAAACCTTCTTCCAGAGGTTCACCTTCAACCACAGGAACCGGAACTATACCCTTGTCGAATGATTATTCTGGCCGTCCACCGTTATACTCAGAGTTAAATAGGTCAACAGTTGGTCGGGGTATCATTAACTGTACATCGGGTGCTTCTTTTGGTGTTTCTAGTGTTAATAATGGTGGTGGTGGTCCAGGGAGTACTGCAGGTACTTGTATCACCAATGGTGGTGGTGAAGGAGGAGGAGGAGGAAGAGGAGGAAGTGGGGGTAATGGCGGTGGTGCTCATAATCGAAAGTATCGACCTCGAACTGTTCATTCGTCTCGATACAAAAATCACTCAGATGCCTTTGATGGCCTGGTTTTCGTTCTAAGTGCCATTTACTCTAAAATTATCGTCATCATTGGTCTTTGTTTCCCAATGGCGGAGGTCATCTCACATCGAATACCCATCGGTTGGTATGAAGGTTTCTACCTTTACCTTTATCTTGGTTCGATTTTATTTCTCATATTGATCTATCTGTTCCGGGAAACGGGTAAACGGAAAAAGTCATCACTCATGATTCGAGCGAAAACTTTTTTCCTCTGGTCAAATGTTGAATCTGGAATCGACGGTGGTACCGATGGAAGTGGACGCTCACACGGAGGACGTCGAGGTGAAACCAAATTACAATCAAGTTCAACAAACAGTTCACTTTCTGAGGATGAAATTTCGGGTCCAGTTCATTTTGGCTCCTTTTATTTACGACTTGGAGCCGTTGCTTTTGGAATTGGATCAATGATCTATTCAGGCCTCGAGTTTGGACAATATTTCGAACTCGAATCCAAGGAACAGTGTTACAGTTTCCTCTATGGATTCACCCCCACGGCCCATATGACCTTTACCTTTTTTCAACTTTACTTTATTTTCATGAACTCAAAAAATTTCATCTCCAAACACAATTACATCGGTAAGTTTAATCGCTTGTTACATAACAATCAACAGATTATTCACCTAAATCAATTTATCGATATCAAGATTATTGATATTATTGACCAACTTTTTCTTAATTGTCATCCTATTGGTTCATGTTTTCTTAGATTAAAATTAGATTAACCATCATCATAAATCACATACACACTCACATTTACCAGTCTTTCCGTATTTACTTTAGCAATATAATTAGAGTGGATCATCAGTTAATTGTAATCAATGAAGATGAGGAAAAGAAAAAGGTTCCTCATCTTTAACATTATTTGATTGTCACTTTAATTTTCATTTCTAATTACAATGATTACCTATTAATTGTAACAACATGAAAACAATTTACTCTTGTTTACTTTTATTATTATTATAATACTTTTACTGGTGATTACTAAATATATCATATGATTAACTTAATTAGCGCCTAAAAATTGAATTCATTTTTCCGTTGATTGTTATAATATTATCAAATGAGTAGGTAATAGTTAATCAAATCGTTAAATTAACGATTAACAATCAATCAAATGTGAGATATTAATGATAAATAACATTTTTAACTCTTTTTCCACCAAATCAATTGATTAATTAACTTTTTCCTCTCTCTCTCTCTCTTATTGTAATATTTATTTTTACGTTTCCTTAGCTCGATTTGGATTAATGCATATGATTGCCACTAATCTTTGTGTTTGGCTTCATGTTTTAATCCAAGAAACGAAACATCAAATAATGATTATCCTTAATCCGAATGCCACTTCGAGAGAGATATTTTTACCTGATTATGAATTAACAAGCTTTGGTTTCGCAATGGATGAAGATAAACATAATCCTTTCCTGTCGACTGATGGTTCTTTCTCAACATTTCCAGGATCATCATTACCCTCATCATCTTCATCTTCATCTTCATCCTCATCTCATTCATCTTCATCACTAATCAATTCACTTGGTGAAGATATATTATCTTCGGCATCATCCTATTCATCCTCTTATCCCTCATCCTCATCCTCTCCATCCTCATCATTACCTTCATCAGTTATTCATCACATATCCCGTCGTAGTATCGATGATCATGAAATTTTCACCACTCACGGGGTTTGCCGCCGATCCAATGTCATCGGTGAATTAGTCCAAGATGCCAGCCAATTCCTGTTCCCCTGTACCATTGAGTATTCACTGATCTGTGCCGCCATTTTGTACATCATGTGGAAACACACCGACTCGGCCAGGTAAAGATCGTAATCAACTTATCATCAGTTAATTGTTTCCATTGATTAACTTTTACTGACAATCGAAACATTTATCATCTTTATCACTTTAAAAGGTCGTTAACCCTTTACAATTAACTGATTCAGTTCTGTAACATTATTTACTTGCATAACAATTTAAACCATATGAATTGATCAATAAGGAAAACAAGAAAAACAAAACTTTAATTGTTGTTTGATTTTCAAATGAATTTAAAGTTTTTGCTTTCTTAACTGCGACACTTATATATATGATTAACTCTTTGATTAGTTTGGTAGCAAGGTTAATTGTTTGGCCTCGAATTAGTTAATAGTTGATTCTCAATAGACAAGGACAATATTTGGAAGATACAAAATCAACTTAATTTTTAGCGGAAATAGTTAATCAACTTGATCATCATCTCTGCGAGTTTAATTTCCTTGAGAAGAAAAAAATTAGAAATCATCTCTCACAATTAACAAATTGATTGATAACAATCAAAGGATGTTGATCAAATTAACGTCTCTATTTTTTTTTCCTCATGATTAACTAAATAAGATCTTCCAACATTTACTAATTTAACTCGATAACTCAATCAGTGATAGTAATTTTTTTTAATTCACTTTGATTGTTGTGACAATCAATTGATGAGAAAGTTGATTAATAACTTTTACTATTTAATTTAATTTCTTTCTCTATTATTAACATCCACTTATGATCAGAACGTGTCTTCATTTATATTGTTTTCCTTATTCACGATTAACTAATTTTCTCTCGCAACAATTAATAGTTAATTGTTTTCTGATTACAATTTAATTTGATACTTTCCATTAATATACTTTGATTAACTATTCTATTCTCAACTTAACTATTAGCAATTAACTAATAGTAATTGTTGATTAATTTTCAAATGATTTTCTCAATTGTCAAAAATTTAATTTCATTCAAATGATTTTGATTAGTAACAATCAAATTGATAGTTGATTATTAGCAAATTATTACAAATGTAATTACTTATGATGGTTAATTGCTTTATTTAATTTGATTGTAATATTATCCATTAATTGCTGATTTGTTAGTTAATTGTCATCTAATTGTCTATGTTCAAGTTCAAGGTTGATTGTTTAGTGACAGATAATTAAATTGTTGTTATTTACTAACTAATATTATTTAATCATGGTCGTTGTGATTAAGGTGGATTAAAATTAATCTATTGGTGTTAATTGTCAATAATTAACTTTGATCACATTTGATCATATTGAATATTAATGTGTAGTAATCAAGGATTTAGATTAAGACAATGACTGATTATCAACAATTTAAATCTCTCGTCTTAAGTCAAGGTTAATCACTAATTTGTTTCCAGATTAACAATTGATTTTACAACATTTACAACAATTAAACTATTAATATGTTTAGCTCAATGTCGTAACCATTGGATTACTGGATTAACTTTAATCCAGTTATCATTGAAATCATTTCAATTTTGTAAAATGTTATTTATCATTTTGATTGTGTTGATATTATTTCAGTGCAGTTTTAATTAGATTGATAATTAAAATTGACTTTAATTGTTTGTTGATAAAAATTGATAGATTATCAGCTGTTAGATATGATTACGAAATAGTAATCAAATTAATTATCAAAGGATTAATAGCAAATTAAGATTAAGACTCAAGTGTATACATCTTCAAGTCTTCCTCATCATCCGAGTTAATTGTTAGTTTGTTTTAATCATAATCATCAATGATTAAGATTATTAGTCTCTTGTGATTTGAAATCTTAACAAAAAATCATGTTGATTGTGATTAAAGTTAAACATTTAAGTTTATTGATTGACTTATGGCGATAATTAAACAATCTTGAAGGCCTAATTAACGATTAGACAATTACATTGATTTCGCCTCTTATTATTATTTCTCACCCGAACAATTAACATTCCCAATTAATCTGATTACAATTATTTTATATCTTTTAATGAAGTTTTTCATGTTTACCATGTGATTAGTTAATTTAATTGTATCTTATAATGATTGATTAACAATGATGGCCTTAAATAACCTTCATCATCACACTTAACCATGAAAAAGGAATCAAGTATTGTAACAATTAAGAATCAAATTGTAACAATTTAGTTGATAAAAGAATACAACTAATTGTGTCTACTAATATTCAACAATTAGCTAATTCTTGAATAACTTTTCGTCATTATCTTTACTATTATATTCATATATTAATGCGAATAATAATTTAACCACAATTAACCTTCAAATTGTTTGAAATTAAGAAAAGAAGAAGAAAACAAAATACCAACAATTAAAGTTGAGATTTTAATCATCCACAAATTAGATAAATCAGACAATTAGATATCTAAATTCGTTGAGTGTTTTCTTAACTAATCAACTCTTTTCTTCGGCTTCAATTAAGTGTTAATCTTAATTCAATTACAGTTATCATTAATTTCTGTTAAAATATCATGACAATCATGATGATTATATTACTCAGGAAGTGTTGAATTGTCAATAACTTGATCACAATTAACGGTAACCTGACAGTATCATCCTTTAATCACAATTAACGTTGTGTGTTTTTTATTGCTTACCATCAATAAACTTTTAACAATTATCATTAATTGTTATTATTAGTTAATCATCTTGACGATTTAAAAAAATATCACCTTCATTTCCTGTTAATTAATTGCTGATAAAATGAAAATTAATCTCACCACTGATTGTTATTATGATTGGATTTACTCATTTCATTAATCAATATTTTCATTGAACTGTTGATTGTTATTGAATAAATATTAATACTATTAATATTAATTGTTACTCTCATTGAGACTGAACTTGAATCCTTGATCAGTTTAATCATAAATGATGTTTACTTTTGATTAGGAAAACTTTTCCATCTCCAATTGTAAATTAATCTAAATTGTAATTAACATGTCAAAAAAAAAGTTACAAAATCAAAAGAAAAATAACAACAATTAACTAATCAGATGATTAGTAGAGTTGTTGAAAGTTAATTAGTTGATTATAATTGATCAATAATCTCCTTTATGATCAATCAATCAATTGGCTAATTTATAATGAATGGTTAATATGGTTGATTGTGATTAACAATTTGCTTCCGTGTTAACATTGTCATCACAATTAACTGTAGTGTTAATAATAATATCAACAAGAATTAAAAATTAACTTAATTTCTTGTCAGTTATCATTAAAATAACAATAAAAAAGTTATTATAATGGTGATAATTAAATTTGATTTAATTGCATCCATTTTAATGAATGAATTGTAAATAACAACAGTTAATAACTTCCGTTAACAATTAAATGTTATTCAAAATTGAATTGAAATTGATTAATTGTTGTTATTGTGTAATTTTGACCACAGACAATTAGGATTATCAAGTTAATCTGTAAAACTTTTTGAAAGTTTATTCAATTCAATTGTAATCAAATTCAATTTGAAAAGTTCACTGGTCTTCAATTGGTTGATATAATTAACTTACCATTGACCACAGGCTAATGGTCATCACGTTCATGATCAATTGATGATGACCATGATCATGATCATGATTTAGATTAGTATCTGATTATGTTAATTGTTTGATTTAATTTCTTTTGCTTCTTTGTTTCCTTATTTTGTTTTCTTGTTTCTTTTGAGTTCAAGTAACTTTTTTTTTTCGTCGATTTTTGTTTGTACAATTAATTGATTGTTACCATTAATATGAAATTGATTTAATTACAATTTAATTATCTTAGTTATTCTTAGTTATTCAGCTGTATATGAAAGTAGTTATTAGTATTAGTAACTTCCTGTTGAAATGATTTACTCATCTAATTGTCATTCTATTGCTAATCTTAAATTAATTCAATTTATTTTGATATCATTGAATTTACCCTTGAAAATTAAGTTAATCATTTTGTCTGATGATTGAAGTTTCGTAATTGTTGGTTAATAATTTAATTTTATTCAAACCAATTAGGAAGATATTAATAAACATAGTTATAAACTTTACTATTTAAATCATTTTTATTAAATGGTTGATGAACCAACAACAATTAACTTTGATTATTTTAGTTGATAAATATCATTCAATTATAAAAACATTAATACATTTTCAATCCAAGTCTTGAACAATTTATTAATTACTTTGATCGGCAAAAGTGATCAGAATTAACAATTTGATTAAACTGATTTTGTGGCTCAACAACTGACATTTGCAAGTGTCACAGCGATACTTTGATTCACAGTCGAAAGGTCAAGGTCATTTAGGTTATTTTCGATAACATTTATGATGAATTTCAGAGTTTTATTATTCTATCATCGATAAAATGACATAGGAAAACAATGAGAATATGATCGATATAATAACAAGAAGTAATCAAAGCAATTTGAATCTTCAATCGATCGGTCGGTTTTTCGTCGCGATTTTTAGGACTATTAAAAGTACCTCTTCGAATGTAATTTGTCTTAAAACTTTCGCTTTCATTTTCATAAAACGAATCAAATATTGGTACAAAGAGTTCAAATCAAAAGACTCTGAATTTGCCCTTTCAATTGGCCGTTCATAAGTCTTAGAGACTTGCGAACGGCCTATGGCCTGGACTTGAGGGCTGCACATTTGTCAAAGAGGTCAATCGTTGAGTTTATCGATTAACTAGTGTCTCTGAAGGTCATTTGTCGATAATTTCACAGAACTTATTCTAAATCATCAGTGTTGAGTTCCTATGGTCGTTGCATCAGATGTGAAATATTGGATCAACTTTTTGAATGAAATTAAGTTACTACAACTTCCTGTTAATTCAGACTTGGATTTAGAATTTGTTTCCATGAGAAATCAAAAGAGATTTAATAAAGATCTTAATTGCATGATTATCTTAATATAGTAACTCTACTAATTGATAAATTGTTGTGAACAATTATAATCGACCAATTTTATCACCAAAATGATTTAAATCACTTCATAAATTGAGTGTTTATTGTGATAATCGGTTGATTTTTTTACTCTTTTTATGAAAATTAATTTAGATTGTATTGATTTCTTTCGTTCCAATTATTGATTATTTTTCCGTCTAATTGTTAACCAATTTGCTAGTAGAATATTGTTGATTGGTGATTGGCGGTTAGAACATTAAACCTTTCAAATAATAAGAAAAATTGAAACAATTAGTTGTTAAATCGCTTTTTTTATTTTCAATTTGATTGTTTTTGAAAATATTTAATCCAGTTAATCAGATTTATAACAATCAATTTGATTGATTTAACTGTAATTTTCACAGCTAATTATTGAAAGACTAAAATTAAATCAACCATTTTTGATCTATTATTTATAGTAGTCTAATCACTTATCATTAACTTTAATTGGTTCCGTTAATTTTGATGGCTAATTGTTGTTAATTTGATTGTTTTTTTCACAGTTTGAACACTGATCGACTTAGACACCGAAGTGCCCAAAGTACATCAACAGTTAATCATCATCAACGTCATTATTATCAGGTAATTATTAAAATCTATCGCTTATAATTTAATGTCTACTAATCATAATTGTCTCTTTATTTTCCAACAATTAAGGTCGATTGTGCTAAGGCTCATAAAGGTTTATTCTGTGGCATTTTCCTACTCGTTGTTTGTATTATATCGTTAATTTTGTTTTTCGTGTTAATTAAGAAACCTAATTATCGACACTTGGGAGTCCTTCAAGCTCATATTGTTGAGATAGGTGTTTATGGGATCAATGCTGTCGCTTGTTTAATTGCAATATTTCAGGTTAGTTAATTTGGAGAAAAATGAAAATTTAATTAGCCGTATTCAGAAAATCAGACAACTAATCATTACTTAAAATCAGCAATCAAACATTTGAATTGCTGTTCAATAGTTAGTTGATTATACATTTTAGTTGTTGAATTTTATCATTGATTGAAAAGATATGATTGATTGTTGGATTGATTAATTATTGAGATTTGAAGAAATTGTGTCTCTGAATTTACTTAATTAACGTATTTGTCTTCATATAGATTCGTAAATTAAATTACAATCGACATCGTAACGTTGAATTGGACAATATTCTGTTAATTGTCGCCCAAAGTGGTCTTTACGTTTTTAACATGTTCTCATTGATCGGTGCCCAATTCTTGAATACGAGTGTCAGTCGTAACACTCAACTGGTCAAGGTCAACGCTGTCGCTTGTTTGGTCCAGTCCACTTTACAAACGGTTTTCATACTCGATGCCACCCGAAGATATGCTTCCACTCCTGAACAAGTAATTAAACGATTAACTTGATTTTTTTCGCTCGATAATAAATTGAAACTCCAGAGATTCTCATTTTGATAATAATGATAATGTTTTCGATTGTTTTTTACTTTTCGCTCTCAAAAGGTACGAAGAAAACCCGCTCGAGAGATGATCACCTTTCTGTTGGTTTGTAATTTCGCGATGTGGGCCATAAATACCCTCGAGACCCGTCGAGCTGATTCAAATCCCGTTCAAATGACATTCTATGGTTTCTGGGCTTGGACCATAATCACTCATGTGACGACACCTTTGACCATTTTCTTTAGATTTCATTCAACTGTTTGTCTATGTGATATTTGGAAACGAACCTACAAAGTTAAACAAGAATTTATATAAATTCTTAGTCATAAAATTAAAGAAAAAAAAATGTTAATTGTTATAATTAAAATGTAATTAAAGTAAAAAAAAATCGAAAATAAATAATTCGTAACAAAAGAAAAAGTTTACAACTTTTCATTTTTATTTTTGAATTCATGACAATTTAAGAAGATCAGATTTAAAATCTAAATGAAAAACTTAAATTTCAACAGAAATTGTGTTAATTCCAGATTGATTATATTGAAATCAAACAAAAAGTTCTAATCAAATCGAAATCAAATCAAATTAAACAATCGTAATCACCAAGGTACAATAAGAAAATCCAATCGATATATGTATTCAGTTCTCGGTCATTAGAATACAAAAAGACTGGTCATACAAAGAAAGGGAATAGAAAAACCAACTCAAAATAATTCTAATTTAGTCGTTTAATTAGTTTTATTGATATTATTCAATATTTTCTTGGAATTTCAAACTTCCATCGTTAAGAATTTGTTCGTTCAAAATGAGCGGTGAAAGTTTCTCCAGGTGGAGCTGCGTTGCCATGGAAACCACAGTGAAAGCGGAAGTTCAATTCGGTTTCGGAGTTTTGTATATCCGATTTTGTTTGATGGTAAATTTTGTTTTTGTCTCTTGTAATTTATATAATTTTGTTTAGTTAAATTAATTAGGTAAGTTTAATTATGATTTAAATTTGTATTTTGATTGTTGGTTCATCATTTGAAAGAAGTCTTTTCTGATTGTTTATTGTTTTTCTTTGTTTTTCTTTGATTGCTGTTTCTGTTTAGTCCAAGCTATGGCTCCACGTAAAGGTAAAGTCACTCAGGAAGCTGCTGTTTTGCAACTTCCTTCAGAACAACCAGGAGAGAATGTGTTTGGTGTAGCTCACATTTACGCCAGTTTCAATGACACCTTTGTCCACGTTACTGACCTTTCTGGAAGGTAAGTTAATTTTGTCTAGAAAGCTAATTTATGGTGATGGTTGGTTTGTGTGTTCGACCTTTGTAAAAACCATGCTGTTTATACTGTTCGTTATTTGGTTATATATTCTCATTTTGTTCTTTCTTTTTTTTTGTTTTCTTCATTTTTTAGAGAAACTATTGCCCGTGTTACTGGAGGTATGAAAGTCAAAGCTGACAGAGATGAAGCATCTCCTTATGCTGCTATGTTAGCTGCTCAAGATGTAGCTGAAAAATGTAAATCTGTTGGAATCAATGCACTTCACATTAGACTGAGAGCAACCGGAGGAACCAGAACCAAAACACCAGGACCAGGAGCTCAAAGTGCTCTTCGGGCCTTAGCTCGTTCAGGAATGAAAATTGGTAGAATAGGTAATGAATCATCCATATAGAAATTAATTTTTTTCTTACCTTAAATTTCTCATATTAATTTTCTCTTTTATCTTTAAATTTCTACAGAGGATGTTACTCCCATTCCATCTGACAGTTCACGAAGGAAAGGAGGTCGCCGTGGACGACGTTTGTAGTTGGTTTACAATAAAAACTATCATGCGTTTTTTCAATTCGCTAATAAAATAAGTTTAATAACAGCCGATTGATGTATGTGTGTATTATCAAACAATTTTGTCTCAATGACTACCAGAAACTACAATCTCTCACATATCGGTATTACCATCCAAGTTAAACTCTTTCAAAAGACAAACAAAAAACACATCAAAACCATTACATGGATTCAAATATAATCAATTCTTTATTATTATATGGCTATATTTAAATGTTATGAGAAGGAAAAAAATTAACGGTGGTGTTTGTGTAACAAAAAAAAAGTCGAGTTCACTTATAATGGAGAGATGAATATGATCAGGATGACTATGATTGTGGAATTGAAAGGTTAATACTTTTCATGGTTAATCTCATTGATTAAGATGAAGAAAAAAAGTTTCTCTTTAAGAGAAAATCAATATTTTGTTGAACTTTAAATTCTTGAATCATCCAAGGTGAACATGTTTAGTCGGCAGCCGATATTTAACCGGTGGAGCGACGTTTCCTGGCTTATTGAACATCCTCGAGATCCACTTGATTGTACCGAACGGACCAAAGCCAACGGGCTCATAAGGGATTCCGTGCATTCCATTGGTGAACGATAATGATGAATAATAATTACTATATTTGGATTGTGGTAGCGACAATGGAACCACGTCCGGAGTGGCCTCGTATTGCGTTAGGAAACTGCTCTCGGCTGGTGCTCCTTTGTAGCCCAATCGAACTGTATGAATTTTGGAATAATCATTGAGCGCTAATTTTTTCGCGTACAAGGGAATCTTTAACATTTTGATCTTTTTCGCGACCATTAAAGGAGCGATAATTTTTGACCTTCTTGTGTCTTCGCGTCTCGATCCTTGATCAATTGGTTGATTGTTGGAATCAGCTTTTTCCTCCCTAATTGATTCTAATGTGAATTTTGATTGTCTGGGTGATGATTCACTTGTTGCTGGCGATGATGAGGATGTGGATGAAGAGGAAGAGGAAACAGCCGATTTACCATAAGCTCCCTCAAGTTGATCTTCAAAAGCTTCGTCTACTAATCCACCTTGAGTGTTTTTTGATGGTTCATTTTTCATTATGACGTTTGTTTGATGGGCATTGATAAATTGTCCATTGTCAATGAAAGAACTCACTTGAGCTTTACCTGTGTAAGGTATTTTATCCGGAGAAACACCTTGACCAGTGGCTACTTTGACATTGGACGATGAAGGTTCATATTCATTTGGTAATTTACCTCCTAATGTGATGATCGGTGTCACTTTGAATTTTGGCTTATCGTTATAAACGGGATATTGTTCAGGTTTATTGTCACTCTCATCGGGCTGATTAGCATCGCCTTGATCTGTTGATTCATATTGCGATGGATTCTGATTAGAATCAGCATATTCACCACCATTTGAATCATGATTAGGTTCATTAGTATCTTCGTGATCATGAGCACCAGCATCGGGCATCCCAAGTCCGTTGTAATCGCTTGGTGTAGGCTGAGAGTTATCGTCGATCTCATCGTAATTATTGGCATAATTCATGTGAATAGGAAATTTAAGTGGCATATTAAATTTAATCCTGAAATTGGGCTTTTGTAATCGGTAATGTCCATTGAACGAAAAGCCCAATTTATTGGCCCGTTCAAGTACAATCGGTGGGAAAAGCCAATCAAACGAAAAGGTTTTGAACTTTTTTCTCCCCGCATATACACTGGTAATTATAATGGAACAGGTTGATTGTAGAATCACAATAAAAACAAACAATCCAAACAAATTGATCACTTTCATGGTGATAATCAAAACGCACCAAAGATTCAAAAATTATTAATCACAATCGACAAAACAGAAAATATAAAAAAAAACAAAATTCACACAACCAAATGAAAAATTAATCCGAAACAAACTAAACCAAATCTCTTTACGATTAACTAATTCACATGGACTTTAAATTGTTCAAACAGTCACAGAGAAAATTACCAATAATTAATCACTAAATTAACGGTAGTTGTTGATTAATGAACAAAAAAAGATTCACAAGTAAAAGTAATCACTTAAAGTCCCGTTTTCTTTAATGTGTAAACATTTGATTCTTCAGACCGGTTACCGATTTGGTGAATCAACCGTTCACTTCAATTGGTGATCATCATAATCAAGCTAAATTTAGATGAACTACTTTCCTACTTTTCCATCACAATTATAATAATAAGTTAAATTTTCCCTTTCTTCATCTTCCATCATCATCATCATCCTCATCTTGGCCGTTACTAAAGGTAGAAGGTGGTGAACGGTTGAAATTGAGGCCAAATCAATTGACGACACTTTGATTTACCTTTAGATTAACTCGACTCTCTTTCTAATTTACTGTCTGCAATCAAGTTCAAGGGTCGATTGTTCATTCTGATTATTATCATCATCATCATCCTTGTCCAACGATATTAATTCACTTTCTCATCTTCCTCTATCGTTCAATGTCCGATTGGTTCATCTATTTTAAATGGACAATTCTAATTGTTGATACAATTAGTATTGTCGTTTTTTTCCTCTTCTCAATAATAACCATTGATTGTTATTGTTTATTTAACCATTTAATTGATCACAACAAATTGTTACCTTTCTTTTGATTACTTAACATTTATTTTCACTGTAAAAGTTATTATTCTGATTGTCTACTTGAAGACAATTTAAATTGTGATCTTTTGTTTATTTAATTGGTAAACTGGTTAACCACAACAACAATTGTAATTGTTGTTATTTTATTTTATCTATAATTTGATGATTATAAATAGTAATTTGATTATAGTTTTTGATTACTGTTTGGAGAGAGAGAGTTTACAGTTTTAATTGTTATTGAGACTTTTTTTTGATGATGATTTAAGTGATGATATTATATTTATATCAAAATAAAAGTCATTTACAAGAAATTTAAATTTCTTATGTCGTTAATGTGATTCTGATGATGACTTGAAGCATTAATTTTAAAAGTGTGAGATGATTTTGATTGTTGTAATTTAAATGTAACGTAATTTGATTTTCTCAATTTTTGTTACTCTGGCGAGAACAAAGAAACTTTGTCTTTGTTGATTGAGGTAAAATTGGCAGTTCAAAGGTTGATGATAATTAGATGGATGCCACTTGATCACTGGGTCTTAATTGTTGATTAAAAGTTTCATCTTCCATTTGATTTGTTCCGTAAATGGGCTAACAGGATATCTTTGATTTGGTCAACTAATCTTTCCGATTCAATTTTTGAAAGTCCGGTTACATCAAAATGGTGCCTTAAACTACTTGAGATCTAAACAAAGAGAAAAAGGATAATTGTTAGAAAGAGAAAGATAATTAACCAAATTAATTAGGTAATCACGTAATTACCTTTGTCAAATATTGCATATCTTTGCCTCTTAGCTTGTCGGTTATACAAAGTGTCGACGGTTGTCCTTCGATTTTTGAACATAATTCTTCCAAGCGACGAGTTAAATTGTAAAACAATTTTTCTCTTCTCACTAAATGTGGATTAAAGGCAAATGGTGTTCTTGATTCGTTCTGAAAGAAACGGATGAAAAGATAAAACGGAAATTTAACTCACGAGTGAATAACTTTACAGTAAAAACGTATAACTTACCTGAGAGGGTGAAATTTGTTCACTAAGCATAAGGCATTTGTATTTTGAGACAAGATTACCTTTGTTTAAGGTTTGGTTAGATGTAGAGTAAGGATTTAATATGAGAGATAAGAAAGGTTGATTGCCATCGGCGAAAAGTTGTTGGTATTTGGCTTGTGTTTCGAGATCACGAAGGCTTGGATTGGGTACGAAAGTCGGATGTGAGTGATACCATCCGACAACCTGATAGCCCGCCTTCGTTAATTTTTCCAAGGCATCCGCTTGAGAGACTGAAAAGAAACGAGGGAAAACAAAAACAAAAACAAATAGAAAATGAAATGAAATGAATCAAAAGATAGAGCAAATAAAATGATGTCATAGAAAAAAATTAGCAATTAGAGGATTAACCTCGATAAGAGGGTCGAAATTACTAGTTAGTAACTAACCTGGATCCATTTCACATTGTAAATCACTAGTACCACAAGTTAAACTTTCACAGGGTTCGGCAGTTAAGATATTTAATTGTCTATATCGAGAACAGTATAAACCACCCAAAAGTCCGATCACTTCGGTTTGAACACAATGAGAGTGGACATCGATTATGGCTAAAGCTTCAACGCTTAATGTAAGAAAAAATGGAGCCTAAATAAGGAAGAAAACACAGAAAAGAATTTTAAATCAATTAAAAGAGAAAAGAATAAAAAGAAAAGGAAAGGAAAGGAAAACTCCCAAAACTAATTATCAACAAGATGAATTATTACATTGGAGAAGCAAACAAGAAGAAGGAGAAAAGAATATGAAAGAAAAACAACAATTGCGAAGAAGAAACAAAAAGTAAGAGAATAAACTAAAGATCGTAAATTCTCTTACCCTTGAGATTAAATTCTTACACAATAGTGACTAATTAATCTTGCAACCAATTAAACAAACATGAATCTCTGATAATTATCACAATAAAAATAAGCTAAAAACTGACCAAAGACAATGAATGAAATTGAAGAGAAAAAAAAATTACCTCAGTGTCATTACCATACTTTTTACATGAGATCAATTTGAACGGGTTCGGACGGGTTCTGGAACCTTTGATTATATTATCGCCGTCCATGATAGCCAACATTGATTAAGTAACAATTAAAACGAATATTTAAACAATTTAAATAACAATTAAAAGAGAAACAAAAAGATGAACCAAAAAATTGAAAAAGCTTCTTCCATGTAACTTATGTTTTGCTCAATTTTAACTTCGAAATGAATCAGCCAATCAGAATCTTCCATTGGGAAGCGGTTACTTTGAATCGAATGGAAAATTTAATTTAATTGATTTTTTTCAATTTTCCATTTTAACAATTAACCATTTATCATGTTGATCGAAGAGTTAATCAACTGATTGTTTATTTAATTTTGTCATTAAAGAGAAAGTTGAACAGTTTAGATCTGGTTTACTATTCGATGAAGTAAATTACCTGATCGGTTGATTAAGTTTCCATTACGATTTGTAATTAATTGTTCATTGAATTAATTAACCAAATCAATGATCATCACTTTTTTTAGATCATTTTGATTTTGATTTTGATTTTATTTTGATTGTTGTTGTTTGGTTATTTGCTTTGAGATGTTTCAATCTAAGCAATTGATTGTTTTGTTAATCAAGGAAATAGTAATTAAAGGAAATGGTTTTAATTTTCTTTGACAATTTGTTAATTTTTTCTTGTAATTGTCATGGTTAAATCATCATAGTTGAGTTGATTTACTTTCTCTCCAATTGGGTGACCTTACAATTGGACACAAAAGTTAATTGTTACAATTTAAGTGTAACTCTATTATATTTAAATGGTTCATCCATGAGTTGATGTTTTCAATTAATTGTGATAATGATTATTGTTAATTTTAAATAATTTCCAATAATTAACCAACCATTAACTGTAAGTGTAAATCAATTTTGATCAACCAAAGTGTTAATTGTTTAGGATTTTTCATACAATCGGATAATAATTAATTTCATGAGTAATTTAAACTATGGTAATTTGGTAATTGGATGATAATGAAAATTAAACTAAATCTATCCGCTAGTTAATTAACCAAATTTAAATTACCCGTGAGAAACTTGAACTAATCAATTCAAACAATTTAATTATTTAAATTTTTCGCTCAAAATTTTCTACCAATCAAAAGTTTTATTTGTTTCGTATTTTCATCAATTGGATAATAATTTAAGATCTCACAATTTAACAATTAATTTGTACAGTAATCAATAAATTCAGTTAACATACAGGCTTTTTAATCACCGACTTAATTGTTAAACATAAAATTAGTTAATTGTGACTCGAAAAAAGGAAATGGTTCCAATGAAACCGTTTCCATGAATTTCACTGATTCAGTGAGCACCGGAAAAATTAGATTGAGACAATTAACTAACTATTAATACTATTAATCAAGGTAATTGTTGTTGAAATGTTTCTCTTTCTAAAAAAACTGAATCAATTTAACCTTTAACAACCTTGGGTTATAATTAAGAAACCAAATTGTGATTAACAACTGATCACAAACAACAATATCTCATTTAAGTTGTTGATCAGTTAACAGCAACAACAACAATATTAATAACCAACGGTAACAATTAAATGAAATATTTTTTATGTGACTTCCTATCAGGTTGGTCTAATTAATCTGTTGATATATCCAAGCAATTTAACTTGATTTAATATCAAGTGAAAGTATCATCATCATCACCCTGATCACAGCAATTAACTATTATCAATGGCTCCAAATGTGAAAGTTGAACCATTGGAAATTGTTGATATCTCACCAAATGGTTCACCCAAAAGTTTGATTAAAAAAAGTGATTCAATTGTTAACCGTAAATTGGTTCGATTTGCTGAACCAATTAAGGATAATAACCAACAACAATCAGCTAATTATCGTTTACAAATTGTTTGGAGAAATGTAATTATCTTTGCCATCCTTCACATCGGTGCTCTTTATGGATTCACATTGTGCTTTACATCAGCCAAATGGTTAACAATTGCTTTTGGTAAGTTAATCAAATCCAATCAACTAATAACAATCAACTAATAGGATACGATTGAAATTTGAATCAGACAACAAAATGATTCAATTTTCTTGCTTTAATTGTTACATATTTAACTGGTTAGCTGTTAATTAGATCAAATGATCAATTGCATTGAATTTGTATTTCATGAGATGGGAAAGTTTCATCATCGTTAGTTAATTGTTTCCCTTTTGTTTTCAGCTTATTTCCTTTATGTATTCAGTGGCCTGGGAATCACCGCCGGTGCTCATCGATTGTGGTCACATCGATCATACAAAGCTAAATGGCCGTTGCGACTTTTATTGGCCTTAGCAAATACGATTGCTTTTGAGGTGAACATTTAAACAATCAACTGATCATTTAGTCAATGATTTAACTGTTAGTTATTTTTCTTCTTGAACATTTCGTTATAACGATTTACAGAACGATATCTACGAATGGACTAGAGACCATCGAGTTCATCATTTGTATTCTGAAACCGATGCCGATCCTCATGATGCTCGTCGAGGTTTTTTCTTCGCCCATGTTGGTTGGCTATTGTGTCGCAAACACCCAGCGGTCATTGAGAAGGGTAAAAAAGTTGATTGTTCCGATATATTAGGAGACCCGATTGTCCGATTCCAACGAAGGTAATTAACAATTCATTTGGACCGAAAATTTTCCAAACACTTTCATCAATCATTGAAACATTTTTCTCTCATTAATCAAGATATTATCTTCCATTGGTGGTCACTTGTTGTTTTATCATTCCAACGGTCATTCCTCATTTCCTTTGGTCCGAATCACTTTTAACAAGCTACTTGGTTTGTGGCCTTTTCCGATATTGTTTCACCCTTAATATGACCTGGTTAGTCAATTCAGCTGCTCATATGTGGGGCAATCAGCCTTACGATGTGACTATTGGTCCACGGGAAAACATTGGTGTTTCTATTGGTGCGATTGGTGAAGGTTTTCACAATTACCATCACACTTTTCCTTATGATTATTCAGCCTCGGAATTGGGATGGAAAATCAATTTAACCACAATTTTCATCGATTGTTGTGCTGCTCTTGGACTAGTTTACGATCGCCGAAGAGTTTCCAAAGAAGTTCTAAGACGTCGAACTCAACGAACTGGAGATTCTTCGAGGTTACACCATCATTCCCATTAGAAATCGTTTATTAATCAACTGATTGTTACCAATCAAATTCCATAGATTGTTATTTTGATTACTCTTTTTTTGTTGGTATTAAAGCTTTAAGAAAAAAAAATTCACCATTTCATTAGAAAGTGACACAATTGATTAGACGAGATTGGATTAGGTTAATCTTAGTTACCTTGATTATTTCATTTGTCAATTGTAATTATATCAACATCAATTTTTACTCAATTTAAAGTTGTGAAAACAATCAGGTTAATCTTGAACCAAATCAATTTTCAGTTATCAACTTTGATCTTGAAAATAAGGTTGACAATTGTTTTGATTGAATGTTTTTTTGTTTCTTTCATTACAATTGTAATTTAGTTGTCAAGTTTACATTAACTATTATCAATATTTACAAGAAAAAAATAGATTATCATCAATGAGTTGACTTTTTTTTACTGTTTTTGAGTGATTAGTTGATTTATATGAATGAATTTGATGGTGTTGAAAGTGGTGATTTACAACAATCAAATATGAAATGATTTGTATTGATGGTAAAAAAAAACGATTGGATTATTAGAGATATAAACTTGCAGCAAAACCAATGTCACGTTTAATCAGTTTATCGGCCTCGGAGAATTTGTTTTCCAAATCAGTGTTACCGATCACTTTTGCCGCTTGAAACATTTGACGGAGTAACTCCTCTAATCGTCTCATACATCGGATTATTGACCCTTCAAAAGCATCGGTCATTTTACACAATTGGGCGAAAGTTGCTCCTTTTGACCAGGCATAAATTACGTCCATTAAATTGGGCTTAAATGAGCTAATATAAGCTTCCTCGTCGATTTCTAGTTTAGCTTCTTTGGAAACTGTGGCGATACGTTTGGCCAGTTCTTGCATTTGTCGAAGTGGTTTAGATAATTCATCGGTCAGTTTGGGCATTGATTCAGTTTTCTCCTCGAAAACAAAACAGCTAAGAAGAGCATTGATCTGGTAAGGATTAAGATCATTGAAAAGTCCATTGAATAACATTTCGGTAATCAAAAGTTCATCTCCACTGGTTATTTCACAGGCCACTCTACCTTTAATCTCGATAACATCGGCGGTCGTACAATAGCCCAACCGACGTAAAACCCGTTTACGACATTTAAGCTCGTCCATTTGTAGGAGACTTTGAGCTTTTCGTAATTCAGATTTAACTGCTTTAATTTTATCTGCGATCGTTTTTTTATTCTCATAAGCGGCTTTCTGGGAATCCGATATTGAGCTACATTGTTTCAAGCGTTTCTTGTCGGTTTCCATTTTACTCGTCAGTGATTTAAATTCTTTAAAATTTATCTTCATATCTTTAACGGGATCCAAAAGAGGAACATCATCACCAAATTGTTTGATTACTGTAGTAATTGACTTTTTAACAGATTGACGAGCATCATAAGCTTTAATATCGGCAGGAATGAAAATACGAACTGAACTGATAGCGATTATATTTTTCAACATCACAGAGACAACTCGCATCTCTCCATCATTTGGTTTGTTTGGGGGTCGAAGTTGGCCAGCTCGTTCGTGAACTTTATCGATATTGATGATACAGTCAATTGAATAGATCGCAGTTTCATCAAGAATTGGATTACGTTTTCTGTTCATCTTTTTTTGGAAATCAACAATCGCACCCCAACCAAGTTCAACACCATCATCGGAGATGAGTTTCATCAAACGTCCAGGCTGAAGGAAAGGAACCAAGTAACCTGGTTGTCTAATTGTTTCCAAAAATCTATCATTGAGATTAGAAAGATGATTCTTAATTTTGAAATAATTGGTAACAATTTCTTCATCCTTGATTGTCAACTCGGAATATTGTTGCTCTAAATCTTTGAGTTCTAAATAAGATAAACAAAAAAAAAACAAGAAAGTAAGATACGAAATGTAAATAAAGCCAATTGAAAAACGCTTGTATTTTAAGCGTTAATGATTGTGAGTCGTTGATCACTTACTTTCTAATAGATTTGGGACTTCAGCGTAGTGTTGAAATTGATAGAAACTGTGTTGTAACATGTATTCGGGATTAACATCTTCCACTCGAAGCAAATTTAAAACCATATTGTAGGTTAGATGGAAAGCAGAGTTAATTGCATCAGGTTTACCCTTAATTAAATCACGACCCACTGATGGGCTCATTTTTTCATCTATCATCAAGATAACAATACCCTTGTCATCAATACCACGTCTACCTGCTCGTCCACTCATTTGAATATATTCACCCGATGTTATCCAACGGAAATCTCGTCCATCAAATTTACGAGCATTGGTAAAAACAACAGTTCGAGCAGGCATATTAAGACCCATGGCAAATGTTTCCGTTGCAAATAAAGCTTTAATTAAACCTTCACCAAAAAGTATCTCAATTGTCTCCTTAATCAGTGGTAATAATCCACTATGATGGATACCAATTCCTCTTTTAAGAAGTGGAAGAACATGTTGAATCTGATTATTAAAGAAAATAGAGATTAACGGATTAGTAAAAATAGAAAACTTTAAACACAAATTAATCTCCATTTACCTGTGGTAATTTCTTATCTTCATCACTAAGAATCTCAATGGCGTTTTTGAAAACTTCCTCAACCATATCTTTCTCTTGTTCTATTAGGAGACAAATAGTAGATAGACCAAAACAATTAAATCGATCAAATGAAACAGTAAACAATTTAGATACACATGAGAAATTAACTTACGCGTATTAAAGTCAAGTTTACACATTTGAATAGCATAAGCTTCACACTCTTTCTTGCTGAAGCTAAAAACGATAACTGGAGCTAATTGTCTTTCCATGATGGTTCGAACAACTTTGAAACAATTTGATTGTTCTAATGAGAGAAATGATGAAAAATATGAAGAGAAAATAATTGATTAGAATACAATTTGAATAGAGGATCGATTATTTTGTGAGATTTTGTTTACCTTTAACTCCACCTTTCTTTGTTCTGAATGAATCTCCTTTGGCCGCATCACCCGCTTTCTGGATAACGCTCATGGCCTGATTGAAATTGTCTTCTTTAAATGTACCTTGATCATCGACAACAAGGTGAAGACCTTCACCTCCAGCGGGAAGATGTAATGTTGAAGGGGAACAGGTCGAAAATCGGTATAAACAACATGACAGGGTTGATGGTGAAGGTGAGTTATCCATTCGGCAAATTGTCGAGCATTTGGAATTGTCGCTGAAAGGAAAACGTGATGAACATTATCTGGTAAAAGGATAATTGTTTCTTCCCAAACAACACCTCTTTCTTTATCCCTCATGTAATGAATTTCATCGAAAATTACCCAACCAACTTCTCTCATGATTTCACTTCCACGGAATAACATGAGACGTAAAATCTCCGTTGTCATGATGAGACAAGATGCCGATGGGTTAATGGTAACATCTCCGGTGATTAGACCAACATCTCGAAATTCCTCGAAAAATTCTCGATACTTTTGATTACTCAGAGCTTTAATTGGTGTAGTATAAATGACTCGTTGTTTATCACGAAGTGATTTAGCTATGGCATATTCAGCGACAACCGTTTTACCCGCTGATGTGTGAGCGGAAACCAAAACACTTTGATTGTTTTCGATACAAAGAACAGCTTTTTTCTGAAAAGAATCAAGAACAAATTCATATTCTTTCGCGGGTTTATAGCCTTCATTGTCTTGTGGATCTCGCAATGGAACATATTCCAAATCAACTGGGCAAACAACCTCATGTAAACATCCACCTTCAGCATCTAATTGGTGAATTGAAACTTTAGCAATCAAATTATCCAATCTTAAAGGATCTTCAATAGGCTCCACACTATCTTCATCTAAAGGTTCAATTGGATCATCAACAATAATGGCGTCGTCATCATCATCGTCTTCCTTTTTTGGTTCACTTTTTTCACTTTTTACATCTTTAACCGATTCCAAATCAATCGATTTAACTTTATCTTCTTCACCATCAATTGTAACAATTTCTTTAACATCTTCTTGCTTTGATTTTTTCTCAATCACTTCATCAACTTCAGGTTTACGTTTCCTTCCCGATGAACTTGAATCTTCCACAGGTTCATCTTGATCAAACACATCAAACAGATCTAAATCCATATTGTTACCATAAAAAAAAACAACAATAATAACCAGACAATTAATCAAACAAATTAATCATTTAAACAACAAAAAAACTCAATCACAAGAAGTAAACAAATAATTTCAACTTGAAATCTTCAACCACATGGTCCAAACAATTTGCCAAAAGAAATCCATAGATGGCGCTGTTAACCGAAATTTTAGAAAAAAATTTTTTTTTTTGAAAAGTTGAACAATTAATAGAAAAACTTTTGATTCAATTGAAATTAAATGAAGAATCCGGTTCATCATTGGTGAATTTTTGTTAAATACATTTACTCTCCTGGAGTTTTATAAATTGTCATGTTTGTCTCTTCCAAACAATTTATCTTACTTTTACAAGAATCTGCCAAATTTAATGGTCCATTAAATTATCCTCAGAGAGAAGGGGTTAAAATAACTTTAATCATCAACATCAAGTCATTAATTGTTAACAAAGTGATTAGGCAAAGGTTATAACCATTTACTGATCTGATTATTTTCCGGGTCATAGTCAGATTAAGAGACAGAAAGAAAATAATAACAAACAAACAAACAACAACAACAAACCGAGGAAATTAAGATTATCAAGATCAAAGAAGAAGAAGAAAAAAAAATTAAGATGACATTCTAATTTAAAGAATAGATTCTCTGTCTCAAGTTAATCAGTTTAATTAGAATTGCGAAAATTCTCAAAGAATCAGCACAATTAAAATCTAGAAAAAGGATAACATTTAATTTCATCATGATGGTTCATTAAACATGCCCTAAATTGTTAACATGTTTAACAACATCAACCAGAACGATATTAGAGTTTTAATCAGTGAGAAAAGTTGAACAATCAAATTGACGAGTTTTCAGTGTTAATTAAAAGTTAATTACAGTTTGCAATTTGCTTCTAATTAGTTGAGATAAAATTGAGATTCTGTTGGTAAAATTTTGTCAATTTTTTGTCTTTTTATTTCTTAATTGTTCAATTTAAATGTTGATTTTGTTGTGGTCACAATTAAATCATGAGAAAACTGTAACAGCGGATAAATCTCTTAAAGCTTAATTGTTGTTGATTGTAACAGTTAATAATAGTAATTGTAAAGTGTATTGTAATACATTGGTAAGGAGGAAAAAAGGAAACAAAATTTAATTTTTTTTTTAAATTGTAACGCAATTATAATTAAGGTAGTAGAGAGGATTAAAGTAATGGAAAACATTAAAGTGATTAATAAATTAGCCAAAGCTACAATTAGATTTAATTATCATCAGAATCGTAATTTTTTATTTGCCATCAAATTTGATTATCGTCCTAATCCATTTGAGAGAGTTGATTGTTGATCATCTTAAACACGAGTTAATCCAACTAATTGTTGTAAAGAAAATGATTACACAAAAAGAATTACAATTTAATCAACATAATCATAGAGTAATTAAAGTTAATTGTTTACTTACCTTCGTCATTAGAATAACAATTTTGACAATGTAATCGATTACTTCGGACTCTTACATCAGTTCCACAAGTACCATTGCCTGTTAACAATTAAAAACGAAACAATTAAACATCTCAAGGTTAATTGTCTGTTTAATAATAATCAATACTCAACAATTAGCTAATCAAAACAGTTTAATTGGTGATGTTATCTGATTAGTAAAGTTAATTCACTTTAGTTTGATTGGTGATCGGTAACAAGAAAAAAAAAGTAATTACAACATTTCAGTTAAATTGTAATCAATGAGATAACAATTAAATATAGTAAACCCATTTGATTGTAGTTGATTGTTGTCAGGTTAATTTAGTTGTAGCAGATTAAATTGAAGTTAATTCAACAGCAACAAAAAAAAGTCTCGAAATGATCAATGATAAACAATCAACTTGATCTACTTTGATTAGAACTTTTTTTTTGTCGAAATTGTTTATTAATCAAATATGATTAAGGTCATTAAGGTCATTATCAAGTCTATTCATTTGTTGATTAACTTGCGTTTTTTATATCATATTAATCAATAGACATTCACAATCAATGACTAATATTAAATTGTTGATGATTATAATTTAATTTGATAGTAATCAAAACCTTGACTGTGATTGGAAACAAATGAAAAAGTAGATAAACAAATTACAATTGAGAAACTAAATAAATGAGCCAATGAAACAATTAAATAATCTAATCACTGACCGAATCAATATTTATTAATAATCAATCGTAATCAAGATTAACTATAAAAAAAAAGTCAACACGCAATTATTATTAACAATCAACGATAATCATGTTAATGACAAAGACTTTAATTATTGAAAAGTTTAAATCAAGATAATCAACTGATTGTAATGATAATAACATTGTACTGAATAACCAATTAACTTTAACAATCAAAGATTGTCGGTTCAATTGATAATTTTAAATGAATTAAAATTAATTTCTCATTAAGGTTTTTCATTAATTTAATTTTTTTTTTCTTCATCTTCTCTTTAAATCATTATCATCACAATTAACTAAATTAAACTTTATCATAATTAACAATCATGAACTCATTTTGTGATAATTATTTATATTAATTATTAATTGTAACAATTTGTTGATGTACAAAGATCAAGTTTAATTGTTGGACAAATTTTACAATTTACTCAACCCAAAAACCGGAATTGAAACAATTAATCAAACAATCAGTTTACAATCAGAAACAATTAGATTAAATTTTCAACTCATTCAATTTATAACCGATTGTCAATTGATTGAAATTTTTAATTGTTCTCATAATATAATAACTACCACAGAAATCAAATTGTAACCAAATCAATGCTAATTGTTATCCAATTTATCAACTAATATGTCTGGTTAACAATTTAAGGTCCAATGATTAAGGATTTATTATTAATCATGATAATAATCTTAGTCGTTAACAGTTAATTGTAGTCATACAATACAAACTAACACTTGAAGTATAATAATAATTAAAGTTAATGGTGAAAAAAAAGTTAATTGTGATCATTTTTGTCCGTGTCAATATTTTGATTATCTTTCAATGGTATTTCTTAATTGTGTTGATAATGATGATCAAGAAAATCATTATTATCATCATCATCATGATAATGACCTGACAATAGCAATCAAAGTGTTCACCTAACAGTGATTAACTTAATGATGATTTAAATTATCAACGAAACACCAACAATAATGTAAACAAGATTCACATTATTTAAATCTTACTCTTTTTTTTTGCCACCACAATTAAATATAAATTGTTGATGATTATGATGTAAACTTGTTGATTTAATGGTTAACAATACAAGGGCAAGGTTAAGTTATAAATCATCAACAGAAATTAAATATTGAATTAGTTGGGTTAGTTAATTGTTAGTCATGCTTATTACACGAGTTGATTATAATAATAATAGTTACAATTAGATGATATCATTTGATTACCTGAACATGAACATTAGTTGATTGTAATCATTGAAAACTAGAACTAAATGATCAGTAAATTGTTGGTTAACTAATTTTCTAGGAAAAATTTTTTACTTCCAAATAATTATGATTTGTTAATTGTTGTTATTGGACAATGAACTTTAAGTTTAATCATTTAAAATACAACAAGAAATGATATTAATAATAAATGGAAAAGGTTAATTGTCTGTTGCTATTATTTAATTTACGATTGCGATCAATGATCTTAGCTGATTGTTGATGTTAATTGTCAAAAACTTTTCCTCCTCTATGATAAATAAATTGTCTCATATTTATGTTCATTTAACTTAATTGTCGTCACTATTATTGTTAAATTCACTAATTAGAATCATTATTTTACTCTTAATCATTTTTCCACTGAATATCATGTAAATTACTCTTGGATGAAAGCCATAAGAATCATGATTTACACTCGAAAATTTTCACCGAAAACAATCAATTTAACAATTAAGAAAATCAAGTTAAATTATTCATACATTTTCCATGAAAAAATAACAGAGAGAAAAACTAATTGTTATTCCAATAACAATTAAACAAATTAAATTGGAAATCATAAGAGTAACAATCTCATTTCATTCAACAATTGAGTCTGAATTAAGTTTGCTAGCAAGACACAGACTACAATAAGGTAATCGTTCAACTAAATTGTAACTCACGCAATTAGTTTAATTAAAGAGGTAAGAGTGATGATATTCAGTTAATTAATCGCTAATTGTGTTACTCACCTAATTGTATATGGCAAACAGAGCAACGGAAACAGTTGATATGATAATAGAGTGAAAGAGTTTCAATAACCATGGCAGCACATCCTCGACCTTTAATATGAACGGAAAGTGAGACAATTAAAAATTAATGACAATTAAAAAGAAAACAAGAAAAGATTAGAATTAGGAAAACAAGGTTAAAATCTAAGAAGGGATTAAGATTTAAATTGTTGTTGTATCCAAATTGAAGGTTATTAATACGAATAGGAAAACAATTGTTTAATTACCTAATTCATCACCACAATTAGAGCATCTTTTTTTACCACTGATTGATAACATTGATCGTTGATCTTGATTACCTTTTAGATTATCATTTGATTTTTTCATCAACAATTGAGCTTCAGAACATGATTTCTCACCTAATTTAGGGGATGAATCATGATCTTTTTTAATCTGTTCATCATGAAGATGAGGATGATTGGTAAGTGATGATGAAGATAGAGAAGAGGTTAGTGTTTGGTGACCTGAGATTCGAGTGGAAGATGATGATGACGATGATAGAGATGAGGATGATGAAGTTACTTCTGTGAGTTTCCTGTCTTTTGAAAGGTGAGGTTGAAGATGATTAAGATGATTTGGATTAGCAGGATGATTAGTAGTAGTAGATGATGATGAAGTTAATCCAATCATGTCTTCACCTTTAGCAAGATTTTCAAAGTTTGACAATTTATCACGAAATGATAATCGAGGTTCTTGATTAACTTTAATCTCATTGATTATCTCAGCCTCGGAAGATGATGAACAATTATTGATTGTTTCTTTATCACAAGTTGCAGATGATGAAGATGAAGATGAAGATGAAGAAGAAGATGATGATGATGATGATGATATTTCTGTTGATTTTCTAACCTTTTGAAGATGAGAATGATGAAGATTTTGATTATTAGGATGATTAGAAGACGACCCAATGTCTTCTCCTTTTGAAAGATTCTCAAAGTTTGACAATTTATCACGAAAAGATAATCGAGGTTCTTGATTTTCTTGATTAACGTTAATCTCCTTAATCTCATTCTCAGATGATGAGAATCGTTTATTAATTGTTTCTCTATCATAATTTGATGATGAGCACGAAGAAATCGCCGTTGTTGATGAAGATAATAACGGTAAACTTGATTGTCGACTGATATCTTTGTCGATCTTAAATTTTAATATAACTTTTTTACCCATGTTACTATTGGTATTAACTGGATTAACTGAATCATTGTAACTGTTAATCTTACAAATTGGTGGCTTGATTAACTTTGATTGTAAAGGTGGTAATGATAGTGATGGTGCTAGTGTTAATTTTTTCATTATTCCAGGTTGATTGTTAACAGGCTTCTGGTAATCAAGATGATGACTATTATTGTGATCGTTTTTTAGGTTAATCTGCTCCTCTTTTTTATCAGTTAATTGTTGTCCATCATCATCATCTTCATTTGATTGTTGTTGTTGTTGTTTTCGTCGGTCAATTAATTCATTATCATTATCCAATGGTTTCCTTGCCATCAAACCATTTAAATTAATAGTCTTCTCGTTAACCAATTTAGATGATGATGATGATGACGACGATGATGATGACCTGTCATCAACACTGTCATGAGCTGCTTCATCATCTCCATCATTTTCATCATCATCATCATCATCATCATCGTTTCCATCAACTCCTCTCTTAACCAACAAGGAACCTGTAATTTAATAGTAGTAATTGAATTGGAAGAAGAAGAAAAAAATTAGTTAAATTGTTGTGAAGGAAAATTGTTGACAATTTATCCATTGTTTCAGTGAAAGAAACAACAACATCGTCATCATCAAATTAATTAAAAGTTTATCAAGTAATCATGTTCATTAAATATCGTCATTATTATTGCATGAATTACATTCAAATCCTGTTATTGTTAATTTTTCTTGTTTATTATTTTGTTTTTTTTTTCCTGTAAACATGATACATCATCATCATCATCATCAAGATGATCATCAACATAATCATTTTCTTCATCTTGAATTTATCACAACCTATTCTCATTCCTCATCATCATCATGCTCAGGTCAAGTTCCGAAGGAAAAAAAATCAGAACATGAATGCTTATATTATCATGAATTGTTGTTGTTGTTTTTTAACTCGAGAGTTAATTGCTTATATATTCATACAATTATATAGTAAATACTATTTTTTTGTGGTTAATTTTGTTATTATTATATAAATAAATATCTTCAGTTGATTAGTTGATTATTTTAATTGAAGAGAGAGAGAGAGAAAAGTTAAATCATTGAGTAATAATACTTGATAATTGACTTAAATTTGAAATGAAAATTTAACCTGAAATCGTAATGAATTAGTTTGATTATATTAGAAAAACATAAAAATCTTTCATTCTTGTTAATCAGTTTTCATGATTATGATTGAACTTAAAGTTGTATCTGAATCAGTTCACTGAACTTTTTTTTTATCATTTCACTTTTTTTTTCATCATCATCATCTTCATCCTCATCTTCATGTCTCTCTCTCTCTCTCTCAGGTGAAAGTGCAACATCTTATTAACACTTATGAACACGTTGCTATGCTCATCACGAAATCAGAATTTCTGTTTTTTAATCAACAATCAAAATCTATTATCAATCTTGTTTGTTTGTTATTGTTTTCATTTAGTACTCAGAGTTAACCATAAAACAAAATCTCACACGATTTGTTCAACATCATAAAGTAACAATTAACATGGTCAAGTTAACAATTAACATTTACAATCAACTCTTTCCCTCTTTGTTAAGGTTATTTGTTTCACTTAAGTTGTAATTTAATTGACCAACAACAATTCATTGATTATTATCATAATTACTTATACACAAATTTGAAACATTGTGAACACATGATCAATTTAAATTGTTAATGATGAAGAAAAATAAAAATAAAATTAATCGTTAATTATAATCACCTGAATATGAATCGTTTGTAGATGTTGGTGTTAATTGTGATGATGATGATGATTGATTGATTGACTTTTTATCAGAGGAATCATCAGATGAAGATGATAATCTAGAGGTAACATCATCTTCCATCATTTTACATCCTTCATCTTCGTCTTCTTCTTCTTCCTCATCATCATCTTCAGAACCATTTCGAATATATTTATGAAGATTATAACCAATTCGATAGCCTGATTTAGCTTTTTCATTCAATATCTCTGAGAAGGTTTTAATTTTCCGATTGGTATTATCATCATCATCATTGTGATGGTGAGAGAGGTGATGATGAGATAAATGATGGGAAAGATGATGATGATGATGGGAAAGGTGACGATGATGTCCAACATCATCTTCATTATCATGATCTCCTTCAGTATCAGTTAACGAGCAATTAGTTGTCCTTGATTGTCGCCTCTTCGATTTCCAATTAAGTAAATTGTTCTGCCATTCCTCTTCTACTTCCTTAATCTTATCTTTGGTTATTTTCACTTCTTCAGCTAAACGAATCTGTTCAACTGCCTGTAATTACAATTAAAAAGGAAAAACAATTAAGACAAATTAAATATAAACCCAATTATAATCGTAACAATCACTTAATTGTTAGCTTTGAACGCAAACAACAACAACAAAAGCCTTTAAATTGTTAACTATTTTAAGTTTATTGTATCAAGTTGATCATCATCATTATCATTTCATCATATTAATAAATGATAATAATTGGTTAACATTTGTTGATATTTGTAACTTGTCAATTGTTGATATCAAATGAATGATGATGAAATGTTGAAATCTATCAACAGTTAATGATGAGGATGAGAAAAAATCAAATAAATTGGTTAACTTTTTTTTTGTTTATGTCTACCTGTTGATCTGTTATATTGTTAAATCAGTTCATCTACCTTGATGGCTACTTTTTTTTCATCTTCATCATTTTGTTTGATAGAGAGAGAGAGAGAGAGAGAGAGAAAAGTTTTTCCTCCATCATCATCTTCAATTCATCTTTATCTTTATCATCTCATGAATTTGGAATCATCTTCAGTCTATTATCATCATCTTTCCAGAATAACCTGAGGTCATTTTCTGGTTTCTCTTGATAGGCTAGTCGGTAGGTAGGTCAGTGAGGGGAAATGATGAGATGCACCTTACTGTGTATGTGTGTTGGGTGCGTTTTCATCATCATCATCATGAAAGGTACTCAGACTAATGGCACTCGACCATGATCAAGAGAAAATGAAAAGATGAAGATAAATAAGATGATGAGAGTATTATTATTATTATTATTGTGTAAATGGTTGGAAGATTACTCAGTCTCAATCGTAAGATTGTTAGAAAAGCAGAATAATGATTATAATTATAATACGATTATCATGATAATTGTAACGATATCATCAAGATGAACATGATTAATATAATGAATATGAAATAGAAAAGAAAGAAAAATTTTCTTCAATTCTTAAAATATACTCACTTTTTTACTCAATTCAGCTGATTGAATTTTAACAAATTGTAGTGGATCATGAGTTACTTTACTTCCAGGTCTGATCACTGTGGATACACAATGGGTGGTGATAACACCTCCAGGCAGTTCTAGATCCATATTCATCACTGATTAACTGTCAATCTAATTATTCAAGACAATTAGCTGATTATTGGACCAAAAGGATTAATAGATAAATAATTGAACAGGTAACACAAATACACTGATACACGTTTCAAGTCAATGGGTGAAGAGAGTGAGGAGTTAATATAATTGATGAAGATGAAGAAGAAAAAAAAATAAAACATTAATTAGACCTTGACAAGGAACAAGATAGAAAAGTTAATTAACCAATTGTTGTTATTATTAGTTGATTGTTGTACTGTTAATTATGGTGATGGTAAAATAAATAACTTTATACACACACAAACAATTAAATTTGATCACTTTTTCATTTTATATCCTTCACTTTAGGTTAATCATTTGTCTTTCATTGTCTTTCATTGTATCTTCACAATTTATTTTGTATTTTCTGGTATCCAGACAATTAGATTGTTGTTAACTAATTAACAATCAAGTAATCATCAAGAGGCTCACAAGAGGTAGAGAGAGAGGCACAATTAAAACATTTACAAGCTGATTGATTAAGAAACTAAATTATCATCACAATTTGAAACAAAAGAATCAAGAAAAATGAATGAGATCAATTTAAATGGTTGTTAATAGTTACCAGGTAAAGAAACAACAATAACAACAAATGTGAAACCTTTTCAGTGATTATAAATATGATTAACTTATTTAATTATGATGATTAAATTTATTTAATCGTAAAAGTTTATTATAGTTAAGAAACCAATCATTAAATCCAGTTAATAATAATGAGAAGCACTAAACAATAATCAAGTGAATAGAGCACAGGTTAAGGTAAATAAGGTAAGAACGGAAGAGAAATTGAATATTTGACTTAATTGTGATTAAGATTATGATGATTAAAGATGAAACTTTTTCGCAATTAAGGATCTAACTGTGGCTTCCAATGGATCATCATCATCATGATGATCAATAGTGTGGAGGATGATGAGGAAGAGAAAAGAAAATGATTGAAAAGGAAAGTGTTTGTTGATTGTGATTAAAAGGAAAACTTTAATTAAAAGTATGAGAATCAGATTAATGTTAATTGTTGATCATCTGATGTGTAGTAATTGTGAGTGGTTGTGTGGTGAATGATGATGAAGATGATGAGATGTCTCAAGAAGAAGAAAGGAAGATGATGAAGATGAAGATGAGAGTAAATGTTAGTCTAACAAAAAGAGATACAATTTTCAAAGAGAAACATGAATTATCATCAATTCGAGGATAAAGAAAGATAAAAGATGATGATGATGATGATCAAGATTAAGGAAAAAAAATAGAAGACAAGATTAAGTTAATCATCATTTTTGGCATCTTCACCTTCCAAGTGATTACGATAATATCATAATGTATTTACCATTTAGATGCTTTTTTCGTACATATTGATTGTCATTTGATAATCAATTTAGCAATTTCATTATTATTAATTTCTCAGTCGAATCTATTAATAATCATGTTATGTAAATTAATTATCATCTTCATCATCAGCATCTTCTAACCTCCACCTCCCACTTTCCTCTCTCTCTCTCTGTCTTTCATTTGACATTTTTTCCCATGTAAATAAAAGTGAATCATTTTCTTGGCAATTGGAAGCAAATTTTTCATCAATACCAAGAAATTTACAGTTATAACTGTTTGATTATTCAAAATGTTTCTCTGTCTATTTTAATGTCCTTTTCCTCCTCCTCATCTTCATCTTCATCTTCATTCTCATCATCTTAATATCTTGCTAATGGTAAAAGAAGACAAAGAAGATGATAATTGACAGACAGAAGATTCTCTGAATTCCAATTGTCATCTAAATTACACTTTCCAGGTCCTTTCACCTTAACTGTTTAAGTTAATTAACCTTAATCTCATTGTAGTTTCTTTCGCAAAATGAGTTCATTAATCACTTTGAACAATTTAAATAAATTAACAACAACAACGAAAATCTAAAAAAGTTTCTCCTCGTAACCAAATCAACAAATCAAATAAAATGTTTCAATCAAAACAATTTCTCATTTCATTATTGAGAAGGGAGGAAACAAACAATTAGCGCAAACTCCATATCCAAACAATTAACTAATTGTGATTGAAAACAACAACAACAACAACGACAAAAAAAGTTTCAAAATCAATTTGATTTGGATAAATAAATTTCCATTAAATTTATAAACCAAAATAAGCTTCGACTCACCAGTTCAAGGCCCGTTAGCTCAGTCGGTTAGAGCGTCGTGCTAATAACGCGAAGGTCGTGAGTTCGACCCTCACACGGGCCATTGAAATTTTTTATTCTAATTGTTATTAACATTTTGTTTTCTTTTTCCTTTTCAATGGTTAATCTAATTACTATTAACTTGGTTGATTAATTGTCGTTAACTATTTCTTTTTGTACAATTTATGTTCATTTTTATCATTAATCAAATTGTGATGAAATTAAATTCACTTTGTTATTGTTTGATTTAATTCAGTTGATTAAATAATGAAGGTGTAACTAGTTAAACATTTTAAATTGTGAAAATAAATTTAATTTACTTTCTGTTGATTTATTGAATTAATTGTAAAAGTTTGTTATATTTATATACATTTAATAGACAAAAACAAATGATCAACCTAATTAAAGTGATTAGATTAATTGTTTTGAGGGATAAACAAGAAAAAAGAAAAAGTTGATTAACCTTTTTAACGAGTTTTCATTTTAATTGATCAAAAAAGTGAAACAATTACAATCAAATCAATTCTAGCATTAAACTTTCTTTAATTAGTCATAACAACTTGAACGTTTTCAAACAAATTAAATAGTTAACAATTAACCAAATCAAAGTTTTTTCAACAATTTCATTGATTTAAATTTGATGAAAATTAATCAACTCGGATTTTTAGTAGGAAGGAGGAAGAGAAAAGTTAATCAACCAGATTAGGATTAGGATTAAGATTAAGATTAAGATTAAAAACTGACCTCAACATCCGTCTCTCTATTAACTTTGTAACTAATCATCAACAATTATTAAATCGTAATCTAAATCATCATCATTATCAATCAACCGTTAATATTACATTTGACTCGATCATTGATCTTTATTATTTAATTCACTGAATTAAATATAATTTATTGAAAGAAAAAACTTTAAATTGTATCGATACAAGTTCATCACACCTTTTTTTGTTGTTCAGCAATTAGTTAATTTTATCCTTCACTTAATCAACCAACAAACATGATTATCAGTAATCTTAATCTCGTTCAAACCCAAAGAGTAAACATATTAAATGATTTACACGAAAAACAACAAAAATGATTAACAAATTCAAGGATTAACCATTAAAAGGATAAAGTAGATAATGTAATTTATTAATTATCATGTTAATCCAGTAAAAAAAATTAACAATTTGATTCTAATCATAAGGTTACATATCTAAATGTTGAACATAAGTAACACCAAGACCCTGATAAACATTACGATTAGTTTGACTGATTAATTGAATGATTAAAAGTGATAACAAAAGTTAAGTAACTCAGATTAAGTTGTTAATTGTTTACTATTAGTTAATTGTGACAATCTTGAGAAAACATTGATTGAAACCTTTTCTAATCTAATCAGTAGATAACATCACAATTAACAGTTATTATCATAACGTTAGCAACACAAAGCTTTCAGCAGAAGGAGAAACAATTAGCTTTAAATTGTGATTAGAAAGTTTTTCAATTCTAATTGTAAGTTGATCTGATTAACTAAAATTTTCTCACTAATCAACTAATTGTTTTATTTTCCTCTCCCTGCAAGTTCAAGGCCCGTTAGCTCAGTCGGTTAGAGCGTCGTGCTAATAACGCGAAGGTCGTGAGTTCGACCCTCACACGGGCCATTGAAATTTTTTTTTCTCTTTCCAATCAACCAAATTTCAAAAGTTCTCATGACTGATAATCAACATATCGATCAACGAAAATTTGAAACAACAATTATAAAGATTTTTAATCGAACAACAATTATAACGGTAAATTAGTTTGTTTGTTTTTTTTCTCGCATTTCGGTTGATTGGAAAGTGATGATTTTCTTTCAAGATTAACAGTTAATTGTGTTTAGTAATTAAGGTTGATTATTGTAGTTATTTGGCAAAGGTGGTAATCAGTTCAGTGAATTTACAAATTGTGATCAATTGGATTGTAAGTGATTAACGGGTGCCAATCAATATTGACAATCAGGTCAAGATTGTGAAATAATATTCATGGGAAAAGATTTCAAATTGAATAGAAACTCTGAAATGATCAACAACAATTAAAGTTGAATCAATAAATTAAACAAAAACCTCATCACAATTAACAAGATTTCAATCAAAGGGAAGACCTTAAAAAAAATAACTTTAATCAGCAATTTAAAATTGATAATAAATAGTTGGCAGAAAAAGTTAATTGTGAATAACAAACAAAACAATTACAATTACAATCTAATTGAACCATGAAATGATCTAGATTAACAATGTAAAATATAACCAAAATTAACCAGCATTGATTAGCAACAATTTACTGATTGTTGAAGGAAAAACACTTAATTTTCAACCTCTTCTTCAACTCATTAACCTAATCAAACGTTGATCACAATTTAAACGATAAAAAGACCAACAATTAACCATTAACACGCAAAAAAAAAGTCCGTGTTAAAGTGACCTGAAAACATTTAATTTGTATACATATTGTATTATATTTGATTATAATTTAGCTGATTGTTATTTGAGGGCCAACACCAACAACAATCAACACACACTCACTCACTCACACACAATCAGTAAATTGTTCATTGTGCTTTATTAATTCAATCAAGTAACAATCAAATCTGGTCTAACCGGAATTGTTGATTGTTGTTAATTGTGATAATCATATTCAATTTTTAGTTTATGTTTGGTGTTGTCTCGGTTAAGTCCCATTCATTATTCATGGTTGTAATTTAATTTTTTCATCATCTCTTTGTAAATTAAAGTTAATCATCATCATCATTGAATCTACATAATTTAACAATGGGACACACACACAATTGATTAATCATTGATTGTTATCATAATACAATTTAGGGTTAACCCTTTTTGTTATATTATTATTATTATTATAATCAAATCGGCCTCTTATTATCAACAAGATGATTAAAACTAATCACAGGTAACTGTTTAATCATATATATAAGATTATATTGTTAACAATGATTAACATGGATAGTTGATTAATCTAATCTTAACCTACATTGAACTTTAATTTTTTCCTCTTACCAAAAGTGAATCAAGAAAAAAGTTATAATGATTAACGGTTAATTGTAATAGTTACTATTTAAAGTATTATTTTATCTTGATTGTTGGTTGAGCAAAAAAAAATGTTGATTATGATTAAAAGATTAATGAGATTGAATGATTTGTCGTGATTTACTGATCATCATTTTGTTATATTATATTATCATGATCAACATGTTAATTTATATTAATAAATTGTTATTAATTATATTATAATCTTGTTGATTAGATTATAACTTTTTTTTTGCTTGTGTTAATTGTTGATGAAAAAATAAATAAATAAACAATCAATATGATATTAACTGAGTGATACTGATGATTTTCAATTGGTTAATCCATTACTTATTGGATAATTATTATTATTTTAACGTTAATCGTGATTAAGATTATCTAAACGATTAAGTTTATTATCATCATTTGAAATGATAAACTTAATATTAGATGTAAGTTTATATGTTAATATGATTATATGCTGATGATTATCATTGATAACGGTTTGCAATTTAAACTTCTAATGAAAGTTAATCAAAGTTCAATCATGATGGTAATTAATTGATGGATAAATTGTTGTCAATTGTAAGTCAATCAACGGATTGATTTTCTTGTAATACAAACGAGACCAAATGACCCGGATTAAGATAAAGAGACGATGATGATGATGATGATGCTCAAGATGATGAAGATGATGAAAAACTATTTAGTGCCAAGGGGATCCAATCAGAAACTGAGGTTCCTCTTATTTTAATTTATATTTTGAGAGAGAGAGAGATAAATCTGATCAAGTTCCAACTCAAGGATCATCATTGATGAGGATGAAAAAAAAGAGTTGATCTTGAGCTAATATTATCAAAATATATGACTGATAAATGAGATAAATTCAAAGATGAGGATAAAATGAAAAGATGAGAGAGAGAGATGAAAGAGATCAACCGGTTCAACAAGATGATAATGTTAATGATGAAGATGAAGATGAAGATGATGGTCAGAAAATGAGAAGACCAAAGAGTTACATATAATAAGAACCAGTTATGTTACCTGGTTGATGATGAACCACAAAAACCAGAAATATAACATTTGATATATAATAGAAAATATTATTGGAGTAGGAAGATGATGATCAGGATGATGATGTTCCTAAGAACGAATAGAATTCAGTTATTATTATTAAGTTACCTCAATTTTACTATTTATTCATCGAGAGAGAGAGAGAGAAAGAGAAACGTTAGATTGACCTGTAAACTGACCAAGCAAAATTGATCTTGAAGGAGGATGAAAAGGAGGTGGAAGAGATGAAAAGTTATCATGGTTTTGGGTCTAAAAGGTGGAGGTGGGAAAACAAAATCTCTAATGGTGGAGGTGGAAGGAGGAAGAAGGTGGAAACATGAATTTTCAATTGAGATATTTACGCCTGATTAAATACTGTTAGTTAATTACAATTAAATGATCATTATAATGCTAATAATGGTTAATAACAACAAAATGATAACAAAACTTTTACATATACAAACTTAACACTAACCTACATTTACCTTTAATTTTTTCATTTTTTACTTTGATCTACCAATCAAATCTATTATTATGATTTGATTGTTATTATCACTATTATTATTTCATCATTATTATTATCATTATCAGATGATTTTGGATATTTGTTAATAATAATCAAAAAAAAGAAGAAAAAAAATTAAATAAATTGTGATAAATGAACGAGAAAAACTTTTTTGTTGTTATTTCCAATTGGATATTTAAATGTTGAGTTGATTGTTATTAGAAATATAATAATAATCAACAATATTATCATAGTTCTGATTCATATTTGTGATTTATCATTGTTATCATGATTAAGATGAAGATGAGGATGATAATAATAATGAAATTAGTAATTGTATTAATAATTTAACATCATTAAGATAATAGTGATTGGTATTGGTAATACTAATTTTTCATATCCTCGATTTTTTTGTTGATATTAGTTATTGAAATTAGATGATTAAAAATAGATTTGATTAGTTTGAAGGATATTTTTATGGATTTTGGTTGATTGTAATTAAAATAATTAAAATGTTACATTTGGATAATAAAATTTGATGTCTGTTAGATTAGGATATCAATGAGTCTTGTTGACAAATTAACTGTTAATTAGTTTGTCTTTTTTTCTGATTCTTTTGTTGAGACTTGATTGTTGATATATAATAGTTTCAATGTTCATTTAATGTTCATGTTCATGTTGATATGATCATGTAATCATCATGATCCGTTAAGAAAATAATAGTCGGGGAGTAAAAAAAAGTCACACACCACATAGAAAATGATGTTATGTGAATTTGATGGAGTAAGTGAGAAATTCATTGGGAAGATGATGGAAAATTGGGTGGATGAGAAGATGAAGATGATGATGAAGATGAAGAAGATGATGAAAGTTATATGAGAGAATTGAGTTGATGATATTTTGTCGTTCCTGGTTGATTAACCATGATAAATGAGACTAAACTTTCGTAGGAAATTTAATGTTGTTTCTTTCAGAACTTTTTTTTTTCTTCTTCTTCTCTTAAGATTTTTCTTAGAACTTTTTTATTTTTCTTCATTCTTTTTACCTGGTTGATTAAATTGAGAGGTTAATTTTAAAATTCTTATCCAATCAAGAAGAAGAAGAAAAAACAACAACAACAATCAGTAAATCCGGTTAATTTTGTCCTCATTTGATCAACGAACAAGAAACAGAATGAAAAAAAAAGACAAACCAGAAAATCAAAATATTTGTTTAGTTACCAAAACGAGAATGAGATTAAGTAAATTGTCATGATTGATAAACTTAATTGTGTTGGACAATTAAATGAGGAGAGAGAGAGAGAGAGAGAAACGATTTATTATAATCGAGACAATTAAATATAATCAAATGGATTAGTTTAAAAGTGAAGGATCAAATTAATAATAACAACAATTTCGATTAACATGTTAAGAAAGAGATGATTGATTAAGTATTAATATATAAGAAATTAAATTATTACAATCAAGTAAATTGATTTAATGGTTGTCATTGTAATCAATTTGTTACCTTCATTCATTTTTGATTGCGAGTAATAAATTATATTAAATCACTTTGATTAGTGTTAAAAGTTAAACCTACCTGAGAGTGAGTGAGATTTAAATTGTTACTTTTCAATTATTATGATGATTTAGTTGTTATTGATGTGATAATAACAATTTAATATTTGCCAAATAGTTGCGGGTATGAAATTCAATTGATTAACTTAATGATGGTGATGATTTGTAACAGTTAATTGTTGATGACACTAAGAACAGGGTAATGGTCAAATCCTTTTGTTTATCATTAGTTAACTGGAGTCAAGGTTGGGGAACAATTAGTTAATTGTTGTAACTTTCGACTAGAATAGAGAAACAAACGTTAATGAGAAATTAATCTCATTGAATTAACGTTGATTGTTGATGATTTTTTTTCACGATTATTATGAGATATCATTTGGAGATTAACAATTTGTATTTACCAATGTGATTAATCTGGTGATAGGATGATTAAGGTATTGGTGGAAAACCAGTTTAATCCGTTATAATAAATTCTTTTTCTGTAGAATTGATTAATATCCAAATAAGGTGAACTTCAGGGAGAAAGAAACTCACAAAATCACCGAGAAATAGAATCACTGGTTTTATTAATTAGTCGAAAAGGCGAGAAAAAAACACCAACATGAAATTGAAGAGATTTTCATTCACAATCAATTGAAATCATTCAATTTCTTTAATTTTGATTCACCTGAAGCTTTTTAGCTTCTCCAATCTACCTGACATGGTAGAGGAAAGTTGAATGATTAAAGAATTGGAAACTTGAATTGAACAAAACTCAGAATCTTTTTATTTTTATTTCGCTGCTAATAGATGGAGACACTTAGAGAACAATCGAAAATCGAAAAACAAAAATTCAATTGATTGTTGAATCGATGATCAACTGATTGTAATTATAAATCTACGACCATGAGATTGATTAATTGTTGTGGAAAAGTTTCACAATTAGTTGAGAATCGTGAGATTAGATTTTCTTTTCTCTGGAATAACATGACGAACAAAAATCGATTGGGAATGAAAAAGTTTCTCTCTTGGAAACGACCAAAGAAAATGGACAAAATTCTAACGGATTTTGGACTCGATGATCTATTTTCTAATAGTTGATGAGGATCTTTGATGAGAACTTTTGAAATTTGGTTGATTGGAAAGAGAAAAAAAATTTCAATGGCCCGTGTGAGGGTCGAACTCACGACCTTCGCGTTATTAGCACGACGCTCTAACCGACTGAGCTAACGGGCCTTGAACTGAAAATTAAATGATTTTTAACATATATAAATCTTATAGAACTTTTTCTCAATCAATTAGATCAAATCTTCAGTTCTTATTCAGTCAATTGTTATTTTTTTTCTTTTCTTCCCTATTGAAGATAACATTTCAATTACCTTCACATTAATGTTGTTTACTTTGGCTCAATGAGAAAGAGACAATTAATTGATTTCAATTACCACTTTTAATCAACTCATTAATGGAGAAAATCAATTTAATCCTATTGATGATCTTGCGATATGTTGATTTTGTTTTCTTTGGATTAACATGATAACTTATTTTTCTTAATTAATCATTTTTATCCTTGGAATTAGTTGATCGTTTCATTTTCTTTGATCATCAAAAACAATTAACAGAAATTATAAATAACCAAAGTGATAATACTCTTCATTAATCAAAAAGAGAGAAGAATAATTTCAATTTTAATTGATTTCTATCAAATTGTTATCTTTTTTTCTCATTAATTTCTTTAAATTGTTCCAAACGAAATTAATTTAATTGAGATTATGCGATATTCTAAAGTGGCTCCATCTGGTGGGAAGAAAATGAAACTAAAAAGAGTTTTTTTCTTTTTCTTTTCTCTGGTAATAAGCCAAAGAGAAGAAGCTGTAAGAATAAATAAATTGTTTCTCTCTCAGTTTCTTTCTCTCTCTCTCCAGTTTTTTCGTCCTTGAATTGAAAGTCCTTCATTTTCTCTCTGATTTCGAGAGTAAATCTCACTTTTGTTCTCTTTCATTGGTCAACTTCCTCTGTGGAATATATTATTTATCTCTCACTCACTCGGTCTCTCTCAGTTTCGTTTCCTCTGATCATCATCTTCATCATCATCCTGTTTGTTTTGTTCCTGGTTCACAATTGTCATTAACAATCTCCCTCTGTTGCTCTCTCTCACACACACTCTCTCTCTCTCTCATTCTTTCAATCACTTGATTATATCAATTGTGTTGATAGTTAGACAATCAAAACAATTAGGCTAATATAATTGAATTCTTTTTCTCTTTTTGTGTTTGAATCAATTTAAGTTCTCTATATATTTACTAAGTGTCAACAATGTCAACTTCGGATGCCATCAAGCATAAGCAAATCTCGGTTCGTGGTATAGCCGAGGTGGAAGATGTTACAGCAATAAAGAAGTCATTTAATCGTCACCTTCATTATACTCTGGTAAAGGATAGAAATGTAGCCACCAATCGAGATTATTACCATGCAATCGCTCACACAGCCAAAGATCATCTTGTCTCTCGATGGATACGAACCCAACAAAGATATTATTCTGAAGATCCAAAGGTTAGAAATTTCATCATCTTGAAAAATTTTCTATTCTCTTATAAGAAAGAAAAAATTCTCTCCTTTATTCCAAATGTTCTTCTCTATTCTGTTCTATTTTCTAATAATAATTTCGCTCTCCCTAACCTAATCTTTCAACCTAAAAGATTTACAACCTTTTTTTTATATCGAAAACAATATAGTCTCGCCAATCAAAGATAAAGGAGAATATATGTAATTCTATCCAAACAACAAGAGAAAGAGGAGAAAATTAAAAGCTTCAATAAGATAAAAAGCTCAATTCTTTCAAGGACAATTAGGTTGACAATCAATCACGCAGAGTGCCAATGGGTGCTATGTCTTTCCACCATTGACTCTCCCGTGTTGATAACCTGATGATAGTGACCCTTGTTTATTTTTCCATTTCTTTTTTTTCATCTTCTTCTTTAGTTTATATCTCCATAAATCACTAGAAAAAGAAGAAGAAACCTCAACAAAATATCTTATCTGTTTTCTAAATTTTCCTTCCAACTAGTTTTCACCTGATACATGGTAAAGAAAATTAATTAAAGGAGGGATTAATTATGGAAGCTTAAAAAGTAAACCAATGATTAGTGGAAAATGATTAAATAACGATCAATATTGAATCGGATGTTAGAAATTTTTTCTCTATCACCTTGTGTATATTTGTTTTCTTTTCTCTTGATTAATTTGTCTTGATTCATTTTTTTCTTCTCTTCCACAATCCTAATGATTCTTATTACAGAGAATCTATTATCTATCATTAGAATATTACATTGGACGATCATTGACCAATACGATGTTGAATCTTGGAATTCAGGGTAGTTGTGATGAGGCTCTTTATCAAATGGGCTTGGAAATTGAGGAACTTGAAGAGCAAGAATTAGATGCTGGTCTTGGAAATGGTGGTTTAGGTCGTTTGGCTGCTTGTTTCCTCGATTCAATGGCAACTTTAGGAATTGCTGGTTATGGTTATGGTCTAAGGTATGACTATGGTATTTTCAATCAACGTATTCAAAATGGTGAACAAGTTGAAGAGCCTGATGATTGGTTGCGATTTGGTAATCCATGGGAAAAAGATCGACCTGAAACAACCATACCTGTTAACTTTTATGGTCGAGTTATCCAAGAGGATGGAAGATCTAAATGGGTTGACACTCAAATCGTATTTGCCACACCTCATGATTATCCTGTTCCAGGATATAAAAATAATGTTGTCAACACAATGAGACTTTGGTCGGCTCGATCACCAATCAATTTTAAGCTTAAATTTTTCAATGACGGTGATTATATTCAAGCGGTTCTTGATCGTAATCTGGCTGAAAATATTACCCGAGTTCTTTATCCAAATGATAATAATTTTGGAGGTAAAGAATTACGTCTTAAACAGGAATATTTCATGGTTGCTGCAACTCTTCATGACATCATCCGTCGTTATAAGAATGCTCGTAAAATGAAAAATGAGACTCATCTTGGTTACGATTTATTCCCGGACAAGGTTGCAATTCAATTAAATGATACTCATCCTGCTCTCGTGATTCCTGAATTAATGAGGATTCTGGTTGATATTGAAGGTATGCCTTGGGATGATGCCTGGGCGATTGTGGTGAAAACTTGTTGCTATACAAATCACACCGTTTTACCTGAAGCATTGGAACGATGGCCGGTTACCCTATTTGAAACTTTACTCCCTCGACATTTACAGATCATCTATGAGATTAATTCTAAACACTTGGAAGGTGTTTCCGCTAAATGGCCCAATGACCTTGCTAAAATGGGTCGAATGTCATTGGTTGAAGAATGGCCTTACAAGCAGATTAACATGGCCAATTTAGCGGTTATTGGTTCACACTCGATTAATGGTGTTGCCCGGATTCATTCAGAGATTATCAAGAGAGATGTTTTCAATGATTTCTATCAGATGACACCCGAAAAGTTTAACAATAAAACTAATGGTATTACTCCAAGACGTTGGTTATTGATGTGTAATCCTAGTTTGGCGGATCTGATTGCTGATCATATTGGTCAAGATTGGATTACCGATTTATATCAATTGAAAGAATTAAGGAAATTTGTTTCGGATCAAAAGTTTATCCGATCTGTACAAAGGGTTAAACAGGAGAATAAGATGAAACTTGCCAATCTATTGGAAAATGAATATGGAATTGAAATTAATTCTGGTTCATTGTTTGATATTCAAGTTAAACGTATCCACGAGTATAAGAGACAATTACTTAATGCTCTTCACATTGCCACTCTTTACAATCGAATCCGAGCCGATCCTGAGGCTGATATTGTTCCCCGAACAATTATGATCGGTGGTAAAGCCGCACCCGGTTACCATATGGCTAAACAGATAATTAAATTAATCAATGGAATAGGAAATGTTGTTAACAACGATCCAATTGTTGGTGATAAATTGAAAGTTATTTTCCTAGCTAATTATAGAGTCTCTTCAGCTGAGAAAATTATACCCGCTGCTGATTTGTCTGAACAAATATCAACTGCTGGTACTGAAGCTTCTGGAACTGGTAATATGAAATTCATGGCTAACGGAGCATTGACCATTGGTACTCTTGATGGAGCTAATGTTGAAATGGCTGAGGAAATGGGCCATGAAAATATCTTCATCTTTGGTATGACCGATGCTGAAGTCGAAGCCCTGAAAGTCAAAGGTTACAACGCTCATGATTATTATGAATCTATACCTGAGCTGAAAACTGTGATAGATCAAATTGACAATGGTTTCTATTCAAGAGGCGATGCCTCCGTTTTTAAAGATGTCGTCAACGTTTTAATGAATCATGATAGGTTTTTCGTTTTCGCTGATTATAAAGCTTATATCGATGCTCAAGATAAAGTATCTCAAACTTATCAGGTAAAAAATGATCAATCAATGAAATAATTTTACAAGAGACAATTAACTTTAATTTGATTTTTCCTTCATAGGATCAAGAAAAATGGACTCAAATGGCCATTATCAATATCGCTTCTGTTGGTAAATTTTCATCTGATCGAGCGATATCTGAGTACGCTACTGAACTTTGGGGAGTGACTCCTACTCGACAAAAGTTTCCCGAACCCTATGAGTCCGTTGAAAATAACGGTGTTGTCGCTGCCAAAGTCCCACCGACTGAATCAAAGGCTCCCAGCGTTATTAAAGCAGCGGCGGCCAATCTCGCTGCCAGTGGTGGTACTGGCGATGGAAAGAAAATTGTTTCAGCAAAGAAATGATGAAATAAGATTTAATTGTTTACTCATTGATTTGTTTTCTCTCTTTTTCTTTTCCAAGTTAATCAATATTTCATCTTTACCATTTTAATCATAATCCTAAATCTAAAACATAAACCCAATTATGAAAGTAAAGGTCTTTCAACTCGAGGAAAATGATACAACAGATATTTAAATGAATTCAATCAAAATCAACAAAATTTAGATACAATTTATTGTTGTATTTTTAAATTAAATTGTTTGCAATGTTGATTTTTTGTTGCCAAAATGTTTACAGAGTTTGAACCTGATTTTTTCTCATATAATTAATATAACAATTCCCTTCCCACCTTGATGTAAATTTTTGTCTTTGAGCTTTGAGATTTGTTTCCTAATTCATAATCTACAAAAATAAATCAAATGAATCTAATTACAATTAACCGAAAATTGTTCTTTTAGTCAATTAAAAGCTTTACCATTAATAGTTGAGGGATAATAATTGCTTACAATTAACTCATTTGGTAAAAATTAACTTGTAAACAACAAGAAAAAGGTTGAAGATATTAAAAATAAAGCAAATCAAGATGACAACAATTAGATTAAATTGCAATTTAAACAATGATTATACAATTTTTTTATTTAAAGAAAACTGTTACAACAATTAAATTAAATCAAGTTAACTCTCTTATTGTATTGTTTGTTTTTCCCAATAATTTGTATCAAAGTAATTAAGTTGATTGACTGATTGGGTTTTGATTTTATTTTGTGACGAGGTGAAAGTGTAACAACCATTGTGAATGGGACAATTAAGGAAGTTTTTATTTTAATTGTGATTAAATTATCATCACAAGGTTTGCAAGATGAGTTCATCTAAACAACCACCTTCCTTTTCAGGAAAGAAAGACAATAAATCAATGTCCAAGGAAAAAGTGACCACTGGTAAATCGAGTGTTGGTAAATCGTCATTTAAATCTGGTTTAAGTCCACCGAAATCATTAACTCCATCCAAATCATCAGGTGGGTTGAAATCATCTCCATCATCACCTAAATCACTTTCTCCAGGCCTCAATGTGTCTTCATCTAAATCTAAATCAACTTTACCGAAATCATCACCGGCTTCCAAGTCCAAAACATCGGGATTAACTGTTACACCGAAATCATTAACTCCATCGAAATCATCAAGTGGATTAAAATCATCCCCATCTCCATCTTCACCCAAATCCCTTTCTCCAGGTCTTAATTTACCTTCATCCAAATCGAAATCAACTTTACCTACTCCACCAAAACCATTGATTCCCTCTAAATCATCAGGTGGATTAAAATCATCTCCATCATCACCTAAATCACTTTCTCCAGGCCTCAATGTGTCTTCATCTAAATCTAAATCAACTTTACCCACTCCACCAAAGCCATTGACTCCCTCTAAATCGTCCGGTGGACTGAAACCTCCTTCATCTCCATCAGCACCTAAATCATTGCTTAAGGTAAATTTGGATCCTAAATCAACATCACCATCGATACCTTCAAAATCTAAGAGTAGAGTTCAATTTACTCCTTCGACTAAACCGGGATCAATGTCATCAACATCAACCACATCAAAGTCGAGCTCAATTACTCCAAAACAAAATTCTCAATCATCAATCGCATCTAAATCACTTTCTCCGAGTGCTAATTTGTCTTCATCGAAATCCAAGTCAAATTTACCGATTTCACCAAAAATATCAATTCCGTCATCAGGTGGATTGAAATCATCTCCATCATCTCCATCATCACCTAAATCACTTTCTCCAGGTCTTAATTTACCTTCTTCCAAATCGAAATCAACTTTACCAATTTCACCGAAATCATCACCAGCTTCCAAGTCCACAACATCGGGATTAACTGTCACACCGAAATCATTAACTCCATCCAAATCATCAAGTGGATTAAAATCATCCCCATCTCCATCTTCACCCAAATCACTTTCTCCTGTTAATTTACTCACATCAAAATCCAAGTCAAAATTATCTCTCTCACCATTAACTCCAGGTAAATCATCAACTGGCTTGAAATCAACTCCATCATCTCCATCACCACCTAATTCACTTTCCCCTGGTTTTAAAATACCTTCAGCAAAAACCAAGTCGAAAATGCTGATTGCACCTTCATCATTAATTAAGTCCAAATCATCTACTGGTTTCAAAGCTCCACCATCACTTTCTCCTGGTCTTAACTTATCATCCAAATCGAAATCAACTTTACCAATTTCACCCAAATCATCAGGTGGATTAAAATCATCTCCATCGTCTCCGTCGTCTCCATCATCACCTAAATCACTTTCTCCAGGTCTTAATTTACCTTCAGCTAAGTCCAAGTCAAAGTTGACTATATCACCAAAGGGATCGATTCCTTCATCGCCCGTTTCAAAGTCGAAAACTGTTCTTGCATCATCTGGGTTAACTCCAAAACCAACAATTCCACCGAAACCTTCAAGTGATTCGAAACCCTCTCCATCTTCACCTAAATCACTCTCTCCGGGCCTCAACGTATCTTCATCAAAATCCAAGTCGAACTTACCAATTTCACCAAAATTATCAATCCCATCAAGCGGACTAAAATCATCACCATCTTCACCCAAATCCCTTTCTCCGGGTCTTAATTTACCTTCATCCAAATCGAAATCAACTATACCCACTCCACCAAAACCATTGATTACCCCTAAATCACCGGGTGGATTAAAATCATCTCCATCATCACCAAAATCAAATTTACCAATTTCACCAAAATTATCAAGTGGACTAAAATCATCTCCATCATCACCCAAGTCACTTTCTCCGGGTCTTAATTTACCGTCTTCCAAATCGAAATCCAAACTAACTCTTTCGCCGAAATCATCAACTCCATCTAAACCATCAGGTGGGTTTAAATCATCTCCATCTTCACCTAAATCATCAACTCAACCAGGATCTCCATCTCTAGCATCATCATCATCATCGAAACCAAAGTCAACATTGATTCCTTCAAAACAAAGTTCCAAACCACCAATTCAAACTAAATCAATTTCTCCTGGAGTTAATTTACCATCAACCAAATTGAAATCGAATCTACTTGTTTCACCGAAAGATTTAATTCCCTCTAAATCATCACACGTTTCCAAGTCGAAAACTGTTGTTCCATCATCTGGTTTAACTGTCACATCAAAACCTTTGATTTCTTCTAAATCATCAAGTGGATTGAAATTATCTCCATCATCTCCATCATCACCAAAGTCCAAATCAAATTTAACTCTTTCACCAAAATCTTTAACTCCATCGAAATCATCAAGTGGAACTAAATTAGCTCCACCTTCACCTAAATCACTTTCTCCCGTTCTTAATTTACCTTCATCGAAATCCAAGTCCAAATTATCCGTCTCACCAGCATCAGTAACTTCATCTAAATCATCAAGTGACTTGAAATCATCTCCACCATCACCTAAGTCACTTTCACCTCGATTGAGTTTATCCAAATCAAAATCAAATTTAACTCTTTCACCGAAATCATCAACTGAATTGAAATCAACTTCATCTCCACCTAAATCATCAACTAAACCAGGATCAGTATCTTCATCAGCGTTGACACCAAAGTCGACATTAGTTACTTCAAAACAAAGTTCCCAACCATCAATTGCACCTAAATCACTTTTCCCTGATCTAAGTTCATCTAAATCGAAATCAGATTTAAATTTGTCACCCAAATCATTAACTCCATCGAAATCGTCAAGTGGAACTAAATTATCTTCACCTTCACCTAAATCACTTTCCCCTGTTCTTAATTTACCATCATCGAAATCCAAGTCTAAATTGTCTATCCCACCAATAACAGTAACTTCATCTAAATCATCAGATGGCTTAAAATCTACTTCATCTCCACCCAAACCATTGATTAAAGCAGTTCCCGTTTCCAAGTCTAAAACAATTCTTAAATCATCAGAATCAACTGAATCACCTAAACCAACTCCTCCAGGATTCAGTTTACCTTTAACCAAATCGAAATCAAATTTAACTATTACACCGAAATCATTAACTCTATCGAAATCATCAGGTGGATTAAAATCATCAACATCTCCTCCTAAATCATCAGCTAAACAAGAGCCTCCATCCTCATCACCAGCACCACTAATTACTCCAAAACAAAGTTCTCAACCACAAATTCCAGCTAAATCAGTTTCTCCTGGAGTTAATTTACCATCAACCAAATTGAAGTCGAATCTACTTGTTTCACCGAAAGATTTAATTCCCTCTAAATCATCAGGGGGACCGAAATCATCTCCATTTCTACCTAAATCATCAACTAAATCGACATCGTCATCATCCTCGAAATCCGATGCTCAGGTTGTTAAACCGAAACCATTAGCCAAAGTGGCCCCAATGATAATCAAAAGTCAACCGAAATCGCAAGAAAAATCAACTCAGATTTCATCATTTTCTCGTGAGGCCGATTCGGTTAAATCGGGTGTTTCGGTCATGGAAAGTGGCCTTGCACCTAATAAACCTTCAGAATTCACTGATGAAGAGAAGGCGAAACTTGATCAAACCAAGGAAGAAGATAACAAGAAAGCCAAAGAAGATGAAACAATCATGGCGATAATAATTAAGTTCTTAATGAACTGTAATGTCGTCTAAAGAAAAAAACCAAATCAATTATAATCTTACTTCTTAATTTTCTCATTCAGGGACTAAAATAGTTACCAAAACAAGAATCGATAATCTTACAATATGATAATCTCAATATACCTTTTAATCTTTAATTACTGTTTAATTTTTCTTCTCTTTATCAAACTTATGTAACCAATTTTCATTTTAACAATAAACATTTGAACAATTAACTAACCAAATCTCTAAGATCATTTCCATCTTAACCCAAATCACTTTCCCCTGTTAATTTACTCACATTAAAATCCACCAACCCATCAAGTCGAATTTACCAATTTCACCGAAAACATGAATTTCCTCTAAATAATCATTCCAATCAGTTAATCACAATCCAAACTTTGGATTCCAAAGTTTGGATTCAATTACGAACCGATTCAAACGAACCGCCATCAGAATCAAAACGGATCAGTTTCTGAAAAGATCCTAAGAAAGGATCAGATATTTGCTTGTTTTCATCTGAATGTTGATTCATTTTATTTGGTCATTTGTTTTTATTGGTAAATTAATCGGTTTTTGTTTGTTTATTTCTTAATAATTTAGGGACTACTAATTAATCTTTTGTTTTTAGACTTGTTCCCCTTGATTTTTACATTTTGTTAATACCATGGATTCCCCCTCATCATCCAGCTCAAATGAATATACTCAGGAACAGTTGGAGGCTGTTCGGCGTATCAAACGGTGTAAAAATCATTATGAACTATTAGGAGTGAGCAAAGAATTTACGGAAGCTGAATTAAAGAAACAATATCGTAAAATGGCCTTACAATTTCATCCGGATAAGAATAAAACACCAGGAGCTTCAGAAGCATTTAAAGCGATTAGTAATGCTTTCGTGGTTCTTTCAGATACCGAGAAAAGAAGGCAATATGATCTATATGGACCTGAAGATGGATCTAGTCGATCACAAACTAGTTCTCGTTCAAGAACAACCGTTTTTACTGATGATGGTAATTACTTTGAATATCATAGAGGATTTGATGGTGATGTTTCAGCTGAAGAATTGTTTAATATGTTCTTTGGTGGTGGAAATGTATATTTACGTCGTAATGGTCGTTATCCTAGTTCAAGGACTCAAAATCAATCACCACAACAAGAACCAAGCGGTTTTGGTGTCCTAATTCAAATGTTACCTGTTCTGTTCCTTGTCTGCCTATCAATGATGAGCTCATTCTTTGTCTCAGATCCAGCATTCAGTTTACAAAGAACTCTGTAAGTCAGTTAAACATCATCAGTGTAAATCTACTTCATGTGACAGAACACAACCAACTCTTCAATTGTTAATCGTTCTACTTTTCAATATCATCTCTTAACCTTAAATCAGATGAAAGAGAAAATGATTCAATGTTATCCACACTCAGTGAGCTTTCTCTTTTTCTCTCTTCTCCATTTCTAAACAATTAGTTGATCATCAGATTTTCAACTATAGTTGAGAAAAAAAAATCCATATCAAAGTCCGAATCAGGATTAATCTTGAAAGTAGATTTATGCTCTTGTTCTCACCTTGTTTTATCTCTCTACTATTAATCTCTTTTTGTTTCTTTGCAGAAAATATTCAAATGAAAGAACAACTTCTTCATTTAAGGTCCCTTATTATGTAAAAGATAATTTTGAAAATGAATACAAAAGTAATTTAAGACGAGTAGAAGCTTTAGTAGAAGAAGAATATGCTAACAATCTAAGAGCAGCTTGTTATCGAGAGAAAAATCATCGTAAGTATATTAATTTTCTATATTAATTAATCTATTCAATATCATCGTTATGTAACAGTTTAATCGTATTAATATGAATGTATTTACTTTTTTCCCCCATTTTCAATGTTTAGGAGATGCAATGTTATGGAGAGCCCGAAGCTATGGGGATAAAGAATTGGAGGAAAAAGCCAGAGCCTACAAATTAAATTCTTGCACCAAATTTAATGAGATGCGAGAACATTATGTTTACTATTAATCCTTTTATTGGGATGAAACCATTGATTCGAAAACATTTAAATGGACTATCGAGAAAAGAGAAAAACAATTTCTTACCAGTTCTTCACTATAATTTGATGACAATTCATAATTATCAACATCACCAACACACAACCACCACCACCAAAACAACAACAACAACAATCTTATTGTCAACATCTTCTTTTTTTCCTCAACTCTATAACAAATTCATTGTCATCTACATGAACCACACCAAATACATGTATTAATAATGAAAATTTCCTTATCATGATCTTGTCTACAACTACAATGACAAAGACACAATTAAGATCATTTTTGCCCTTTGGCTGCAACAATTTTGGTCAAATAGCTTGGAAACCATCAGCAAAGCAATATAGCCAACATATAACAACAATAGTAAATATAATATACAAACAATCAAATCACAATTGGTCAGCTGTTATAAGTCATCACAAATTAAAAGGATAACATTTAAAATCGCAACACTTTAAATTACGCTGATAATCAACAACCAGTTAATCAATAAGTGATTTTGTGAACAATTAATTTGGTGTAAAGAAAAAAACAACTGAGGATTTTCAGATTAATTCTGATTCAATTCTCATTCACCATTGTGCAAAAATCCTAAATAAATCAACATGAATACCTTTTGTCCTCATCATTTGATTGTGTAAATTTAATCATGAGACAAAAGTGTATCAAAAAAAAAAGTCAAAACAATTAACCACAACAATAAGGAAGGGAAAACAAAAAAGATTTGGACATTTTAATTTCTTCAATCGATTCAATCAATTCCGGTTCCAAATCAAGTGAATCCTATTCCTTAATCCACTAATCAACAAACCATCACCACCACCACTTTCCACCATCTAAATCTTTAATTTCCTTCTTATTTTCTCCTCTAATTAATATATAATCTGTGTAATTAGTTGTTTATTTCTCAAGTTGATTTCTTATTATAAAAATGTAAACAAAAACAAAAGTGAACCAAATGATGATTATTGTTTTTTAATCAATCATCTTGTTGACATTTACCTATTCCCATCTCCATCCTTATCCTCCTCTCTCTCTCTCATTTCATACATTCATCCGTCATTTAAAATTAAGAAAGAAATTAATTGACTTTGATGCTAATTAATCCAATCTTCATTAACAGCAAGGATTTATATCAAATCAACCAAAACAAACAAAGATATTAAAACAAAATCAATTTTATAACATTATCATTGAAACAAAAATCTCATACATTGTATACACTTATATACACATGTATCCATCTTATTGTCCATCATCGTGTAACAATTAACCAAATTGTAATGAAACTTAATCACCAGAAATGACAGTTAATTGATGAGCTGATTATTTTTCACACAATTAAATCATAGACTAAATTTAATTACAGAAAAAGGTACAATTGAGTTTTTCCTCATTCGATCCACTCGTTAGGTGGCGTAAAAGTAAACAGTTAATCCGAATTGGTGATTTTCTCATTTGATAATCGTACTTGCAGTGAATCGGTTTAATCAGTTGATTATTGTTATTTCTTCACCGCGAACAATTAACTAATTATGTCGTCAGTTATATCGGATGATGAACTGTATCAAAAGTTCAATCTAATTCCAAGTGAACAACTTGAATATGGACCAGTGAGTTTTTCTATTTGTTTTTATTTTCTTCTTGTTTGTTTTCTGTTTTTCCTTTTGTTTTGTTTTCCTCTCTGATTTTGATTGATTGTTTATCTAATTTGATTCCTCATTTCAATCATTTCATTTTCTACCATTTGTCTATCACTTTGTTCATACCAATTGTCATTTCTTTTTTTTTCTATCATTGTTGTCTTTGTTTCTTCTTTGTTCAGGTTTGTGGCCATGGGACATTCGGTCAGATTCGGATCGCCCGTTGGAATGGTACAGTTGTGGCCACTAAATCTTTCCACTATAAGCAAAATTTTCACGCTGAAATCAAACACTTTCCCCAAGATAAACACCCTAATATAATTAAATTGTTCGGCATTTGTCCGAAACATTCACTTCTAGTCTTGGAATATGCTGAATTAGGCTCATTAGATCACAGTAAGTTTCTATTGTCTTGCTATTTTTATCTCTATTTTTGTGACAATTTGTCCTTGATTTTCATCTTTAATTGTTATTCTCATCAATTAATCTTCAACACCCATCAGCTGATTAGTTAATTTACCTGTGAATGTAAATATTTGATTACATTTTCTCCCTTACATTTACTAAATTCCCCTCACCGTTTGTTATGATTTTATCACTAACGATTTTTTATCCTTTCAATTTCCATCTCAATCTAGTTCTTCATGAAAGAATGGACATTAATTATAAACTATCGCACGCAATTAACTGGTGCCTTCAAGCTGCTCGTGGTATCTCATATTTACATTCAATCAAACCAAAGCCAATGATGCATCGTGATTTAAAACCACCCAAGTAAAGTACCAATTTAATATTGGACCACCACAACAATTAACTGCAATGATACTTTTAATTATCTTCCATTAGTCTCTTAGTGTTCGATGAGGGTCAAACAATTAAACTCTGTGATTTTGGGACACTACGTATGGTGGACACAGAGGTGACCAATCAACGAGGATCTGCTGCCTGGATGGCACCCGAAGTATTTCAAACTAAATCATATTCGGAAAAATGTGACATCTATTCATGGGGAATAATCTTATGGGAAGTTTTATCCCGTCGAAAACCTTACGAAGATACAACCGAATCTTGCCGAATATTCTGGCTTGTTGCCGCAGGCCTTCGTCCCCCGTTACTGAAAGAATGTCCCGAAGTATTGGAACATCTAATGGTCCGTTGTTGGAACAAAGATAGTTCCCTCAGGCCAGATATTCACACCGTTGAGACGATCATGCAAAAATTGTTCAACTTTTACATCGATGATAAAAACGATTCCATCGATTCGTTGTGCCTTACGATTCCTTCAATTCATTCATCAACATCATCTCAAGACTCATCATCTCAATCATATTATCAATCAACTCTATCATCCGATGTTCTAAATGTATCTCTACCTCTTTCCGTTGACTCTAATCGAACAATTAATTCGTTGGAACCTCAGTCCAATACAACAATTAACTCTCCTTCATTCCAGGTTCGTTTTCACTTTATATAAGTTATGAGAGATGAACAATCAACTTATTTTCTTTTTCTTTTTTTTCTAAATGACAGCAAATCACATCTCGATCAGAACTATTAGATGAGCCGTCGACTTCCAGGCCACTGGTATGTTTCAAATTATTCGGTAATCTAAAGAAAAGAAAAGATCTAACACTTTCCGATGAATTTTCTCAAGTTTCGTTTTCGAAAAGAATTCGTAATCAAATGTTCAAAATGTTCTAAATGTCTATCGTCTTCATCTTTACTATTATTTGTCTTCTTAATTTTCTCATTTCTATTATAATTTTACGTGCAATTGTTTATGTTGATTATCATTGATTTTGATTGTCTATTATTATCACTTATTATATAGATTAATAGTTCGAGTGAAGATAATAAACAATTACGATTTTTGGACAAACCAAGTCAACTCTCATCTCGCTATTCAAATGATTCCTATCATACTTATGATGGTCTCGATGACGATGATTTCGAGGCTCTCCTTTCACCTGATCTCATTCCCACTCGACCTAATGTTCAAAATAGCGCTTCAATGCAACTTTACGAGCTCCATCGTGAAGAGGCTAAAAATTATTTGGAAAAGTATTTCAATATAATTGTTCTGGAAGAAAATCGCCTTGAAAGGTCACAAATAGAAAAAGAGATTAACGGAACTTGTACCTATTCTCTGGAAAGTTTAAGGTCACTTTTGAGATCGGAACAAGCGAAATACACGAAAATGATTGCCGACCAAAGGATCTCGTTATTAGAAGCCAAGGAACGAAATAAATTTAGCACTTATGAAATAGAACAGGGTTGGGTTATGATCGGTTAATCAACTGATTCCATTACAATTAACTAATTTGATTAGGGAGAAAAAAACAGTTCTAACAAAATAATTGAGAAATTAAAGTTTCTTGATTGTCATCGCCTAAAGTTCAATGACGATTAGTTTCTTATTAATTAACTTGATTCTAATTGTTCCCAGATAATTTAAATAATTTGTCAATCGATTGATATTTAATTACTTATATCGAATCAAATAAATTAATCTTGTTACTTAAATAAACAATTTGTTTAATCAACTAGAATAATCTGATAAGTTATTACGATAAACTTAATTAACTTGAATAAAAACACTTCCTGTTGCTGTTGTTAAATTAATTACTTCTTAACAATCAATTGATTGTCTGAGAAAAATTGACTCTCAACTAATTGATAAAATCTAATCAATTGAATTTTCCAAAGTGCAACATAATTTTATTGGTTAACAATTAATTACTTAGTTTTACATGAATACAATTGAATTTAAATATTATAACAGTTTATCAAATCCAACGAGAGTGAGAGAGAGAGCTGATTAACTAACAATTAACTATCAACACTAAGAAGTAATCAAGAATATTAAATCAAATTGTTGAGTTTTTCATTGATTCAATAAGATTTGTATTGTTAGCGATCAAGTTTTTCATGTTATTTTGAGCGGCCATTGATCTGGACATTTGCATGAGTACAACTGAATAGGTCAAGATGGTTCCAGTAATGGTCAAGATGAAGGGTCGATCTAGAACAAAACATTTCCATCCCGTTAATTGGGCGATCGGGTGGCTCATCTTAGCGATCATCAATTTAGCCTGATAAAGAACGGTCAAGTTTTTCATGTCCGCTTTGCTGCTAATCGGTGGGCAAGCGGAAGTAAAATCTCACATTGAAGGGAAACATCAGCAGCGGTCAATGAGATGACGACAAAAATGACCAGATAGTTAATAATGTCCAGTGTAGCATTACTCACCCAACTAAACGAAAATGAAAACAAAGAAATGAACAAAAGTTTATCAAAAAATTTTCGAGGCAAAATTTGTGTACCAAGAAACTTGAATACTGACCTTGGGTCAGTAGCGATACAAATGATTCCAATTTTAATGCAAAGGTTAAGGAAAATTGTTGATATCCAGATGAAAGCTTTTAGGGTGAAATTTTTGTCCACTCCATGGACAAGGTCAGTTAATTGGGTGTGTAATTTGTTGACCTTGTTAACATCGGCTCCGGTCATCGTGTCCTGTTCACCAAGATTGGCCACCATTGCATTATAAGCTCGAGCCGTTTTACCCAACAATAGGCACGAAGCAACGTAAAAGGATTTAAGAAAAATCTCCGCCGACAAAGTTATACCAATATGAGCGATCCAAACAAAGGCCATTACGAATCTCATCACGATGGCGTTTACATGTCCGACCTAAGGGATAGATTAAATTGTTGGTGATCGAAAGGCTCGTGATTGATTTGAAATAATTACCCTGAATCCATAAAAATAATAGTCCATAAACTTTTGGACTCCCATTGTTGCCGTTGACCACGAAGTGAACCCAAGAACCATAATCAGATAGGCCCAACTAGCGATGACCAGTAGATTGATCGGAGTTTTAAGCTCCATTAGACTGACCCCTCCTTCACTGAAGGGGAAAAGTCCAACTTGTTTAATTGATCGAACCGATTCCAAGTATTTTATGAAGAAAAGGTCAAATGTCACGGCCGTTGCTCCAGTTCTAATGACCATGGATGCGTTTTCCAAGAAAATTGTGAAATCTAAAAGTTTCGTCAATCGAAAAATAATCTTACCTCCAATTTTCCAATTAAGGTGATAATATTTTCGATCAAGTGTCAACTCACCTGAGTACTGATAATAAGTGAATAACCAGTTGACCACATTGTGAACGGCGTAAACGTGAAGGTAAACAAAAACGACCCACGATTGAGGGTTAAGCCGATCGAAAAATTTACTCTGCGCTTTTGGCCATAAGCCGATAATCTTCATGGACCAGATTAAATTTTTAAGAACAAAAAGTGTCCCCGAACCTTCAGTATCCGTCATATTATTTGGGTCAACATCTTCAATCGATAAAATGTCACTTTGTCCACCGCCATGTCCAACAAAATGTCCACCCGGAAAAACCTTATTACCGTTTTCACCATTTTCACCAAAATGACGAGCAATCAAAGAGGAACAGGAAACAATACTCAACTTCCGTTCGCTAGGTTTGGGTGTAGGACATCGAGTCGACGATTTAACCTGACGACGATCAATCCCATTAGAATCCATAGTAATCAAACAATTAAACTCAAAATCAAATCATTCATTGATAACTAACCTTCAACATCCAGGTAACTAAATCAATGAACAAAAAAACAACAATTGTTCACATTTCAACCTTAACAATTGAAAAATGATAAGTAAACACAAATCAAAATCAATATGATTAACTAATTCATCATGAGAATCTCAATCAAACAATTAACCTAAACAAATATACACACACAGAGATATTGATATAAACAATATTATCCAACATTCAATTCATTATTAACTATTTGAAATCAATAAAGTTGATAAATATTTCCATTTAACTAAATGATTAATAATAAAGTGTGAGAAAATTAATCAAAATTAATTGCGAGAAAAAAATTAACAATAACAATCAATTTAATTAGGTTTATATGTTGCAAAAATCCTTCTCTTTCATGTGAAGTCTCTGGTAGTATAGTGGTCAGTATCCTCGCCTGTCACGCGAGAGACCGGGGTTCGATTCCCCGCCAGAGAGATTTACTTTTTCAACTTTTTTCTTTTCCAAATCAAATTTCAACCAATCCAACTTTCTCTTAATTGTTTATTTTTTAATTGTCTCTTAATCAGTGAATGTAAAATTGAGGAGAAATTTTTTTTCGATAATGTCAAGATACAATATTTTATTTTCAAATTTTTAATCAAGCAACTCAAAAAAAAAGAAATTAATTGTTTATGATTTTTTTTTCTCGTTTGTTGATTGAAGAGTTGATTTAATCGTCGATTTAAATTTTGTTTTGATTTAGTCTCTTGTTTATCTTAAGATTTGTTTTTTTTTATCCATAAATGTAATAAGAAATTTTTTGTTGATTTTTTGGATTTACGTTTTTTTCCTATTCTTTTTTGTTGTTGTTGTTGTTGTTGTTTAAATTTGTTTGTTCTTTTGAATTTACTTTTTTTTTTGTTGATTTGATTACTTATTGTCATCAAATCAATGATTTTTAACAGGTAATTGTTTCAACGTTTTGATTCAAATCATTTTCATCGACTTCATATCCTTGGTTATCTACTGTTCCATCGGGATTATTACGTAAATCTGGTGGTGGTACAATGGGTAAGGCGTTTTTAGGCCTTCGTTGGGGTAATTGTCGGGGGCTAACTTGTTGAGTCATTGTATCGTAGTAAGTGACACCTCCGCGATACATTTCAGGAGCTGGTGGCGGTGGTGGAGGTGGAGGGGGAGCTATTGTGAATTGGGCTGCAGTTTGTGGAGGTGGAGGTGGATATTGTGGATAACCGGGTGGATAGGTTGGCAAGTAAGTAGCTGCTGGTGGACCAGGGATCACAGGGGGCATAGTACCTGCTCCGGCTGCTGCAGGGTTTGCAGCGACTGCGGCAGCGGCGACCGCTTGAGCCATGAACCTTGGTTCAGGAGCTGTGGGTGGTGGAGCGGTTGGAGGTGGAATAAAACGAGGGGCAATTTGTGAAAGGAAACGGGTCGCATTTGAAGCTCCTTCAATATTGGTTGAGGGTATGAAACCAAATGATGATTGTGGTGACCGATTGTCAATGTAATAACTGGCTGGGGGTTGTGGTGGTGGTGGTGCTGCCTGTGGATTGGCACCGGTTGCTGCCTCATAGTATTGAACATTGGTTGACTGTCTTGGATGATTCAAATTTAAATGTTGAGAAGTAGATGGATATTGAGTTGAATTTGATTGATGTACATCTCGTGTTGATTGTTGCTGATTTGGTGAGGGTTGAGGTTGTTGTTTAAGTTGTTGATGTTGTGACAAAGGTTCTGACTGTTGCTGTTGAGCTTGATGTTGGCGTAATGATGAGTATCGTTTAGGTTTGGATAAATTATTTGAATCATTTACCTCTGAAGATGATAATCGATTGTTACCTTTGTCAATTAGTGTTAATTTATTCAGACCACCTGAGATGTCATTTTGATTATCATTAAATTGACTCTCATAATGTCTATCGTCAAGATAACTTCGCCCTCCTCTCTGATCTGAATCTCCACGTCGATCACGATCATCTGGACCATGATGATTACCTCGATATTCTCTCTCTTTATTAACATTGTAACGATTTCTTCTTTGTTGCTGTTCCATATTATTTCCACTACTATTACCACCATCTTCATAATCATCAGTCAAATGACTTGTTTTAGTTATCGGTCGACCAACTTCACTTCTAAAATCCCGTTCACCGGTTGGTCTTGTTCGTCCTCTATTATTCCTATGGATTGACAGATCTTTTTTAATATTATTCGATGGCTCTGGATGATGACTTCCGCTTCCTTTGGTTAATGGTCGCCTATTAAAGTAACGTGAGTTTTCAAAAGTTTGAGTTTTAACGATCTCGATCTTGGGATTTGTCTCGGAAAGATTAAATGATCGGTGTTTATTGTCAAAAGATTCGGGTACCCTTAAGGGTTCCGTTTTGTAATCTAATGAGCTTTCAACTCCTCGAATAGTTTCTCTAGCATCTGAATGCTTTGGTCGTGATTTACTCCAAGCATTGGGTTGATTTGTGTCTCCTGTTGCACTTGATTGTTGCTGATGATGTAATTGTTGATTATGATGCTGTTGTCTCATCATCATTTTATCTTTACTGTTTTGTGGAAGTTCAGGAAAATCATTTTCAAAGAAATTTTTTTGATTTCTTCTAACATCTCCACCTCCAACTCCAGCTAATCTTTCATTTTTGTTATTAATAAACTCTCTTAGATCTTTAGAGGGCCCGGGGCTCATATTATTATTGGAACTATTTCTCCTACGATCTCGATTACGATCATTATCACGTTGTTGTTGTTGACCACGTAAATCTCTTGTATCTCGTGAATCTCTTGTGTCTCGCGAATCTCTTGTGTCTCTTTCACGTTGTGGTCTTTTACGATCACTTCCTTCCATTGCTATTGATTTAGATTCAGTACGTCGTTGTTGTTGTTGTGGTTGTGCTAGTGGTTGTTGTTGACCTTTAGCACCACTTCTATTATTATCGATGGGCTTTTCACTGGCATCTTTTGTGATAAAAGGTCTATTTGGCTCTTTCTCCCTTTTCGGGTTATCATTAGCTTCAGGTTTGGCCTTTTCTCGAGCTGGGGCCTCATTAGGTTTGGAATAAGCACCTTCATCTTTCCAACTTCGAGTGTATCTATTTGGACCTCGACCATATCGACGGCGTCTTCTTGCTTTGGGTGGACCATCTTCACTTCTTATATCATAACCATAGGTAGAAACAATTTCGTCTCTAGGTTTGGGCCTCTGTTCATCATCATCAAACATATCATGACCCCATTTAGCATCATCGGACCAAAGCTTTTTAGCTTTTCTTATTTCAACCACAGGATTTTCCGGTTTCTTTTCAACTGAAACTTCAGCCTTTTCTGGTTCTTTTTCTTCGTCTTCTTCTTCATCATCAGTTCCTAAACGATCATCATGTTCATAGAAAGCACCTCTCTTTGGTATATATTGAGGATTTCTTCTGTCTTCATCATCATCCAATTCTTTATTAGCTTGTTTGGAAAGATCAGAATTTTCCTGTAACATAAAACAAAGGAGAAATCCAAAATATTACCAACAAAAGTTAAAGAGAAATATAAATTTTAAAATTCTTACCTGATCATCTTCAGCTTCATTTTCATCTTCGATAGATTCACCATCATCTCCATCTTCATTTTCTTCATCTTCATGTTCTTCGTCCTCATCTTCGTTTTCCTCTTTTTCAATTTCTCCACCTTCTACTTCTTCTTCATTATCATCCTCATCATCATCATCACCCAAATTGACTTGAGTCTTATCCATCACATTATCATCATTTTGATCAATATCATCATTAGTATCCTTATCATCTTTGGCTTTTAAAATGGCTTCATCTTTTTCGCTTGTCTCTTTTTCTTTATCAGTAGCATTAACATCAGTATCAACAATACAAGAAGAAGAAGCTACGGCAACAACATCATGTTTCTCGTCTGCTGGTTTTTCACTTTTCTTCACAGTTTTAACATCTTTACCAGAATCTTTCTTCTGCTGATGAATGGGTGATGAAACAGGTGATTTAACTTTCTTTGAGACAATTTCATTACCATCTTCATCGTGTTCACCAAGAGCCTCAACATACTCTTCGTCTGACAAATCCTCATCTTCAATCAAACTTTCACCGCCCGCCAATTCCGTCTCAGAAAACTCTTTTTCCATGGTTTCCGTTTGACTCATATTCTTAATTTAAAAAAAAAGAAGAAGACACAAAGTCAGAGACACAGAGAAAGAGAGAGACACACACACAGACTCAAAGAAAGAGAGACAGTGAGAGCTATAAAAAAAATCGAGAGACAAAGATGAAGAGCTAAAGAGCCAAATGAAACAGCACCAAACAATAAAAGAATGAGATACACAAACGATCAGTTGAGATCAAAAAAGAAATAATTTAACAGATTCAATAAAATACAAATGGAACAGAAAAATTAAATTAGATAAACACAAAGAGCAAGCGAATAGAAAAAAAAACAACATTAGAAATGAAAACAAACCCAAATTCGATTAATCGAAAATCGAAAACATCGATACATCGAAAAAGAGAGAGACCGAGAGAGAGAAAAGGTGATGACGTTTTTTCTCTGTCTGTGGCCATTTTGGTTGAGAGAAATTCCTTTCAAGTTAATTCACTTTTCTAATGTGACAAGTTAATTGTTTTGATTTTCTATTAATTTTTCTTCTTCTCATTTTTTGTTCTAATTTTTTCTCATACATTTGATTGGTTTTATTGTTTCTTGGTTTCTTTTTGATACTTTTTGCTTTTTCGTGGTTCTGTTTGTTTGGTGGTTTCCTTTTTTTTTTATTCTGTTGTTTAACTTTTTTTTTTCTTCTTCTACTTGTGTCGGTTAAGTGTTCAAACGGGTGATATGGATAACTTAGTTGAGTTAATCACCCAATGGAATCTTAATAGAGTTCCTCTTTTTAATATTAGTTTACCTGATTCAAATGGTGAATTTTGTGGTGTCATGAGATTTTGTTTTCAAGATGATGGTCAAAGAGTTGCAACCAAGTGTGTACAGGTTGCATCTACTGCTACTACCAATGATGTTATTCGTACGTTAATTGATAAATTTAGGGCTGATATTAGGATGCTTTCTATACCTGAATATGGTCTTTATGAGGTACATGAGAATGGTGAGGAGAGAAAACTTGATGCCAATGAATGTCCTCTCTTGGTTCAACTTAATTGGAATGCTGATGATAGGGAAGGACGATTTTTGATGAAAAAAATTGATGGTGGTGATTCGGCTCTTCCTCCAACTGATTTAAAAGCTTCCTTTTTGTCGAGAAAACTTTCCAAAAGAGAGAAAAAAGAGAAAAAAAAGAAAGAGGAAAAAGAGAAAGAGAAAGGTCAAGCAGGTAAAGACACTTTAGCCCAAACGTTGTACAATGAATTACCAGAAACCTGTTTCACCCGATCAATTTCTAACCCGGAAGCAGTGATGAAACGTCGCCGAAAACAAAAATTAGAACAAAAACTTCAACAATTACAAGAAAATGGACCAGATTCCGGTGGTACTCTGAGAATTTTCGGTGAATGTTTAAATAAAGAAGTTCCTTATAAAACTTTACTTCTTTCAACCAAAGATAATGCTGCTTTTGTTGTTGAACAGATATTGGACAAATACCGAGATATTTACCCGAAATCTGCCGAAAAGAATAATCGAGAAGAAACACCCAAGCAAGTTGAACCTGCTCGTGACTATTGTTTAGTTCTAATAATCGATCCTACCAACTCACCAACAGCTGACAATAATATAATTCAGTATATTTTAAATGACGATGATTGTCCACTTGCAATTAAGCAACATCATGATCCTGCAAAAGGTCAACTTACTTTCCATTTACAAAAGAGACCTGAAGGACTTCAGCCACAATTAACACCACAACCACAGCCACAGCAACAATTTATTTCTCCACCACCATCACAACTTAAACCTCAACAGAATCGACAATTACCACCACAGCCACAGCCCCAATCACAGTCACAATTAACACCCCAACCACAAATGCAATTACCACCACAGTTACCACCTCAATCCCAAAATCAACCTCAAATTCCGCCACAATTACCACCTCAATTATCACCAAAATTACCACCACAACTACCACCACAATTGCCACCACAATTGCCACCACAGTTGCCGCCACAATTACCACCGCAAATGCCACAACAAATGCAATTACCACAACAGCCTTTACCACCAACACCTCAACACTCCCAACCTTACATGTCTCAAGTGCCTCCTTCTTACCATCACTCTTTAATTAATATTAATCAAGGAATTTATGGTAATTTACCAGGAATTGCAATGCATAATAAATACATGATGAGCGAATCCTCTCTTCCATCACCCTCACCAACACCCATACCAATGCCAATACGAAATGCACCAGTAGAAGCTCCTGTCATAATAAGATTAAACAAAATCGGACACAGTTTAGGGTTATCTATTGTCGCTGCCCGAAGCTTAAGGACTGGACGTGTTGGCATTTTTATCAAATCAATTGTAAAGGGAGGAACAGCTGATATCGTAAGTATTTTTCTACTTCTTTACTTATCCTCTTAAATTATTTACTTATTAACTTATCTTTTATTTTAAACTCTTTCCTTATAATTAGGATGGTCGCCTACAGCCTGGAGATCAATTGTTATCAGTAGATAATAAATCTCTTATTGATGTTCCTCAAGAAGTAGCTGCCAATTTAATTACTCAAACTGATATGTCAGTTACTTTGGTTGTAGCCAAACAAGCTGCATACACGAATGGACTTTCACCTTTTTTAACCGATTCCCCTCAGCACAGAGTGCTTAACAATGCCACACCAGTGTCACATTTACATCAATCTCATCCACTTCAATCTCACCCACAACAAGTTCATTCACAACAAATTCACCCACAGCAAATTCACCAGCAAATCCATCCTCAAGTTCATCCACAACAAATTCATCCGCAACAAATTCACCAGCAAATTCATCAACAAATTCATCCGCACCAAATTCATCAACAACTTCATCCACAACAAATTCAACCAATGAGAATTCCTTACAATGGTCCTTCATTACCGCCAACGCCAACACCAACAAGTTACCATCATCAACAGCAACTACTTGTTAACAATAATTTTAATCAACCATCACCACCACCTCGGGTGATGAAACCAGCAACAAGTAATCCTACAATTAATAACACAAAAATGAATAACAACACAACAAATTCAACTATCCCTAAAAATAATACAATTAAACGTGAAAGTTATACACCTTCACCCTCACCCAGTTTCACACTTAAAGATATGATTAAAGTGCTCGAAATGGATGATGAAAATGATGAGAATAATCAAAACAAAAATTACAATCCAAATGTTATTGGTGCTCATGAAGTTTACAAGGATCCTCGGGAGAAAATAGAAGCTGAAAAGATGAAGAATCAGCCAATCAAAGCTGTCATCCAAGGACCCGAAAAGTTGACATTTAAAGAAAAGATGAAACTATTTACAGAGGAATCAAAACAACAATCAAAATAATCTCAACCCAATTACCATCACTTAAATTTTATTTTGAATATTTACATGAGAAGAAAAAAGAAAATTTATTTATCAGAGGAAACCTTAATCTCTAGTTGTTACCTGGATTCTTTAAATTGGATTTCATTTTTGGTTCCGTTTTCGTTTACAATCCTAATGGAGATTATCAAGATAATAAGACAGAACACAAAAATTATTAGTGAAAACCAAATTATCTTAAGTGCTTGTCGATTATGAGAAGATGGAATTTTTATGTTTAAGAGGATTAGATAGTGAAGAAAGAGAGTCAAGGAGAAATTCTTGTGCTCTCTCTCCTCTCTCTCTCTCTCTCTCTCACCACAACCTTTGACATCTCATCAATCTTTTTGACGCAAAATTTTATAAATGGTTGATTTAACTATGGATTCTTTATGTTTCACAAAACCAAACAATTGTTAATTTTACTGAATTAACCATCATGAAGTACATATTTATGTTTGATACTTATGAGGAAAAATCTCTGTCTTTCTAATTTACCTCTTTCTCTTCAATCTTACCTGATTATCCTATTGATTGTAAATTGTCTTTATCATCATCATCACCATCATCCGAATCCTAAAGACACATGAAACTTGAATCTCTCTTTCATTCCAGGAATTGTAAGTTAATCTACTAATCATTTGTTTCCACAACGAGTGTGACGCCTGTTAAAACTGTGACACGTTTGTTTGTTTTTTTTCATAATTTTCCTGAACAAAAACCCATTCCTGGTAAATCCGTCCGATATTATTACACAAAAGGAATGATTTAAAATGGCCCAGGTCATTTTCGGCAGCGTCTAATGCATATGTTATCCTGCGAGAGCGGGTTAATAAGAAATTATTGTCTTCTATTGTTTTCTTGTTTACACATTTACACCACATAACAATTATTGTCCGCTCGTTAAAAATGTTTATCAATATTTGATAATTTAGACTTCTAATTGTGTATCGAATCTAACAAACCAATTCACACTTAATGATCCAAGTTAATTGTTTATATATACAAAGTTGTCATGAAAATGTCATGTAACTAATCATTTAAATTGGTTCATACTTTTTTTTTCTCACTCTTTTTCTAACAATCTCTTTAAAATAAACATTATCTTCAACTAATTGTTACTATTAACTGATTAATATCATTACGATTGTGAGAAAGTTGTTTTTCTGGTAAATCTTCATTCAATTGATCAACTTTTAATCTCTTCAAATCAACTTACAATTAACCGTGAAAATTAAAATTAGAGAGAAACAAATTTTCTGGTTAACTAACCAGAACTGGTTAGTTGATTTCTGGTTAACCGGTTAATTGTAAATCTCATGAAACCGGAACTCTGGTCATTATTTTGGTGATTCATGATGATGATTAATTTTTGATGATGTTTATTGTTAACAATATACAATCAAGGAAACGATTAAATTACTACTAGCAATTAATTGTTAAAGAGAGAGAGGAAAAGTTAATTCTAATCATCAGAATTGATCGTTGTAAATATTATCTTTTACTATTGTAAACCAATAGTAGATTGAGTTTTCTTTGTAACAATTAACTTGATTGTGATTAAAAAAAACTTTCAAAATCTTTCCCATGATCAACCAGACATGAAAATCAATTAATCCGATTACAATCATCGTAATAATAATAGATACTTTTGATTAAATTACTATATTGGAAGAAATTAATTTCGTTTTCTAAATGATAAACTAATCACCTAATCATGGTGATTATCTAATTAGCTGTAACAATTTATCTTCTTTTTTGTGAAATATTGTAAATTGTTTCAATTAAAAATACTTCTTAATAGAATCAGAAATTAACTGTTAATCAGAAAACTTAAATTGCCTTCTAAATGAAAATCAAACTGAATTAACTGTTGATATATTATTTACTTTAATAGTTTCTAAACTCAATTAACTGTAATTACAAGGTAGTTGTAGTGATGAAATTAAGTTGATTCAAGATAATTACGTTGAATGATTAACTAATTGCAAATGAAAAGTTCAAATCTAATAATAGATAATCAAATTAATATTAAAGTCGAATTGGAAAAAAAAAGTTCTAATACAATTTAAATCGACAATGGAAATTTATGAATATTTATAATTGTCTTTGTGAGTTTCAAATCCATTTAATTGATTGACAATAAAGGATTAGATTGAAGATGATTATCAAATGAGAGAGAAGGTTAAATGAAGATAATCTAATGATCAATGATGATTAAAATGATCAATTCGAGGATGACAATTAAGTTTTGGACATTTGAGAGAAAGAGATAAACAAAGTCTCGATTGCGAAAAGGATTCAGTTTATTGTTATTATTTTGTCGTTTCTCTGGTTTTTGGAGTAATTGTTTGGGTGGTAAATGGGTGTTGGTGGTGGTATTCATGGTATTGAGAGAGTGGGAGAGAGAGAGTCAGAATGAGAGAGAGAGAAAGAGAAAGGTAAGAAAAAAATACTTCGACGAAACCTAAAAAGCTTCTGCTCAGATATTTTTGGTTCTTCTCTTGTTTTCAATGTCTCTCTCTCTCTCTATTACATTTATCATATTAATCTAACATTTAAGCCAATTTACTAATAATATTTATCTTCTTGTAGATTAGTATGATGTTAATTAATCACTGAATCGACTATCAACACATTCAGAATCTAATTAATTCTTTGGTGACACAATAACATTACAATTGTTTCTCTTGGTTCCCTTGAATACAATTATCTTTGATTAATCTAATGTTTCTCTTCACAATTTAGTATGTTTGTTGATCATTTCAATTTACACCAAACAATTAAAATCTTCTAATCATCATTAAAGGTAAGAAGATGATTAATATTCATTGAAAATCTTTGCAAACTCATGGGATTGTCTCTGATTCTTGTATCAATGAATACATATCCTGATATTAGAATCACTATTAATGTTTATTGATATTTTCTCTGAATTTTTTCTTCATTTATCTAGATTAGCAAAGAATAGACGAAAAAAATATTCTTTTCAATTCTCAAGACTGTTATTTACTATTATTATCTGGTTGTGATCTGGAAAGAACAGAAGACAATTAATATACTTTGATTTAGATTTGAACAAAAATCGGAGAAAAATTGTATTTCTATTGTGTGGCCTGTTATTTATACTACGAAAATCTTTCTGATTAGTGATAAATTTCATCTCAGAATCAACATTACCCTGGATAAATTCACCTTTCACCTTACTATCCAGCGATTTCGAAACATCATAAACAACAATCAACATATTCAAATTCTGTATCCATTTTAACCTTCTATCAATATATTCACCTTAGTGTTGACCTTTTCAGGCTTTTGGGTGTTTTATCCACTCTGCCAATCGATTTGGATAAACTGACCAATCGTCATATTTTCATCAAGTTAATTGACTAATTTTAATCACAAGCAATCAATCAAAATGCCTCCTCCTCCAGCAGAAGAGCCTCCAGCACCGGTTGTACCCAAGACCGAAGGTGAAAGGTTACAAATGAGAGCTGATGAAGTAACTGATGAGGTTTGTAATTCTCCTTCCTCCCTTAAACAATTAAATCATTTGCAATTCTAATTGCAGAACTAATGATAAATCCACCATGTGAGGTGTTGATGATAATCAGTCATTAAGATTAAGAATAATTTTCTTTCAGATAATGTAAGTTAATCGTTTCTTTTTTCATCCTCGTCTCTATTTTAGTCCCTCGAATCGACTCGTCGTATGCTTGCTCTATGCGAGGACAGTAAAGAAGCCGGTATTCGGACATTGGTCGCTTTAGATGAACAAGGTGAACAACTGGACAGGGTCGAAGAGGACATGGATAAAATAAACGCCGACATGAAGGAAGCGGAAAAAGCATTAACTGGTATGGAGCAATGTTGTGGACTGTGTACCTGTCCTTGTAATAAACAATCAGAATTTAAAGAAAACGAATCAACCTGGAAATCAAGTGAAGATGGTAAAGTAATCGCTGGTCAACCAGCTCGAGTTATGGATGAACGGAATGGCGGTGGACCAATGGGTGGACAATATATCGCTCGGGTTACCAAAGATGCTCGAGAAGACGAGATGGAGGAAAATATGCAAGGTGTATCTACAATGATCGGTAATTTACGAAACATGGCCATCGACATGGGCCAAGAAATTGGGTCACAAAACGCTCAATTGGAAAGGATTAACCTTAAAGCCGATTCCAATAAACTTAGGATTCAAACCGCTAATGAAAGAGCTCAAAAGCTTCTCAAATAATTAATCCTCAATGGTCACTGGATTTACACACACACACACACACACATGGAATTACAGTTATCTTTTTAATTCATCTTCTATTCTCATCATCATCTGAATAGAATCAAATTTTTTCTTCACATCTATCAGATCACTTTCACCGTTTAACATCACAATTTAATTCTAATCTACTCTTCTATTGACACCAAAGTTACTCTGAGAGATCATCAAATTGACTGGCAACATATTATCATCTCCATTCAATGGTCAATCAAATATCACGATGACCAGTACAATGCAAGGAAAACACGAACATTTTTATCGGCCGATTGGCCTTTTAGCTTCATAATGGATGCGGTCAGTTTATCATCATCTTTTCAACGAGTTATCATTACAGCAAATTTCATATAATATATACTCATCACTGTTATCATTGTTCTCGTTGCTATTTTTGATTCTGCAATTTAATTGTCATGCTTAATTCATCAATCACTTCTCATGGCTTGGAAATCAATTCCCTCTCCCTCCTCTCTCCCTGAGTGAACTCACACTGGACTTCAGACAATTGATCATCTGAATCTACAATTATCTCTACAATGCTATGCATATAAATATACATATAATAATTGAATTCTAAGGTTAACTGGGACTAAATCATAAATTAGTGTTACAATTGATTGAAAAGCAAAAGAAAAAAAAATTTCTCCTTTTTTCCTAAAAAAATGGATCCTATGGATTTGGATGATCTATTTGCTGTTTGATTGTTTTCTCTTCAATTTTCATATTAATCATTTTCTTTTCTTTTAATTATCACTTTCTCTCTCTCACTCTCTGTGTATCTCTAGTCATCTTACCTTAATTGCCTCTTAATTTAAAGAAATTAATAACAACTCCATCGAATCTTCATTGGCCTTACGCATTCCAAATAGACGATTCCTGATTCATCTTTTATCTTCTTCTCTTATTCACCATCATCATCTATCTTCCCATGTTCCCTTCATCATGGCTTCTCACCTTCACTCTCATTCTAATACATGGTAACTTAATCCGAGATTGGAACTGAGATTGATGATATTATCCAATTTTCTCACCTTAAAGAGATTGACTTTCATTTCATCCACTTGAAGATTAATCGAAAATCAATTCGAAAATCAAATATTTGCAATCAGAAAGTTAATTAGATTCGATGATCAGTTTTATCGCAAGAAATTGAATCAATCTCATGAATATATGGAATCAGAATTTTTATTTCTCTCTCTGTTAATGTTTGCTGATGAAAATACAAGTGAAATTTTGTTCGTAAATATAAATTATGTATAAATCTTTTAATCAGATTAATCTCTTAATCTTAATCATGATTCACGAAAACTTTTGATCAACTTGATTAACAATTATGTTAAATAATCGTTATTATCCCAACACAAATCACCAAAAGACTTGAAGCAAAAAATCAAAAAAAAACAATAATTATGAAAATGAAAATGAAAAATGAAATTTAATTGCTGAGATTCCCAAATACACAAATCTAATTATATTTAAATCAATTGGTAAATCAACAGTAACAAAATACTAATAGGTTAATCCCAATACTCAATCAATAAGCAAGAAAATCAATTAAAACAATTTATCCTCTTGTGTATAAATCATATTGATAATTGGATTAAATTAAATTATTATTCTCATTTGAAATTAACTTTTCCTTTCAATTTCTAATAAAAACAATTAATCATCTTAATCATCATCATTTCATTTCGACATTATGATAACCAAAGAACAGACAAAATGATCAGTTAATTGTTACACTTCTATTAGTTAATCAATCACAATTATCTCAATTCCAAGGTAACGCTCATGCGTTACAAGAATTGACAAAATTTCGTGATTATTGTTTTGTTTAATCGCCAATCAAATGTAACATTTGACAATTTAATCTAATTGTAAATTCACCTTGTTCAGTGTAATTATAAATTCTGATCACCTAATATCTTGATTGCTGAAAAGTGATTAATATTATTCATCAAATTCAATGAAAAGGTGAGTATCAAAGTAATAAAATCCATTTGAAATGAGAATTGATAAAATCCATTCCAAGGATTTCCAATCAAATACTCAACATGATGAACAAGATGAAATCGCAATTAGTTGATTGTTTATGATCAGCTAATTGTTTCCAATCAATACAAGTGCCAATAAATAAGATTCTTAGTTCTAATAAGATGGTTAAGTGAAAAAAAAGAATAAGAATTTATCTTTATAAATGAATAGAATTGGATAAGATAGAATATCGATTTTCTCGAATCTCTTTTATCTTCATCTTTCTTTTTCTCTTTCTATCTCTTCCTTCCATGTTAACCTTCCCTGCCTGGTAACCTCCGACGATAGAATCACCTCCTTCTCTCTCTCATCATCATCATCTTTGTCTTTCTATTTCTCTTTGTATCTCATCATCTCTTCATCATCATTTTAATGATTCCACATTGAGTTAACTGCGCGCGTTTATCATTGAACACCCATGGAAAATATAACTAGAAAAGAGAATAGAAGAAAAAAAAAATTCTATTCCAAATTCTAAACATATTTTACTCTTTATATCATCTTTAATTATCTTCTCTGTCCAGAATTTATCATCCTCATCTTTTTCTCTCTCAATGTTATCAATTTGATTCCAGCTTTATGTGTATATGTGTTTCTATGCATGAAAATTGATTCATTAGAAATTCAGTCTTATGAAATTTTCTTAAATAATTAATTCTTCCTTTCTCATTTGCATCATTCATTAATTCAATTTACGAATATTGATTTACATCTCAATCAGTTAGAATCAAATCGATCTCAATCCAATTCATCACAATTAAATCTCCACATCGATTAATCCAAATCATAAACTCTAATCATTCTCATCTTAATTGTTCACAATTGCTTTTCTTTCCTCTAATCAGGTTACGCTCCTTGTGATATACAATTAGAAATTAGATCAATTTATAAAATCGAGACCAACTCAATCAAATCGATAATAATAATCGACCATGTCCTCAGTTAAAGTCGCTGTTCGGGTTCGGCCCTTTAATAATCGTGAGATTAGCTACAAATGTAAATGTATCATTGGTATGAATGGACAGACAACAAGTAAGTATTGAATTGCTAATCGATTGTCCAATGATTAAGATTAACTGTTAATCCTTCTTTGTTTTTCTCTGACAGCAATTACCAATCCAAAGATTTCGGATACAGATAAAAATTTCAACTTCGATTACTCGTATTGGTCACATAATCCGGATGATCCAAATTTCGCTTCCCAGGATCGGGTTTACAAAGATATCGGTGAGAAAATGTTACAACACGCATTCGAGGGATACAATGTTTGCATTTTCGCTTATGGACAAACGGGAGCGGGTAAAAGTTACACGATGATGGGCACCAAAGAGGAAGAAGGTGTCATCCCTCATATCTGCCGTGACCTTTTCCATCGAGTTCTATCCGATGATGATGAGAATTCCCTCTATTCGGTTGAAGTTTCTTTCATGGAAATTTATTGTGAACGAGTTCGTGATCTTTTAAATCCTAAAAATCGTTCATCACTTCGAGTTCGTGAACATCCAGTTCTTGGTCCATACGTCGAGGATTTATCTCGACTTGCGGTCACTTCATATGAAGATATAAGGGAATTGATGGATGAAGGTAACAAGGCAAGGTAAGAACAATTAGAACAACAATTTAACTAATTACTTGACATCGAGTTTAAGTTTTCCATTAGCTAATCAACTACAATTAACTTATTCAGTTACCATGTTGATCAGTGAGCATTTTTTACTCTCCCCAAGTCATAACCCTGATTCATATTCAAGACTAAATCCTCTGGGAGATTAGGATAAAATTTTAATCATCATCAACATCATCATTTGATTAAAGTTATTATTTTGTTATACATTTTCTTGTTGATTTATTTTTCTAGAACTGTAGCTGCAACTAATATGAACGAGACGAGTAGTAGGTCACATGCCGTTTTCACGATTATTTTCACTCAACGACGGACTGATTCAGCTACTGGCCTGGAGGCGGAGAAAGTTTCAAAAATATCGCTTGTTGATTTAGCCGGAAGCGAACGAGCTGATTCAACCGGCGCTCAAGGAACCCGATTAAAGGAAGGCGCAAATATAAATAAATCATTAACGACATTAGGTAAAGTCATTTCGGCTCTCGTTGAAATGGTGAGTTGATTAATTGTTAATTATCTTCATATGTGTCAACAATTAACTTGGATTCTTATTTTGTTTCCACCAAAATTTCACTTATTCCCTATTGTCATAACTACGTTTTCGTGATTATCAAAAATAGTCGGTAAGTTAATCGGATCAATTTTATTCATCATATTGATTAATCATATTAGAAGATAATTAATTGATTCTGTTAATTGTTACAATTAGGCAACGAAGAAGAAGAAAAAAGGTGAACATATTCCATATCGAGATTCGGTACTGACTTGGCTTCTTCGGGAAAATTTAGGTTCGTACTGATTGTTTATTTTCCTATTGGAACAATTAACTAATTTTGAAATTGTTTCTTTCTTTTTTTTGTTGCTTGATAATTCAAGGTGGAAATTCAAAGACTGCAATGATAGCGGCGATTAGTCCGGCTGATATTAATTACGATGAAACATTAAGTACATTACGTTATGCTGATCGTGCGAAACAAATTGTATGCAAAGCGGTGATTAATGAAGATGCCAATGCTAAATTGATTCGAGAATTAAAGGAAGAGATAATTAAATTGAAAGCTTTACTTCGAGCTGAAGGTTTAGAGATGGGTGAAGATTCGGCTCAGGTTGATGTTCAATCGGTTAAACGGCGAACTGGTTCAGTATCACAAGTTGGTGAGACGGCGATTGAACAGCTTCAAGAATCCGAGAAATTAATGTCAGAATTAAATGAAACATGGGAAGAGAAATTAAAACGAACAGAAATGATTCGATTACAACGAGAAGCAGTTCTCGTCGAAATGGGTGTGGCAACGGGCGAAGATGGTGACACAGTTGGCCTATTTTCACCCCAACGAACACCTCATCTAGTTAACCTTAATGAAGATCCATTGATGTCCGAGTGTCTAATTTACTACATCAAAGATGGTTTCACCAGAGTGGGTCTTTCGGAGGCCGAAATACCTCAAGATATAAAACTCCATGGAAGTCACATTGCTCTTGAACATTGTATCTTCGAGAATCGTGATGGTAAGGTCACTTTAATACCAGTTCGAGACTCTCTTTGCTATGTCAACGGAATGAAAGTCGATAAACCGGTTGAACTTAAAACTGGTTCTCGAGTTATTCTTGGTAAATATCATGTGTTTCGATTCCAGCATCCAGAACAAGCTCGATTACAAAGAGAACCACCGAAAGAGATTATTAATCCAGAGAAAAATGGCCTTAAACTGGTCGATTGGAGTTTCGCTCAACTTGAACTGTTAGAGAAACAAGGGATTGACCTGAAAGTTGAAATGGAAAAGAAACTTGTTGCCCTTGAAGAACAGTTCAGAAAAGAAAAGGAAGAACAACGAAAAATTATGAGGCCAGAATTGAGAGTTTACAGCGGCAGGTTGATGAACAATCGATGACCTTATCTTCACCTTGTGTATCAATGGTCACCTCGATGGTAACCTCAATGGTCAGTTGTAAAGACGATTTAACATTAGAAGATGTTTTCAGTGAAGAAATCAATTGGACAGATGACCAGTATAAAATTGTCGAAAGTGCATTCGAAAAGTGGAAACACCATCAGTTCACCAGCCTTCGAGATGACCTTTGGGGAAATGCGATATTCCTTAAAGAAGCGAATGCAATTTCCGTTGAGCTAAAGAAACGCGTTCAATTTCAATTCGTCCTTCTAACGGACACAATGTATTCACCTCTCCCAGTTGATCTAAAATCAGTTAATTGTTACAATCAACTAGAAAATGTACCAAATTTACAATACGAAAATCCGTCACAAATGAAAGATCCTCGAACCATAGTGGCCGTTGAAGTGCTGGACACCAAAAACGGAGCAACACATTACTGGTCACTGAGTAAATTAAGGTAACTGACCATCAATTCAATTCCATGACACTAATTGTAATTGTTTCCCTATTTAATTTAACTCTTTTTGTGCTGCTTGTTAAAATCTCAATTCTGATTATTTTGGTTAAACAATTAACTATCTGCATGTTTAGTTCACTACTTATTTCTAATCACAATTAACTTTCAATTCTCTCTCTCTCTCTTTACCGTTAATCTATTTCAAATTGTTCAAACTCTAAATGAATGTGAAAACCTTGATTTCCTTGATTTGATTAACCTTCGTAACTGTTTCCATGTTAAACATTGACAAACACGCATCAATCAATTTACCTTTTGTTTCATCGTAGTTGCTTGTTAATTTAGTTGAAACCTAATTGTAATTTCCGTTTCCTCCTTTTACCTTTATTTTTTATCCAATCCCTTCACAGGCATCGACTGGAGATGATGCGTCATATTTACTATCATTATTTTGACGATTTAGATGTTATAAGTTCTGAATCAAGTTCTGATCAATTGATGAAATCATTTACCTTCTTTAATGACGAGATGATGAATCAAATCCAGTTTCAAGAAAGGTTAATTAACTACCTGAAAAGATTATCAATTATCACAATTCATCAGAATCCAAATGATAATGATTATATTAGATTAACTTTAATTTTCCATGTTTTCTTAGATTTAATCTAAATTCTGTCTTAATTTTTTCTCTCTCTCTCTCTCTTTCACTTAATCACAATTTAAGATTATTATTAATATTCAATCATCATCATGTTCCTTCATGATTATAATCATTATTCATCTATAGAAGTTACTTTTCGATGTTTATCAATTTCAATTTGTTTTTTTTTCTTCTCTTCTTTTCTTGATCTCATGCTGGTTGATAATCAATTCTGATGATGATCCAACTGATTTCCAAATGATATCATATGATAATAATAAAGAAAACGATTAGAACTGATGAGAGAAATGTACAAAAACGAAGCAGAAATGTCACCAACCTCACCTGAATGTAATTTCGATTCTGGTTCGACCGGAGGTGATCCGTTCTATGATAGATTCCCCTGGTTTCGATTAATTGGTCGAACTTTTCTTTATATTTCCAATCTTTTCCATTCGCTGACTTTGGTTCAAAAAGTTCCAATCGTAACTGAGAAAGGTGATGTTAAAGGTTTTCTTCGAGTAGCAATACAACCAGTAACTGGTAAGTTCCAACAATTAACTAATCAACAATCAATTAGAAACAATTTCCAATGGAAATGAGCAAACAAATGAAAACAAACCAACAATTTAAATGAGAATCAAATTGAACAACAACAAAAGAAATACAATCAATTGTTGTTTGTATGAAATCAGTTTGATGATCAATAATTAACCTTAATTGTTGATTATAACCTAATTTTATCATTCTGATAGATTGTAACAGTTTCCAGGAAGATTAAGATTAGATAATAATCTTAATTTTCGTGATAATTTAAAATTAATCAGCTGATTTTGTATCTTTGTTTTTTGTAATAATATTATGAGTTTGATTGATTTGCTTTTGTTGGTTTAGTCAAGTTGATTGATTGATTATCCTTAATTCAATTTATTTCCTTCAACAATTAAAATTAAATCTTCTTTTCTTATTAAGATGATGATGATTCAGCTAATGTTCCTGATATCGGCTCGGCGACTTCATTGAATATCCGACAATCAGCAAGAATTGAATTTAATTCTGATGATCCTAAACTGTTAACATTAAAATCAAAATGGTGTCAGCCTGTTGGATCAAAGGAGTTTAATATTCCCAACTTATTACAATTAGTTAATTGTTCCGGTGATAAATTTAAAAACAATAATGGTGATGATCCAGAATCGTCAAGTGATCAAGGTGAAAATGAGGATAAGCTAAACAACGATAATCAAATGTTATCTAAATTAAGTGAACATCTTAAATTAGGTAAAGATTTTACCTTTCGTGTGATAATTTTACAAATAATCGATATTGCCAAAGAGTATGGGGACATTTTCTGTCAATTCAATTTTCTCCACCGTCACGATGAACCTTTTTCAACGGAACCAATCAAGAATACAGGTAAAGGTCCACCGCCGGGATTTTTTCGAATTCAAAATATCACCATCCAGGTAACTCAAGAATTCATTGATTACATACAATCGTATCCAATTGTCTTCGAAGTGTTTGGACATTACCAACAGCATCCTCTTCATAAAGAATCGAAAGATGTACGAGATTTTATTCCAGGAGCACAGAATCAGTGAGTTGAAATTTTCTTCCCTCGAAAATTGATTCTGATTGAATTTCATACATTCGATTATATTGTTTTCGTTTCGTTGTCTTCTTTTTTTTTCTAATAGTAATTCTGTTCGTCAACCACCCAGACGAATGTTCCCTCAATTTATTCCCGTTTCTCAGCCCATTCCATCGCAACGATACTCATTGTTAAACGCGTCCCCAAGTTCCGCTCATATTCATGCTAAATACGATCTACTTGTTTGGTTCGAAGTCTGTGAATTGGCACCGACCGGTGAATACATTCCCGTTGTTGTTGATCATCACGATGATACACCCTGTAGGGGAACTTTACTTCTTCATCATGGTATTCAACGTCGTCTAAGAATAACAGTTATCCATGAAGACGATCCAGATATCGTTTGGAAAGATATAAGAGAATTGGTTTTAGGACGAATACGAACCAGCGTTGATTATCCGGATAATTTTGACGACGAAGATGATGAATCAGTTTTATCTCTTAGTCTATTTTCCATTGAATATCTCGATAAAATGGACGGTAGAATCGTTAGAAGGTTCGAAGCGGCCTGGGACACGTCGCTTCACAACTCGTACCTCATGAATAGAGTCACACCAACGGGTGAACGAATCTATTTAACCCTCTCAGCTTATCTCGAGGTAATTACAATTAATTTTTCTTCCAATGGTTCATTTAATTTTTCTGAATTTTTTTTCATTCATTTTCTATTTCGTTACAGTTAGAGAATTGTAATCAATTGGCCATTATAACCAAAGATTTATGTCTAATGATCTACCAAAGAGATGCTCGAACTCTTCCTCGATTAGCTCCAAACACTAAGGCACTTCGTCATTTGATCAGTGGCGCTTATAAGAATGCTGATTGTAACCATGTTTCGGCGGTTTATGAATTGACCTTGAAAAGGGCAGTTGATTGTGGGTCTCCTGGAGTAAAGAGAAGGCAACGTCGAGTTCTGGACACTTCTGGTACTTATGTTCGAGGAGAGGAGAATCTAAATGGTTGGCAGCCTAGAGGTGATTCGTTGATATTTGACCATCAATGGGAATTGGAGAAGATTAAACGCCTCGAATTAACGGAAAAAGTTCGACATGTTCTTACAGTTCGAGAGAAACTAGAAAAAGGTTCACCTCAACCGGAATTACTTTCCTGTGGATTAACATCAAGTGGATCTCGAATGAATTTAGCTGCTTTAGCTGCAAGCGCCAGTCCAGCAACAACTCCAGTCACTGATGAGGCCGTTTATCGACCATGGGACATGTCACCAAGGGAGAAAGAATTATGTCAAAAGTGTGTCAATCATATTCTTGCCCATATACCATCAAAACCAAGTCCACATCAAGTGAAAAAAGCTTCCCTTGGGACACCTTCGGGTGATGAATCTGACCTTTGTTCATCAATCCATTCAAGTCCCGAACTATTATCACCTGATCGACCTCTTAGTACCAATGATTGGTCACAAAGAAATAGTAATATATCTGATAAAGATCGTGACTCTGTCCTAAGTGGGCTACTCGATCCAACCATGAAACCCTTGTTTGTCCCCGAAATTGAGGAGATACGTTTAAGTCCAGTTATCTCTCGAAAAGGTTCAATCCTTTTATCGGATGAAAAAACATCCAAACTTTTTAAACGATGGGCAATCGTCCGTCGTCCATATCTATTTATCCACTGTGATGAACGTGATCCCATTGAACGGGCCATAATCAACCTGGCAACGGCCAACATTGAATATCCCGATTATTTGACCGATTCTAATCAATGCCGATCGATTTCAATTGAGACCAAACACCGAACCTTTGTCCTGCACTCTACCAATGACAAAGAGCTACATGATTGGTTATATGCTATTAATCCGCTTCTTGCAGGTCAAATTAGATCAAAAAATCAATTCGATTCAAACATTTGGCACATCAATGGATGCAACTGACATTTCAACTAATTTAAATACTAAATTAACTAATTGCAACTCAAACTTTTTACTTGACCATTGAAACTTTGAGCAATTTAGGAATCATCTTGCCTTTAAGATTAACTTAATTTCTAATTTTATTTGATCAAATTTGTTGCCAAAAGGAAAAGGATAATTGTTGAAATTAATGCAGCAATTAACATACAACAGGCTCAACAATCAACCCCCAGAGTATCAACAATCAAAAAAAATTAACCATTCATAATTTTGAGTAATAAAAATAATTATAAATGAATAATTTGATTAGGCTGATTGAAGTAAATTAACTTGTCTAATTAAAAGGATCTGATCAACAACCAACCGAAATAATTAATTTATTTTAATTTGATTGAAACAAATCACTAATAATTATATTTTGTTAAATTTTTTATCTATTTTCTTCATAATTTAATTGTCATCCTCATCATCATCTCTAAATTGTAGGCATTAATTTGATTTAATCAAAGTTAATCAACGTTTTTACCAATAATCTAGTAACTTTGGTAATCATTTCAACCAATTTAAGTTAATTTGTTGTTCACTTTGTGCTTTTAATTGTTCAACTTAATTGTTCATTAGACTTTTTTTTTCCTCATTCATTTTGAGTTGTGAGTTTTGTGTTAATTATACTTGATGTGATTTAATAACAACAATTTAATCACAACGATTAATTACAATTAAAGTTTCAATCAACAAATAAATTCCCTTCTATTTGTATCGTTATTTCAATTGAAAAAGTTTCAATCAACTAATTTAGTTTCACGTCGATATTGATATTCAATTGAATGTTAATTGTTAACAATCAATTTATCAAGACTATTGCTAATTAACAATAGTTGGTAGTTGATTGTACCGACTTATTGATTCTGGGTAAGATTTAATATCTTGTTAACAATTAGTTGATTGTTTACAAAAATTCTGATCCATGGCAATTTAACACTTCGCATGTCCCATTTTGATTAACAAATGATTATGTTTTCTAGCCAATTAATTGTTAATTGTGAGCTTTTTATTGCTTGAATCAATTGTTATCACTTGATTACTTAATTATCCCTTGATAGGTATGATAATTAAGTTATTTGAATACATTTGAAATTGACATTTAATTACTTTTTTTGTACAATTACACTTGATATTTAACAATTATCGTTATAATCAAATTGATTATATTCAGTGACTCATTTTAATTGTTTCATCATCTTTCTTAATTGTCAGTAATTAGTTAATATACTTGTTAGACTTTAATCATTTGATCTCAATTGATCAGCCTAACAGCAATCAAATGCTTGGTGATTTTACAAAGCTTACAGATAATTAGTTGATTTATAATTCTCATATTTGAATAGCAAATTAACCAAATTAAAGTGTAATTACTTGATATTTCTGACAATTTATCTCAACAATTTACACTTTTATGATTCGCAATCAAGAGACTAAGACCTGGGTGACAATTAAGGAGTTAACTAAGATTAAGAAAGCAGATTAGTTAATCAATTAGATGTCAATCTCCAAGATGCTATAAAAATCAAGTTAATTGCTCAGGTTAATCAGTTTGAAAAGAAAATACAATAAAATTATAAATGGGACAGAATTAAGATTAATTAGTTAATCTTATTAAAGTAGAAATTGATTCACATTATTTACTAATTTGTAAAATCTTCAATTGTGATTAAAATAACTATAAATTAAGTGTAATCTTCACAATGGATCCAGAAAACAAAACAGGTTGAATATAATTAATAACAATCAACTAATTATCCACTTAAATCCGTTTGATGAGTTTTCTAATTTGGTTTATTTTTTGATTAAATTACAGAACCATCGCAACAATTAACAACGTTAACTGCGACAGTTTTAAACGATGACAACACTAAATTAAAATTTAAAACACCATTTGAATCAATTCGGGTTAAACGTAACCCAATTGAGTGGACTGATGTCGAAACTAAATTCAGACGAAGTCCATTGCGACATCAGGATAGTACGATGACCAGAGTGACCGATACAGCGGAAACATTTTGTCTCAAAAGTCCAATAATCCAATGGCTTTTAGCGATATTCCCGTGTATCAATTGGATGAGAAAATATAACATCAAGAACAATTTACTTTCGGATATAATTACGGGTGTCACAGTCTCAATTATCCATGTTCCCCAAGGAATGGCCTATGGCCTATTGGCGGGTACAAGTCCAGCGAACGGACTTTACGTTTCCTTTTTTCCGGTTCTAATTTATGCTCTTATGTCACAAAGTCGACACGCATCTTTAGGTACAATGGCGATTACAAGTATAATGACCAGTAATGTGGTCAATAACTTTGGTGCAATTCCACAGGCAAGTTTGAATTCAACTCAATTAGAATCAATTGAAAATCGTCCGCCGACAATTGAAGAGGTGATCACCTGTTTATCCTTAATTTGTGCGTTAATCATGTTAATTGCTGGAATATTTCAATTAGGAGCTTTATCGTTAGTCCTTTCAGAGCAAATGTTAACCGCTTTTGCCTGCGGGGCAACTGTTCACATCGCAACGGCTCAAATTGAATCAATATTGGGAATCAAGCTCAACAAATATTCAGGAGGCCTCAAGTTAATCTATGTGAGTAAATTAAATCAAATCACAATTGTAATCAAATGATTTAACTTATTGTATGTTTATCTTTTACAATGAAGACTTGGATTGAAGTGATGAGAAAAATATTCACCACTAATTTAGCTTGTTTGATAATATCGATAATTGTGATATTTTTCATGGTCAGTGTGAAGGAGTTTCTTGACCCATGGTTGAAGAAAAAGTTAAGGTCATCGATTTCAATTCCGATTGAATTGTTACTCTTAATTGTTGCCACTTCGCTTTCGTGGAAATTTGATTTCAATGGTAAATATGGTGTTCCCATTATTGGTGAGATTCCCTCGGGTTTACCTGAGTTTAAAGCTCCTCGTCTTGACCTGGCAGTCCCTATGATGCCCGATGCCGTTGTCGTGGCTTTGGTCAGTTACACGGTCACGTTGACCGCTGGTCTTTTATATGGTAAACGGTATAAATATGTTGTCGATCCAAGTCAAGAGTTAATCGCTCTTGGGTCGGCTAATCTATTGGGCTCGTTTACTAGTTGTTTTCCGGCCACAAGTGGAATCAGTCGAAGTCTATTGATGGAGAAATCGGGAGTTAAATCACAATTAGCGTCCATCATCTCGTCGGTCATCCTTTTGGTCATCATTCTTTACTTGGGTCATTTGTTTTACACTCTGCCGAAGTGTGTACTTGGATGTATTATTCTGGTCTGTTTGAAAGGGATGTTGATGCAATCGACGAACCTTGTCCGATTATGGAAAATATCCCGACTCGAAGGTCTCTCTTGGGCGATCACTTTTTTCTCGGTCATTGCGATTGACGTTGATTACGGAATCATTTTCGGAATTGCGTCCTCGCTTCTCATTCTGCTTGTTCAATTTATTCTGTAAGTAATTAGTTAACTTGGACATTTCGTTAGTGTGGTGCTAATTTTTTTTTTCCTTGGTTCGGTTGACTTTTTGTCTCTTTCTTTTTCAGGCCGAAAGCAACGATAAGAGGAATCTTACCATCGACGGAAATTTACGTTGATATCAATCAGTTCAAAGACGCTCAAGAGATTCCCGGATTGAAGATATTCAGATTTTCAAGTGCTCTTTTCTTCCTTAATCAGGTCAATTTCCGTGATTCAGTTTATCGTCTTTGCTTGAATCGAAGTTACGTTCAACTAATGAAATTCTTGGAGAAGAAACAAAATCCTCACTTCAGAATTCAAACTGTAATCATCGATTGTTCAACCATCGCTTTCGTTGATTCAACCGGTGTCGAGGTCATTTTAGAGGTTATTACCACTCTTAAAGAATTCGGAATTCGATGTCATCTCGCTTCATGTACAGCCTCACTTATGGCCATGTTCGAGCGAACCTCGTTCAGAGATCATTTACCCGCTGATTATTCATCGATATTCCCAATGGTCCATGATGCGGTCATTTATCATCTTCAACATTCTTACTCAGGCCAATCCAGTTCGACACTAGTACCAGTCTCACCATCAGCCCGTTTTTAGAAAAATATTAAAAAATTTCAATTAGAATTGATTTACAAAAAATAATCAATAAAAGAACATGAAAATTAATTGTTCATCAATAATTTCAACCAATTCGTATTCATATCAATAGTTTATCAAGAACAGTCGATCTCAAGGATTAGGTCCATTTCCTTTCATTTTCATCCAATTAAGATCCTTGATAATCAATTCAAGTTAAGACAAATAAAACACCAATTTAGTTGATATGAAGTGCGAATCAACTAGACAATCAACAATCAGAATTAAATGTAAACAATCAAAGTTAATCATCGACTTTTATTCGCGAAAGTAGCGACACCTGGTAATCTTTTTTCGAAATTTTCAACCTTGAAAATTGAAATTTCTCATTTGTTTACATCAACAATTCTAATTGTTGACCTTTAGTTGATTGTTTGTTTATCTTAATTGTGACTTTTAATCGACCTTTAATTTGTAAACAATTAGATGCAAACAGTTAATTGTTACTTCTTCTTCTTCTTCTTCTGTAAACATATTTTCTTTTCGTTTGTGAGTAAAATCTTAAAATTTGGTTAACTGAGTTTCTTTTTCGGGCTCATCTTTTTTTGGGTTTTGTCTTTTTCTTAACTTGTTTCCATCTCCTTAAAATAAACTATTACCTTCTCTTAATTGTAACTGTTAACTCATCATCATTTGCCAGTTCATCGTGTTCTAGTTTACTTGATTTAGGTTATAATCAAATCGACAATTGAAGTGCTATTATTAATTATGTTGATTGATTGTGTCAACTAACAAAACAGGAGACATACGAGATTTTTTGTTTTCTCCCATTTGATTAAAGGAAAATCAATTGATCGCAATTAATTATCACCAACACAGTTAACTAATTATCTTCTTTGTGATTCTATTGATTGATTGTTGTGTTTAGATTTAAAAATCTCTGTGATTTCCAAAAAAAAAAGTCAGAGAAAAGTATTGATTGTTTTTCTCTTCTTTTTCGAACAATTTATATTTTCTATTCTCTTTTGATTGTTATTTTCAAAAGTTCTATTTTCTCATTATTATTACATAATCAACAAGTTCTTCTCATTAACTTTAGCTGATTCTTTCGTCGCCATTTTCAATTGTCCCTTACGATTGCATAAAATGTTTAAGTGAATCAATTTAATCACCAGAAGTGATTGAAAAGTGAATCAACAATTAGTGTCCATCATTGTGATTTAACATTGACACCATTTAGAATCAAAGAAACAAAGTTTAAATGTTACAGACTAAAAGGTAAGTAATCAAATCAATTTTCAATATGAATTAACAATTAACCATGAAAGGGTAACGATAATCACTGATTCTGATTAAAGAAACAACAATTTTCTGGTTAACCAGAATTGGGTAATTTCTGGTTTCTTGTTAATCACTTGAAACCGGAACTCCAGTGATTCCTGATTCTCGATGATGATGTTGATTAGATTTTGTTGACGATATAGATTATTCAATTAAGAAGATGATGATGATTTAATTATAAGGAGGAAGAAAAAGTTAATCAAAATACTCATGATGAGATTGATTAACTTTTCCTCTTTTTCATAATGATCCAAACAATTTATTAATCATCAATAATAATATTGGTGTTTGATCAACAACAAAAATCAAACAATCTCTTTGTGATTTTATGTTCACAATTTAAACTTTCAATTAACAATCAATATATTGATCTTTTACCAAATATAATCAATCATCAAAATTTAATTCACTTTTAATCAACACCGTAAACATTATTGTTACAAATAATGATTGTTAATGTTAAGTATTTACAATCAATTTAAAATCATATCAACTAATCATTAAATCATAATCTGCAAGTGCTAATCATTGTTTTTAACCTTATAACAATTAACTAATAACCTGATCATTGATGATCACCTCATACAAACAATCAAGTAAATTTAGAAACAATCAGTTTCATCTTGATCATCATCATCTTCACAATTAACTTTCAAATGATTAACTTTTCCAATTTCATTAAACTCATTCACTATTAATGATTATCTAATCATCTTTATCCTTTTCTCCTTCTCATCATCAACAACGTCATCATCATGATGATAAACAACTAATTGAACATGATTAAATTACTAAATTGATTAACTTTATTTGTGCAATTAAAGTTTTTATATAATCAAAACAAACTGAATTAAGTTAATCTTGTTATCGTTAGTTAATCTCAATTGAAATTTTGGTTAATCCATTGATCATATTTCAAATGATTTGATCAATTTTCATCTGTTATCAATATTAATTGTTGATTCCAATAATGTTTGATTAACTTGATTAGTCTGACAATTTTTGACCTCAATTCAATTGGATTAATATTATATTTTTATGTTTAAATTAATTGTTGAAAATTAATTGAATTGTTTAAAATTAACATTTTGTCAACGTCTTGAAAACCATCAATGAATTAATTGTCATTTGAGTTAATTGTTGATGTAATTGTTTATCAGGTCACTCAGATTTTGGTTAATTCCTGTAGTTAACTAACTGCAATTAATTGATTTCTGATAGAAAATGTATCCTTAATTGTTATTACACTTTTTTTTGTTCACAATTGATTGAAAATATTAACAATAAATTCAATTGTTATCTTATCAAATGTAACCCTGAATGATTTTTCAATAATTATTCACAATTAACTTTGATTACTCACAAAATGATTGTAACAATCAATAAATAATAGCAATTATTTATTTAATTGATTTACTTTTTTGATTATCACCTTAAAATTTATACCAAACAATTTAATTTGATTGTACTAAAATCAAATTACTCCATGACAATCAAATGAAAATCAATTTGAATACCTCGAAATGTTTACTATGCAATTATCATCGTTTCCCTAACAATTAGTTAATCAGTACAATTGTACCGATGATAAAATTGATTCATTTTCACAATCAACTTAATCATAATGGTATTTAAATCAATACAATTGCACTGATCATCTAGCATCGAGTTTCAATTGTTATGAAAAAGAAATCAAGTGAACACAAAAACTTAATTTCGACACTTATCATGTCAACAATTCGTTGGTTTATCTCATATATTCGCGGCTAATTTCAAGGTTCAAGTTCAAATTAGCAAAAGTAAAAAAAGCAAAGTCACAAGCGCGAAAATCAAGAGAGAACGAATTGAAGTTAATTAAATTGTGTAATCCAATTAGACGAAATTGTCAGTAAACTTACAGGACAAAGCTAAAAGATATTAAGTGATGAACAGGTAGCTCGATTACGTACATAGGTAGACGATAACTGTCAACGTGGTTTGATCTGTAAAAACGAACGAAGGAAACATTTGATTTAGACACCAGATCGACCAGGTCGATTGGTCACTACCTTAATGAGCTATTAATGTCTAAACTAATTTCGACTGTTTCTATTGCTCGTAACTGTTGAGTGACAATCGAAAAAAGTTTCGATTATTTAGCGCCTTCGTCTTCGAGATTACTTTTCAGGATCCGTCAGCATTTCGTGAATTACTGCTATGACCATTTTACTAATGAATTCGTATGAACCTTGGTGGACAAAAAAAGACTCACGATGAGAATTCTGAGATTTTCTTACAAAAAAATCATGTTATCTGAATCCTGTTCTAATAAATGTTGGAACATTTTTCGAATCAACCACTTCGTTCAATTGAATGTAAATGTATTGGTGTTCAAAGTTTATAAAAGTTGATTTCGAAATCGGTATTTGGACTTGATTTTCGCGGCCCTTAGCGGGAAATTTTGCGCGTGTGAGTGACTTTACTATCGTCATAACAGTTATCTTGACCATCGGTATCATTTGCAAACTCGTTGATAATTATGATGATCATCTTGATCGTGTTGATGGATACAAATTACCGAAAGTAAAAGATAAAAATATGGAAGAAAACTCCTAATTAATATGCTAATCAAAGAGAGAGAAAGTTAACTAACTTATATGAGTGGAGATTGGAGTTACTCGCACCGTTGATGAACCATAACAGGAATCTTGATTGCGGCTCGAGATCACGTTATGGAGCGTTTTTAACGGTAAACAACCATTTTGTCGACAATTAGATCAAACCTTTTAATATAATACAATGTAAATAACCTTTTGAGAGAGAGAGAGAGAGAGAGAGAGAGAGAGAGAGAGAGAGAATAAGATGTTATATAATTTTCATATTTAAACTTTCAATTTACTCCTCAATTGTTATCTTATTGTAGCATTTGCATACTTTCATTAAGTAATTGGTATAAAAGCCCTTTCTCACTTGTCGAGGTTGTTATTTAGTGACAGTTAGTTATTCAGTAAACATTGAAATCGCAGTTTTTTATACAACTCAGTGAAACCCATTCGCAATCAACGGATTTTAATTTCATCACCAACTCACAAATTCATCACAATGGTTTCAACTGGTTTAATTGTTTACCCTTTGCTTATTGTTTTATTGATTATCCACACAACCCAATCAATGCCAACGGATAATTCAGACAAAAAAGGTGAGATTCACTTTCTCTTCCTTACAGTGACAATTCAATTGCTACAATTCATTTCATCGTGTTTATTTCATTCATTAACCTCCATGTTATTACTCAGTGTTGTTCAATTCATCAGAAAGTTTTGTCTTAACAAGTTGAAACTCTTCAACAATCCCTGAGGCTGTGATTTCTAACAAATGAACAATATTAATCTACCTAATTGGTTTGATCAATTTACTAAATTTCAAAGATTATCGGTTATCAATTCTGAACATTAGATTATACTTACTCTTCAATAGCAATTGGTACAAATAGAAATCGTTTACAATAGAGTTGAGCTTAGTCCAGAATCCGTTTATTGATAAAATCTCATTATCAGAGGATTTACTGTGAAATAATCAACTGTTATTATCTAATTGTTGATTTCAATTTGATTCTCAATCTTAATTAATGAGATGATTTTCTCATGATGATCAGTTTCATTTTTTTTCCGCGAAAATGATATCGAGGAGATTTTATTAATTACTTGTTTCTTTTTCTCTTCCAGTGTCTTCATTAGCTGATCCAGTGTCAAGACAAGACTATGGAGGTGGAAGTGGAAGCGGAAGTGAACCTTTAATTCCTGGAGAAGAAGAAAGTGATTCAACCGAAGCTCCTTTACCAGGAATAATTGGAAGAGCTCGTGAAGGTTTACAAAGATTCAGAGAAAACGCTGGCGATTTCTGGGAGGGAATTCGAGACCGAGTCAGTGATTGGTTCGATACCGATTAGAACGGAAACATTTTATTAGAATAATATTCGTTTATTTTTGCCATCACTCACTCATCGTCGCCATTTTTCACCATCATTTACATAAATTCATCTTCTTTCACGAATATCAAACCTCCTTTACTAATTTAACCTCTTTTTCAATCAACTTTTCATCAATCGAACCACAAATCCATCAATTGATTTACATCTTTATTGGTACGAGATTCATGATTCAGTTTTGTTCACCAAACAATCAACTAATCACAAGAATTAACCGTCCAATTAAGCATCTAAACGATGATCAAACCTCTAATTGTGGTGAAAAAAATTGTTAATCACAATGTTCTTGTACTAATCTTCATCAATTCAGCTCTCTCTCTCTCTAAACGGAATTTAGTTGATCCGTATAAATTATTATATTGTCAACAATTAAAGGGAAAATTTAATCGGGTCAGTTAATTAACACAATCTCAACGAAAATAATTATTAATTAAAACAATTTACCGAATTACAATGACCCAATCATTGCAATTACATTAATAATCATCATCTTCAATTGCTTCGTCTACTGATTATCATTATAATCACAACTCAATGAAAAATTTAGTAATTATTTCATTGATATTAATCGTTTTTAATTATCAAACCAAATCAAGTTAATTACGTATTCAAATAGTTTAAATTGTTCATTACAATCAAATAAATCTTGATAATTATTGTGCTAAACTTAATTGTGAGGAAAAGTGCAAAATGATTTAAATTTAAGGTGAGTTGATGCAAGTTGATTAAGTTAATATATTAATAGCTAGCGAATTTAAAATTTATTTTAATTGTCAACAATTGTAGTTAATAACAATTCAGTGAAGCTGATAAGTTTTACTCTTCCTTTTTTTTTGTGTTCACTTAATTGTCACAACAATTTGTTGATTATCACAAACATACAATTTACCGTTACAGTAATTTAACTGTTTATATTTAGATTTATATTTAACATACAATTTAATTACTCGTCATCCTAATGATTTACTTAATTGTACTGATTGAGTGATAATCTCCTAATTGTAATCATTAAATAATCAACCACGTTTGGTTACGAGTAGAGAGAGTCAATGATTATTATTAACAATTAAATGTTGATTAGTTGAAACCCATTTTGGTGATTAACTAATATCGTTAATCAATTACTCTTTTATTTTCTGGTTAAATCATTTTCACTTTTCATTGATTTTAAATTGTAAACTTTTCGGATGAAAAATGATTAAGGAAATTGAGAATTGAAAACAATTGACAAATTAACTAATCAATTCAGTAGATGGCACAAAGTGTAGTAATAATATTAACTAATTTGTGACAATTTATTTGATTGTTAATTATTCATTATACGTGGTGAGGTTATTAAATGAGAAAATTGTTCTCATGATTAAATTTAATTCAGTTGAACCAAATATGATTGAACCTTGAGATGAATGAAAATCTCATCATCATCTTGTCATCCTCATCTTTTTTTTCAAGGTGAATTAGGTCAAGATTGTAATGAGCATTAATTAACTTGTTGTTAAGATATGATGATGATATTGTGGGAGGAAGACAAGGATGATTAAGATGATGAGGATGAGGATGATGATGATGATTTGGAAACACTGAACCTGAGATGTCAATTGTTGATTAACATTTTACTTTTTCTCTACAATTAATCTTAATCTCTTGGATTAATCATTATTTAAATTGCTACAATCAGTTGATTATCATGTCAAGGTGATGATAACATTGAACAAAAAAGTTAATCACTTTGACAATCAACTTTGTTTATTATTGTTATGATATAATCCTGGTTACCAATTTTGTTGTTAAATTGATTGTTGTTACTTGATTATCATCAATATTATTTATGTATGTTAAAGTTTAACATTGACAATCAATTGATTTGATTTTGGATGAAATTAATTTTTTATCAACAATGAAACTGATTAACTTTTATTATCAAGTTAATTGAAATTTATTTGTGTCTAGTTGGTTTACCATTGAACTTATTTACTTTTTAATCATCAATAATCGCGACACTTGATTGTTGTCATTTACTAATCACATTATAATCATCTGATGTTAATTCATTTCCTCTCCCTCATCTTTATCATCATCTCTAAATTGTAGGCGTTAATTTGATTTAATCAAAGTTAATCAACGTTTTTACCAATAATCTAGTAACTGTGGTGATCATTTCAACCAATTTAAGTTAATTTGTTGTTCACTTGATGCTTTTAATTGTTCAACTAAATTGTTCATTAGACTTTTTTTTTCTCAGTCATTTAAAGTTGTGAGTTTCATGTTAATTATATACTTGATGTGATTTAATAACAACAATTTAATCACAACGATTAACTACAATTAAAGTTTCCAATCAAATGATTTCTCATGTTGAAGTAAAAAGTTTCACAGTTTCAATCAACTGGTTTTATTTTCATGGTGATTTCATCGCGACAAATTAAATGTTAATTGTTACCAATCAAATTTTCAGGATTTACTGTTAATTAGTCAATTCTAATTGTAAACAATATGGATAAAAATAATGATATCAGTTCATGGCACCGGTTTACTGATTCTGGGTAAGATTAAATATCCTATTAACAATTAGTTGATTGTTTACAATGTTCGTAATAGTTTGAGATAATTAAGGCTTGTTAATTGTCACAATTAGAGTTTAACCTTTGATCATTGTTGAAAAATTGAGATTAAATCAGCTCAAGAGGAAGAGCCAACAAATAACAACAATTAACTACTATCTGATTAACTGATTTAAGAAATAATTATCTTTGATTGTGATTAATGGTGACAATTAATTTAATTTATTAATTAACACTATGAACTAACAAATTTTTTCACAATTAACTCCCATTTTTCATAAACAATTAACCAAATGATACTAATTAACAATAACAGCAAGAACAATTAATCAACAATTAAAAATTATCTGTAACCATGAATAAATTGTTACCTCAAATGATTGTGTTTAGTTAATTGCTTTTCCTTGTATTGATTGATTGAAGTTTTCATCAACAACAGTTAGTTAATCAATTGATTAACTTGTTAACTGACCAGTTGATTGTTACAATTTAACCACCTTGACATTTCCAGGTAAATGATTAACAATTGAATTACAGACTCAATTGTTATCTAATTATGATTAAATTTCACAATTAAATGAAAAATATGATAAAATAAATCAATAACTACACTTGAATTTGGCGTTAATTGTTTGAATTAATTGCATCAACTAATGGTAAATTATTGCTAAATTATAAATACCACAATCAAATGATAATCAATGATTAAATGAACCAGGAATTGTATCAGAATTAATTTGATTGTTGAAAAAACAACTGATCGTGTAGGTTAATGACTGTTATGATTAGTTGATTAACTGTTCAGTTGATTTGTTGTTAATCGGTTGATTGATTCCGTGAAGACAATCAATATATATAACAAATCAACATAATTATTGATCAATTTGAGCCAACAATTAACGATTAATAGTCCAGGTTGAACAGTATTTATATATTTTTGTACTTAATTGTATTAATAGTAACGATTAATTGTCCGATAATACCGATTGACAATTTAACCTTTTTTCATTTAGACAGTTAATTGTTATTATTAAGACGATTACAAATTACACTAAATCATTTATTAAATTGTCAATATCAACATTTAAATGTGATTATATTGTAAATCTTGACGAGTAATCAAATCAACTGATTGTTATAATTAAACTTGAGGTCATGAACTATTTGATTTTGTTGTTAATCACAATTTATCCCAATGAGCAGCAATTTAAATTGCTAATTGTTACCACTATGATTTAAATTAATTATAATGTTTTACTTAAATTGGTATGAAAAAGTTTTACAACAATTTATTAATCATGATGGTTAATTATTAATGACAATTGTATTCAATTTTTGTTAACTCTTAATTAGGAAATGAGATACAATTAGAGTAACAATTAGTAAATTTTAGTTTAGTTTAATGTTAATCATAAATATGAAATTATTAAATTAATTAATTTGATTGACATAAAATGGTTAATTGTTAGTATTAAGTGATTAGCTGATTAGTTATTCACAATTAACCTTGAGTTGGTTGAATGAAAAAAGTTGATCTGATTTAAATTATTTACTTGATTGTTACCATGTTTTAATTGTCACAATTAAAGTCAAATATGGTTTTATTGATTAAGTAAACACCCAATAATTTAAAGTTAATTTGATTTGATTACTGACTGATTGTAATCATAAGTAAAAGGTGTAACTGGATTAACTTCCGATTTTGTGAATGATTAAATTATCCAAGACATTTGATTTTCATGGTTATTTTTGGTTAACCAATGATTAAGAATTGATTATCATCTAAATGATTAATTATTTAAAGATGATTAACTCTAGACTGGGTGCGGTTGAGCCTAACAATTAATAAATTATGTCCAATTGCTTGTAAACATGAATGATAATTAACCCTTTTACTTTGGTTAAAGTTAATTTAGTTAGCAAAAAAAATACCAAATTCAATGTCAAATGATTCAAATCAACTACAATTAACTAATCACTAAGATGAAAAAGTTTAATTTCTCAAGTTATTATTGATTATTTAACTTTGTCAGTGTTAATTGTGATCGATTTCATGTCAATCTTTTCATGATTGGTAAATTTTTTCTGTTGACAAATTGATTAACTTTCAATTGTAACAATTAACTTCAATATAAACACAATCAATTTTGGTTACTATGGTTAAATTAAATGAACAATCAACAATTAGTTAACTAAAAATAATTTACCAGAAAACTGAATGATATTAATAAATTGTCCTTGGATTTATTTTTGGCTAAATTTGATTGATTAACTAATTGTTTGAATTATATTTACCAAGTAAATGATTCCAGGTGATTTTCATTTTTTTAATTGTGATTAATTTAATCATCTTAAGTTGATTATTAATGTTATTGACTATTAGTCTCATTTCAATCAATAATTATTTCATCAGATTAATTGATTGGGATTAAAACTGTTAATTGTTAACACTAATTGTTGACAATAAGGAAAAACTTTTTTCATTGGATTACAATTTAATCTTTATCAAAGTTACTTGTTAATTGTAATTGATTAAATCAAATTGTTGGCACAATGTTGTTGATTAATCTTTCATTCTGATTGATTGGTAAACACTTTCTAATTGTTAATTGTTACTTAATTGTTTCCGTTATTTTGACTTTAAGTGAAAATTGGAAATGAATTTTCATTTTAATTATCTCTCATTGATTGTTATCGATTAGTTAATCATCACAATCATTGGAAACTAATTGCTAAATACTAATAATAATAATCTTTAAATTATCGAAATTATTTTAAGACAATCAAAACTAATCAGAGTAAAAAACAATTAACTCATTTTGTATATCAAGTTAATCAGCTTGATTATATAAACCATACATACTAATTAACTGTTGTTGTTAATTGTTATTAAACTTTAATCATATTTTTCCCGTTAAATATTATGATTAAGGTAAAAATCGTTATTAATTTGATTGTGAATTTAAATTGTTGAAAACATTTTAACCTTGAATTGTAAATATTAATTGTCCTCGAGGTAAACACAGGTTAAAATTTGACAGCAATTAGGTCAACAATTAGAATGTAATTATTATTAAATCATTGGAACATCAGAAAAGGAGGAAAATTAGAATCAACAAATCAACGAATTAAATTAAATTAATTCATTTTTCTCTCCTTTTTCCAGTTAACAATTAACTCTCAAAATTTGATAATCAGCGAAAGTGAAATTATCGAGAAAGTGAAAAATCAACAATTAAAATGATCCAAGATTAACCATTGGAAAATTGATTCTAATTGTGAATCGAGTAACAATTAACTAATTGTCACTTCTCTTTGTTTACATTTTAGAAACGAGGGAAACTCAAACCAAAAGAAAGAGAAAAAGAGACGAAAAATTTTTCTCTTTCTTTTTGATTCTCTTTAGTTTTTCATTTTCTATTCTCCTCTTGGGATTTTCATTGTTTCTAATTCTTTGGATTAATTAACTTCTCCCATGATTTGGAAGACAGTTTATTAATTCTAATCCTTTTAAGGAGAAGAAGAAGAAGAAGAAGATTAAAAGTGATCTTATTGATTAGTGAATTTAAAATTCTTTTCGCCGTTTGGATTAACCTTTTCTCCTTCTCCTCTCAACTCTCTCTCTCTTGTGTTTCCATTGGTGATATTCACATGTGAGAATCACTTTTCTCTCTTGTTTTCCAATTTTCTCTCTCATTAATTGTTCTCGTGTCTCCATTGATTGTTATTCCCTTCAATCATCGCAATTAATTAATTGTTGAAGTGTTTGATTACTGAATACACAGAGAATCTTTTCTCTTGGTGTGAAGTCATAAATATTCTTTTTCATTTGTTTTTCTATTCTCTTTGTTTTTTTTTCTCCAATTGTCTGTGTATATTTTTCTTCTTCTATTCTCTTTCCTTCTGGTTTTCTTCCTGTGAGCGGATCTCTATTCCCTCAAATTGATTCTACATGAAAACGTTGTCATCTTCCTTAGTATTAATACCATATAAATCATCATCATCATCTCCATCATCATCTTCACAAGTTTCATCAGTTTCTTTCTCCTCATCGTTACCTTCATTGTCTCCTTCATCTTACCCTGATTCTTGCTCACCCACTTCTGATCAATTCTTTGGTGTTTCAATTAAATTAACTAAGACAACTTCATTATCATCTCTTTATCCACTTAACAGTCCTACTTATGGTACCATGGATGATGCTCATTTCTCATCAATTGTCAATGAAAACAATGGAAAAAGTATGTGACATTCAAGCTTCTTCTTTTTATGTTCTTTGCTCTTCTCTCCTTCCCTCTCTACAGTTATGATTAATATTCTTAATTGTTTGAAAACCTTTGTTAATTGTTGTGATTTTCTATTCGATTCATGGTGGAAACAATCTACATCTTTATCAACAATCGGTTAGATGTTTAACTTTGATTATCTACCAAATAGTAGCTACACTTGAATGAGTTGACAAAAAAAAGGGTTAACCCAAACGTGTACTTGATCCGCCATCTTTTTTTCTCTCTCTCTCCTTTTGTTCTTTCGTTGATATTAGTTGATGATCTTCTTTGAAATCAATTTCTTTAAACTACCAACAAATTTCTTATTTCATCTATTAAATTGTCTCAAGTTGAATTTTGATTCAATTTAGAAGCTACACAACTTAAGTTACATTTTGTTAACAGTATCCCTAAGATCATAAAGATTAATTGAGTCAGACAAGAAGAAAAAAAATCTTCTCAAATAAGGGAAATGGTTCAGATAATCATCTGATTTTGTCTCATTATTATCAATTTAATCCTATTTAGAGATATTCCCATAAAACGGGAAATAAGCTAAATAGAAAGAAAAATGAAAAGAAATCCATCCAATTTGGTTTATTATCCTAGACAATGATTTTCAAATCTAAATTAGCCTCTTTTTTATCGGATAATTTTAATCTTTTTCCATTATGTGTATAGAGAAAAACAAAACCGTATCCAGTTAATCATTCCAGTTACGTTCCATCATTTAAATAAACCAATCAATTGGTAAATATTAAGAGAGTTGGAGAAATGTTATTTGTACGTCGTCACATCTTCACTTTGGATCCATATAAGTGAACTAAAAATGGAAAACATTGGAAAAATAACCAGTAACAATTGTATGAAATGAAGATGAAAAATCCTAATATAGAAACACTGAGTTAACTAAATGATTAGATCAAAAATGGAAATGACAAATTTAATCCAATTTTGACCAACATTAAATACCATTTACAAGGCCTGAAGAAAGTAACGTTTACAAGGTTGATTGTTTTTCCCTGCGCATTAATTGTAACAACAACATTTTCAACCTTTTCACTACGCATAGGGAAAAAACATCAATTTGTATACTTTTTTTTCACACCCTGTAAAACTCATGTAATCAAATTACCACAGAAAAAAATTCTAAACAACTGAAAAGGAGAAACAAACAAACAGAAAAAAAAATAGAATAGAACATTAATTTTTCTCTTCTCTTTTGTTTAAATGATTTCCCCTTCCATCCAATAAGCGAAAAAGACTTTCATCTTTCAAGTTGAATGTCAAGGGTTAAACAGAAAAGGAGAACAACTTCCACGTGTTCGACAATTGTTTTCCCTCATTAATTTGAAACAAAAAAAAAACCTAATTAACTGTTACATTAATTAATTAAAAGAAACAAAAATTTGATTTTCTTGAGAGCGGAAAAGGAGGCAAAATTTGGGAGGAACTTGGAAAAGTTACCATAGTTTCCAATAGATGGAGTTACTTTTCGAAGCTGTTTTTCTCTTTTAGGTTTTGTCTTTTTCTTTCTTGTCTGTTAGATTGTAAATGTTGTGTGTTGTTAATCTTAAATTTGTTCTCTTCTCTCAAAGTGTTAATTGTATAACTTATATTTTAAATTTCCTATTAATTAGTTGAATTTATTGTGTTAGTTGTTCTACTGTTACAAAAGGATTGTTTCCATCATCATCGAATTTCCAAGAAAACACCAAAAACCTTTTTTCTCCTAATCTGTAATCGATATTTCAAGGAATAACAATATTTCTGGATTGAGTAGAAAAAGAGACTTGAAAGAAAGAAAGAAAAAGAGACAAGTGTAAACCTCTATTGTTTTTATGTGTGTGTATATATACTATTTATTTCTTAGACTGTAGAGAGATAGAGAGTGAAGAAGGAAAAACATCCATTTAAAAGAAAAATAATTGTTCTTTGTAATTATATTAACCAAAGTGTTTATTTATTTTTGGTGATACTTGTGCTTATTTTAACTTCTCCCACTTTTACCTTTCACACCACTACCGCCACCACCTTCTTAACATTATTCTCATCTTTTACTATGTATGACATACACAGATGATATTATGGCTTCCACATCTACCCCACCAACATCATCCCCTCCAGCCTCTCCATCATCAAATATCATCACCACAGCAGTTGGACCTTCGACAGCTAAAGATCATCTTCAGATAGAGATACCTGATTCATTTAATCGACGCCATGTACTTTCTTCAACAAACACCTCAGAAAATGAGAAAACAACCTCAACAGTTTCAACCTGTAATGGAGTTGGCGGTGCCGATCACGGAATATCAAGCGGTCAACATCACCATTACCACCATCACCATCCTTGTGTAACAACCCGAATTGATCGTAATTATTATGGTGATGAAGATTATTGTCGGGCCATTCTTGCTTTTCTATTTGCCTTTTTTGGTATGGTCTCTAATTTAGTAATACTAGCGATAGTCCATGAAAGAGTACCACTGGATATTACTCATCCATTACCAGATTTAGGATTTGACCTTTTACCCGAAGTAGATTGGACATTGGATATTGCTGAATATATAATCCTTGCTGTTTCTGCTCTTATTATTTTTCTACTCTTTATTCATAGGCATAGGTAAAGGTCAACTCTTTTTCAACCTTCTTCCACTCTCTTTGTGTGTTGTATATTTTACCTTCTTACCTTCATCAATCTCTTATTACACATTGGATAATATGTTTACCTCATTTAAAGTCTTTCACCATTAAGATTTGAAAGCAATTTATTGATGATGGAAAAAGAAATGATGAAAATGATTTTGGTGTGGCTCCTTCACTATAACCATTTTTCATTATTTTTCTTTATTCTCGATTCTTCTTACCTTTTTAACTCAAACATTCATTTATATTGTTCATCAATTTCATGGTTATCTCTTTTCTCTAACGTTATCGTTTTTTTTTCTTTTTCTTCAGGGTCATAATATTTAAAAGAATTTCATTGATGATGGGAATCATATATTTATTCAGAGGTATCTGTATGATATCAACAGTATTCCCGTTGGCCAATAGGCATTACCCTTGTCAACCTCAGGTATGAATTAAATTAACTACGAAGTAAAAAAAATCTTTTTTATTTTTTTTCTCTGAAACTCTTTTAACCTTGTTTCATTTATCATCTGATTCTCTTATTCTCTCCACGTCTCTCATTATCAACTGATTCATCGCTGGCTTTTTAATTCACTCATACGTCTATTTATCTTCTCTCTCTCTCTCTCTCTCTTCTTTTATTATCCGATTAATTACCTCTGTGTATTAATTATCGTCATTTCTTTTTACTCTATTCTATTTACAGTTACACAATGGAACCCAACACCTAGACATTTCTTTTGGAGAATATGTGTCCACAATAGCATCGAGAGTCGGTTATATGCTTTTGGGTTTTGGATTGTCCATTAATGGACGACACAGTTACTGTGGTGATTATCTCTTCAGTGGACATACAGTCATTCTCACATTAGGTTAGTATTTTTCTCTCTCTCTTTCTCTCTTAAAATGAAAACAATTCTATTCTTGGCCTTAACTTTGTTTTCCCTCCTTCTAACATTTCTTGTTCCTCTGTTATTATCATTCATACTTTCACATTTTCTATTTACTTCAAATTGATGATGAGTAACATCTTTCTCTCTGTGTGTAACCCTAACCTTAAACTATGCCAAACCCTTGTCAAAATGTTGCTCTTGTAACAGTTAACTAGCTCCCTGTTTATTTCCTTCAAACTTTTTTCTTTCAAAACAAAAAGAAAACAAAAAATATATTGCTCATCTCTTATCCATCATCCCACCCCCTGAATAAATCTTCATCTCCCTTTGCTCATCCATTTTAACATGATTTTCTTTAACAATCTTGTTGCCAAATTCAACTATTAGGCAAGAATGAGAAAAAGACGAAAAAGTAAAATGCAATTGCAATGAGACTTAGTATTTAATGTCAGTTTATCCTGTTAACTGAGCTGCTTATACCACACAAAATGCTGTGTTGACGATATTACATGTTTACTTGTAAATAGTCATGAACACGTTTAATAGAAAATGTTTGTTATCAAGATTAGCAAGTAAATATTTAGCAAAAAAGAGAGAAATATTCATCTCTCTATCATTTGCTAGATATAAAAGGAACAGAATAACTTTGACCGTGTAAATTGTTTTCTGTCATTAGTTTTTTTTCAGGTTTGGCAATGAATTAAAGAGAGAAGAGATGAGAAGAGAGAGAGAGAGAGAGAGAGAGAAATGTAGAAATTTGTAGCTTCAACAACGGTCAATGTGTAGCATTTCAGGTCTTTAATCTTTGACCTACAAGAAACGACGACGATTAGGTTGATGATGATGATGATGATGATTCAGGTTTTAGTTGAACTTGTACAAATCAATCAGTCCGGTTTAGAATGCCCTTAGCATGACTTTCCGTTATATTTTCCTTATACTTTTTCCCTTGAATTCATCCCCTTTCGCATCCTTTTCTTCACCTCCTACTTTCGTAACTTTTCAAGATTTTTCTTTCTCTCGCTCTCTTTCCTTCTCTCTTTCACACCCTGTTGAAGCCTTTTCTTCTTTAAGGAATTTCTCAGCCAACTTACCTGTTTTTGTTGTGAATTTTTCTTCTTCATACCTTCTTACCTTTCTTATATTTTTCCTTGTAATCTCACCTCTTTTTCTGACTTTTATTTTGATAACTTACTGATTTTCTATTATTTTTTTTTCCTTCTCTCTTCGCAGGTTTTCTTGTCTTAAGAGAATATCTCATGCCATCAAGATGCCGAACAATCGCTTGGAAATTATTCCATTGTCTGCTCTTCCTTTCATGTTTTGGAGGTGTGATATGTGTGATCATTTCTCGAGGTCATTATTTGATCGATATCATATTGGCTTATTACGTTACCACTATGGTCTTTTGGATTTATCATACTTTGGTTTATAATCATTCACTACTGGTAATTACTACATTAGATGATTACGTTTACATCAAAGCACAATTTTCGATGAGATCATTGATATTGTTTACGTTTTTATTCAGAATATCAATTTAACTAACAACAACAACAATCGTTGTGTAGACAAACAAAAAAGTTAATCTCAATGATCAAGAGATAATAGATTAAGAAATTTATCTCTAATTGGCTTGAAACCGGGAACAATTTTCAATTAGTCGAATGATTGTTCCAATTTTTTTCTTTCTTTTTCTCTCTCTATCTTTTATCAACTTTCTTAATCAAAGTACTGTAAACAGTTCCAACTCTTTTCTTGTTTACTAAATTGTCTTCTTAATAGAGTGACAACTTATTGACTTTTTAGGTAAACTAAATAGTATTAACGACTCGACAATATACAGGTTAACCGTTTAGTCTATTACTATTGTCAACTTGATGTTGATTGTTGATTGTGGTGTTTTATGTGTGCGTTGGTGTAACATTTACACATCAAATACTACAACAATCATGACTCATAACTTTATTCATTGTTTAAGAAAACTTTACTATCATTTGACACCCTCACAATGCTCACTCTTTACTTTTACTCTCTCTCTCTCTCTCTTGTTTTTTAAATAATCAATACTCATTTTGCTTTCTACTCTTTACTTTTTTTCTTCAATTTTTAGACTTCATCATCAACTAATTACTTGTCACGTATCTGGTGGTTCCGTTTGCTATTATTCTTTGAAAAAGTTCAAAATTGTCGTAATTTGAATTGTGATCATCCCCCTTGCCAATCTTGTACATGTGATTCGCCTGTTCCTGTTATCCCTCGTTCCCTGGAATGGCCTTTACCTTGGCCTCGGTTTTTAAGAAGAAGAAAGTTACCCTGGTCTCAACAACGATTATTAACAACTCAAGTCGCATGAGAAAAGGGGAAATGCATAAGCATAAAGATAATAAAAGGTTGAAAAAAATGTTAATGGAAACAAACTTCATCCAGAACCAACAACAACAACAACAACAACAACAATTAACAAATGAATGAAGTAAAAATTGATCAACCGAAAAACAAAACCAACAAAACGAAACACAAAACAAGCAACTAAAATATACCAGAGATATTTGAGGTGTTGATTCTAGTTGTAAATGTATTTTTTCTAACCAAAGTGAAATCTACGCGCATTTTATCTAAGTGATTCCAAAAGAATACTAAAAAAGCCACAACAAAAAATTAATTATAAAAGGAAATCATATTAACGTACACAACAAAAATCATAATCCACACACTCTCAAAGAAGAACCCACTCTTGGAGGCTTGCAATTTTTCAAGCGAAAAATAAACAACAACTAAAATATTATATGGCGACGTTAACATAATGGAAAAGGAAGCCCCCACTTCATATATTGACATTTTGTTGGTTACTGTAAATGGATAACTACACACCGATGTTACTAAATTAGAGAAAAAAACTCCTCGCGATCTCTTTTATCTTCTCTCCCTCCCTATTTCCCACTCTTTCTCCTTCCACCTCCACCTCCTCTCTCTCTCTCTCTATCTTTCGCTCACTCACCTTCATCTTTCACTCGTCTCATCTTTTTTTCACACTCTTCATCATTGTCAAATAAATTGTCTCCATCAAATCTAATCAATCAAAAACCAATATTGTTAAAATATCATTTATCAATCTGGTTACATCATGTATTAATTAATAATCTAACAAATTGAGAGCATAAAAAGGTTAATTGTAAATTAAATGGTTTACTTTGATAACCTTAAAGTATCATCATCGTCATAAAAGGTTATACATTGATTATGAATGAAAAAAAAAATTGATGAAAAGAAAAAAAAAATTTCCTATTTCATGTTCATCTCTTGGTTCGGGTTGAAGTAACATGAAATTCATGATGATTCGCAGATTAATCATTACATGAGATGAGAAAAAAAAAATCTCAGACTGATTCAAGAATTGAAGGAAAATGATTGTCAGGGATCATTTAGATTCCATCATGATGATTATCTTAATTGCAATTAACACTTTACCAATTGAATTTAGTTCTAACAATCAATTTGCTTCTTATCCTTAAAGGTGAGCCAATATCTCTGTTAATATTTTTCTGTTAATTGTTGATTAAGAATTTAATTCTCTAATTATTAACAAGTAATTAATTTTATTACTCAGTTAATCATTACGGAGTTAAATTAATAAAAAGTAATAACAACAAGTTAATTGTTCAAATTGATCAACTTGTTGTTACATTGAAAAGGTTAACTTTTGATTGTTGTTGGTTTATTATCATCATCATGTTGATTAACATGTTAACTGTAATTAGTTAACTGTCCTTATATTGTGACAATGATTACTGATGATAATGATTGATTAAATTATCACAATCAAAACTGATTATAAATCCGAATGGCAATTAACTACAATCAAAGTAAATAGTTAACAAAAAAAACATTTCAACTCTTATTGATTAACCAATTTGCCAAACAATTAACCTAATTCACTGTTAAACTAAAATAATACAATCCTTAAGCCTAACTCAGGTCTTAATCAACAACAATTAACTAATATTGATCATTGTAATTACAATTAAAACTTTCGTGAAAGTTTTTTTTTCGTATTCGAACTCAATCAATTTTTAATTGCATCACCAATCTCCAAACAATTTAATGTATTAATCATCTGATTGGGATGATTAATCAATTAAATCATCAACATGAATCAGTAAACAATCAAATTTTATCAAAACAATCAAAACGATCGGAAATTATTTACAATAATTAGTTGATTGTTTTCCTGGTAACAGTTAATGATAATTGTGGAAAAATATTTCCACTAATTAAATGACTTGAAAAGAGTTTAATTAATCACAGAATCGTTCACAATTAACTAATTAGTTTCCGTTGTTATTTTGATTTCCTTTGATTTTTGAAAAAAAAATTACTAAGTTTGTTTGTAGTTAATTGTTGGGTTAACTAATTTATCTGTTTCAAGGTAATGATAATAATTACAATTTGTTTCAGGTTAATAAACACACTCAACAATTACAAAGTAATCAACCAACAATTTAACTGTTCAATCAAATTACAATCAGTGTAACAATTAACTTTATCAACATTTGTCATTGATTTAATTCATTGAGCCAACAAGTTTGTTCATATTATTAACAATTAAGGGAAAGGTTGAAAAAAATAAACAAACGAAAACAATTTACCACAACAATTAAAATCTAATTCCCAATCAATTAAACTGATTAAAAGAAAGTTAAATTTTCTCAATGAATTTACTAGAAAGTTATAAATAATCACAATTAAATCAGTGTGTGTATTTGATTGAAAGTAAATAACCCGAATTAACCTTGAACAATTAAGAAAAAATCTAAACTACAATCAAGGATTTCTTGTTTTCTTAAACATTTAATTCATTTTAATTATCTCGAGTATCAGTGAGTCATTATTTTTGATTGTTGCCCATCAGATGATTAAAACTTGACAGTTAATGATGTCATTAATTGTAATTTTCCACTCACTCAAACCTTAATTTAAACCATAACAATCAACGAGAAACAAATCAACAATTGGAAACAATTTACAAAACTTTTGATTATCAATTGAAATTAAAGTCAATTGATTTTCTCACTCGCGAATCAATCACAAATACAATTTTAAATCTCAATCAAATCCATCCCTTTATTTTGATTCTTAATGGTCCAACAAATTAAAATAAATTGATCAATAGTTAACAATTAACAAGGATAATTAATTAACCAAATCAATAAAATGATTTTTCATTATATATTATAAGCTATTACAGCGAGTCTCCAAAGACTCCATCATTTTAAGAAATGATGTTATGAGTGAGTACGACTCATTTAGGGTAGTGGGGGTGTTTTGATTACATTATTAGATTACATTATTTAGATTTGTTTGTTTAGACATTAATTGAGTAGTTTTTAAATTCTTTGGAGACTCGTGTAATTTGCTCTGCGATTATAATATATTCTTCTAAATTCTCTTCTATTACTTTTCCTTCAGTCCATTCTTCGTTCATCAGGTTCAATAATCTGTTGCAATTTATTGGATTGTGGTTTCCTGTTTTAAACATTTGACAGCAGGGAATATTAATAATTCTTAAGTTAAATTTTGACCATAATTTCGTCAATTTCCAATAAGGGATCTTTCTTATGTATCCATATGAGTTAGTTAAGCGTTCACTTTTTATCATTCGATTCCATGAGAGTTTTTGATTTTTTGTCCAACTATTATGTCTTATTAATATTTGATCTCGAACTTCTGATTGCCAAATCTTTGTTGGTATCCATGAGATTGTTATATTATGTATAATGTGAGGGGTAAAATGATTTCGGTACATGGTCCCATATGACCATTTCCATTGGAAATTAATTATCTTCGAGAGGATTGAGAAAGTATCTGAAATGTAAGGAGATTTAGAGTCTATTTTTAGTGTCATTTGTTTAGGGATTATTATTATTGGGTTAGTTATTCTGTTATTGTCATGATAAACTATTTGAGCATAAATAATATTTAGGAGTAAATTCCAATGGTCTGAACGGTCAAATTTCATCGCTTCCATATTATTGTTAACCGCAATTATAACTTTCTCTTCATCGTAGTAATACATTAAAGATGGTTCGAACTTGGGGTGAGTGAATCTGTTTACTATTTTCCTTTTCATCTCAATGTTCGTTATGTGAAGTAATTCTTTTGATTCAATGTGAAAGTCTTCATGTAACTTAATTTTTTTCCTTTTTGTGTATTCAACCACCTTTAACCATTGGTCTGTTAGCGGATGATTTAGTCCATATATTATTGTTAGATAAGAAGATGAAATTGTTGATGGTTCCAATGTTGAGAAGAGTTTATCTGATGCTTCAAGATATTTAATGTATTGTTCTTTATTTTGGGTGAAGACCCAAAACCCTGTGGCTATGAATTTGGGAAAAAGGATATTATTAATAATTAATCTTTTCAGTTTAAAAGGTAAACATATTAAGGTTGATTTCAAACATTTGAAATTACTCATGAAGGAGTTTTCTATCGACGCTAAGAAGCTTTTCAATTGACTGTTATTGAATGGGTGAAAAATTTTGAAACCCACTAATGTTAGTTTGTTCAAGTTCTTCTTTGAATATGAATTGGTTTTCTCATTATTAATCTTAAGATTAATATTAATTAATGTTGATTTTACTTGTTCCATTATCAATTCTTGATTACTGTTAATAGGGTATTGTATTACGATATCATCAGCGTATGAGATAATATTAATATTTCTGTCTTTTAAAGATCTAATCACCGAGTCTAGTGCCATGGAAAAGAGTAGGGGTGATGATGCGCAGCCTTGGGGAACTCCGACTTCTTCACGACAGTACCAATTTTTGTTTGCATGTCTAATTTTGACATATCTTGTTGAGCAAAAACTTTTGATTAATTTTGATAATGATGATTGTCCCATTGATTCAAGTCTTTCTATCACACAATTAATATTGACTTCATCGAAGGCTTTTTCTATGTCAGCTTGGATAATATTAAATTTATCGAAATCAGTTTCAAATATTATTTTGAATATAAATTTATCTCTTGTGGAGTTGTGAATAAAAGCGAAATGGTGTTCTGGTAAAAGATACTCGTCAATTAATTCAGATAATTGCATCGATATTAAATTATCAATGCATTTGAGAAGGTAATTGGGACTTTTTATCATTCTTACTTTAGTTGTATTGTTTTTGGGTATGAATCCTCCACCTAAGACTCGAAATGATGAAGGTATGTATGATGATTTCATTATTATTATCATAATATTCTTTATCAGGTGTTGGTTACGTTGAAAGAATTTGTACCATTGAATCTTGGAATAACCATCAGCTGATAATGATGATTTGAATCCTTTAACCTTGTTTACCAGTTTATACCAATGATCTTCTCGAAAGTTTCCTTTGACTAATTGGTAATGATCATCATTAAATATCGGTCGATTTAGAGTGAATTTGCTGATGTAATTGTTAACTGCATTTGAGTAAATTGAGGGATAATTTTGTGGTAGAATATTATTATTACGTGGTTTCACAATGAGAGATAACGCTTTCCAAAGTCGAGTCTGTTCTGGGATTTCTTTTTTATATATAATCGATTTGATGTTCCTATTAATATTGAACTGTTTCCGTAATTCGATTATTCTTTTTTTGATCTTTGTATCATTTTTTCTCTTCAACTTTTTACGTAGATTTCGGAGATTATTGGATGTTTGACTTGGTGTGAAGGTGATCCATCGTCCTGTTGCTTCTGGATAGTTGATTATCTCTCTTCCATTTTTTACTAATGTTGATTCGGCGGTCATTGTGTTTTCTAGCGTAATATTAGGTTGTTTAATTTTCCGAATAACAAATTTTAACTTTGATGTTGATGTTGGTTTTCTGGATAGTTGAATTAGTATTTTCGTGTCCAAGATCAGGTGGTCATTGGTTCTAACTCGTAATAATCGAGAGCTCAGGATGATCGTATCTTTAGGTACTAGAATTGCGTCTATGAAGGTCTTCTTTTCACCGTTAACATAAGTAAAATTATTAATATTAGGAGGAAACACTGAATTAAAGTTGTTGACCGGTAAGTCATAGCAGCATTTTGTCACTCGTGGTGACCACATCGGGTGTTCGGTGTTGAAATCACCCATGATAGTGATTGGATTTTCTAATGTTAATAATTCCTCTCTAAATAGAGACCAAAATTTTCTGGTTTTCTCTCGTTGTCCA